CGTCACTCGAGCGATTTTCGAGTCGGGTACGGTACTAGCAGCAGGAAATGGAGAACGGGCCAGCGCCGCCACCACTATGCCTCAGTGCTCGGCCAGTAACGCCTCCGGGTACGAGGACTCGGCACCTGGTAACGGCGAGTACATGCTAGGTGGTACCTAGGTATAGTAGGCACATGTACAGGTATACACGTACCCTGTCGCTCCCCCAAACAGCACCCACCGATGCCTGGTCTTCAGCTTTCCATCTCCAGCTCAAAACACTCATCAGACTCGCCGTCTCTGCGCTCAACTTCATTCCAGCATCCGTCTATTGGACGGCAAGGTGCCCAGCAGCTGAGCCGAGTTCGAATCGACGCAGCTAGCCCTCAAAATGGCTGGCGCCGGTGCGGATTGGCCGCGGCCAAGCTCGAGGAACAACGACATCTTCCTGCGTCCCTTGCATGCAAGGAGTTTTCCACCGATTTCGCACGAGGCGCCAGAACCTGGAGCGGCTGAGATCCGCCGACGCGTGGCGCACACATCTTGCGTCGCATCTTGGGCCAGCCACGAATCATCCATCTCTATCGACCGCTGCCAATGCCAAACTCATCCCAGCATCCTTTGACGGGGGAGTCGGCTTCTGATCCGTGCTCGCCAAGACTAAAAATCTTTAACTGGCCCACACAAGGAGATTAACGCCGTTAGGGATAGAAAGACGTTGGCAAAGTTACTTCGCCCGTCGCGCTAATGGGGAATTTTTGTTTGCCCATCAGCCTTGTGAGGGTCTTTCGTCACAGCAGGGAAATGCCATCCTCCTCGCCGCAAACCGCAGTCAGTGCGATCGCGATCGGCTCTCATGCGTGGCCCGTACAGGTACAGTATGTGCCGCATAGAGTGCTTCGTCCTTCCCATACCGGGATCAAGAGAGACTGCTCGTCTACGAGCATTCGCCACGATGCCCGTTTCTTCTGCCGGTATAATAGCCCCCTTCTGCCCACAACAATCAAATATCTTCGTGGTCGCAGCAACTTCGGTTGCACCCGAATTTCCGGCTAGCTGGGGTTCGCTGTGCCGTCCTTGCGCTCTCCAAATTGCCTTCTCTTCAACCATCGCCACCGCATCTCGGACTGCTGGCGCGAGTCCGTCCATCTAACAGACATGCTGTTGGCACAATTATCCACCGCGGACGGAGCTGGCCGTGGCAAAGTCGTACCTTTTGTTCCTGTGTGGAATCAACTTGTGCCACTGCCACTTCGACTAGCCTGGCAGAACGCCGTCAGAACAAGCGCAGCGCCTGACAGGGACTGGCCTTGATGGCCCAGCGTGCAAGGGAGCTGCCGAAGGACTACGGAGTACGGAGTACCATGCTAGGACTCCCGCCTCGTAGGTCCACTTGTGTACTAACACACACCACGCACCTACGAGTACATACTATGTATAGCACTCATACTGCTGTGCTGCCGCGACCTGCGCACAAGCACTCGTATGCAGGTTACGGAGTACGCAGCGCCTGAGACTACCAAGGCAAGTATTTAGCACGGGGAGCCGGCATCTGTAGCCTTCGTGGTGCGATCTGCTGTCAAGCCATCGTCGATTGCAACAAGATGGAGGAGAAGGGGGGTGGGTAAAGTACCCAGTCCCAGTAGCATCCTTTATGATGTGGATCATTTCTCCTACAGTATGAGAACAGGTACTCGTACAAGTATGGCAGCAGGTACCTGTATACGATGCAATCCAATGGAGAGTGAATCTGAGGTCGGAGTTGGATTTACCAACTAATAGCAGTTATTCATCAGCGACATTTTTCATCCGACGTTCTTCGGACACACCACAGGTCTAAGCCTTATCATGCGAATTATGCTACCAGGAAGGGCGGAAGTGCGCGAACGTCCCCACTCAAGAACCACAACCCGAATCCTTCGGGTCTGCGCCGTGTGTACTACTTCGTACGTCGTATGGATGACTCCATATAGGCGTGGCTGGCTGGCACATGTAAAGCGAAGTCGCCGTCATACTCGTACTAGCAGGTGAATTCGGACTTGTCGCGTATTTCTCCCTTGCCTCACCGTTGGTTGACACAGCGCTAACAACGTCCTCGATTCAAATCTCAGCCGAGACAATTTCTCCCAGCGCTAGCTTGCTCCGTAATGCTTTTAGGGACGCCTTGACCAGCCAGGATCACTTATGACGCATACGTCGGCCGGTGGCAGCCGCCGCAAACTGCTCTGGTTGCGAGCTGAACGAGTATCAACCCACCCACTAACTTTAGATTGCAGAACAGAATTGCTGGTGGTGGAGATGGGTGGAGAGCTGCCCGGATGAAACGTTGTCGGTCTGAATAAGCTGGATCATTGGTCTCTCCCACAAGCGTGGATCAGGCACAGAACCGACGATTTACGAGGAACCCAAGACGTGGCAGACTATGCTTGTGCATACTGGTATGCGGAGAATTGATACTAGTGCTCCGGTTCTATACTCCGCCTCTGTGGATTTCGCCTTTGAAGCGGGTTTAGCCGACAGAACATTGGCCGTCAAGGCTGAAGAAAATAGGAAGAAGGGGGAAAAAAAAATTCTCAAAAAGTTTGCTTATTTTAGGGGGGGTGCTTCAATTAGGGCATCTTATACCTGACCAGAAGGATCCGTCAGAGTGCTACCTGTTGTATGCATGGCTCAGTTGTATGCCTGCTTACTTGTTTTGGGAGGCGTCAAGGTCTCAAATGCTTACCGTGGTCGCTTAGTCTTGCTTTCTCGGGATCGGTTGACCGGCGGCCACAAGATTGATCTCATGGAGCTAATTGATTGTTTTGGCCTCTTTTGCTTTGGTCGCCTCCCTAAGGCGGAAACGTGGGGATTGTGCAAAGTTCGATGCGTCTCCGAAAGGCTCGCCGCCTGCGGGTAACAAGCAAAGTGGGATCGAGTCCTGGAACTAATGACACTCTGTCGGACAATTTGCATCTGCGAGATACGTGTCGGCCTACTCACGACCTGAACAACTCGTGTGCAACTGAGCTGGCTTCGCGTTGTCATTACCCCTTAACTCCGTGCCCTGGAAGAGCTGAAAGACACGACTATTGCCACTCAAGGTAGGTAGTAGCGTTATAGTACGTGTATCACGTACTGCTTGCATATGCCGGCGCATTCCATCAAAACGGAATAGGTACGGAGGTGTCCGCATCGCATTTTTTTTTCTTGCAGCCCTGCAGAAGACTGACCACCTACTTGCACGGCGACCGGGTATCCAGTCACAGCAAACAGCTTGAGCTGAAAGAATTGGAGACCGGCAGATGCCTGGACAGGGGATCCCTCTTTTGTGGGATGGTCGCTGCCAGCCCTTTTTGCCCTCGTCTCCCTTGCGTCGGACTACTGTACGGAGTAAGTTTGTACCTTTTTCTCTTTTCTTTTCCTTTTTTCTTCTTTTCTTCTCCATCTTAGGCCCCTCTCGAGACTTTGCTGGTTTTAGTGCAGCTAATAACTGGTTCACTAGCCTCACCCTTGCCAAGCTTTCTCATGCTATGACCTAGCAAAACTTACAGGCACTACTGTACACCTTTACCCAGGTAGCCTGCATTATCCTTCTTCGTCCGATGCCCTACGATGATGCCGCCACACAGGCGTACTTGTACCAGAGGTGAGCCATCAGCTGAATCAAAGTCTCACGCGGCCCTGCCTCTCGGTTCTCGAAGCCTTCTTTTTGCTTTTTCCCTGCCACCGGTTTGCGGCAACGCTATTGGTTGTGCGACATGAAGCTTACCGCAAATCAAACTTCCCCAAGGTTTGTTAAAAATGACAGACAGCCCTTTAGCGGCAAACCCTATGTGGCCTGGGACGGGGATTTGCACCAGTTTTCGTGGAGCATCGCGATGAGGTTACCGCGGGCAGGTGGTAAGCAGGCAATATCAACAAGTACATGCTCATACATACTTGTACTTGGCTCTGATGGAGTCCTCGTTAAGAGGCCCCTCTATAACTCCTCGAGCCGAGGCCGCCGCCGTACTCTTTATATACACGCCCAGAACAACACTGTGTGCCACCCTCTCCGGCATGGCCGCTCGGCTGCTTTCCCCTTTGTCTCATAACCACACACAGGAACAAAAAAAAAAAAAAAGGATACGCATATTTGGTCCTGCAAATTGCTGCCTGGCTAGAATGCAACAGCTGCTGCCAAACATCAACTCCATTCTTTTGGTCATCATGCCGGTTCCGCTCAAAGTGACAAATCCAAGAAAAGATGCTCAGTGGCCGACGACGAGACTTCATGTGGGAGCATGTCTCCACATCGGTTGTAGTAAGATGACGACGGTTTAAACAATCAAGTAACTACAGACTAGTATTTTTTTTCTTTCTATTTTCTTGCTTCCCACAGCCGGCTCCGTTTCTTTGCATTTCATGTGAAGCCGCGTCGCTGACCTGTCAGCCAAGCATCCGCCTTTCACCTCTGACGGTCGACGGCTTCGCCGCTTGGCACATGCCACACAGCCCTTTCTGGCTGAGGCACAGCGGGAATTGATTCTCATCAGGTGGACCCCATACTTACATGTACATACTTGTACGCCTGCTGGTGCTCGTAGATGTACCAAAAGTGGTGTCGACGTAGGGGTGTCGAGCTACTTGTACGGCTCCTCTTGTTAATCAACTCACACAATATAACTCCCCACACCAAAAGGTCTAGGTTGAGGGTGTAGTGTTCACCCTTGCCTGTTACTCCAGCCAGTGGCAGGGCATCCACAGCCCATCGACAGGCATAATAGCCCTATGAAAGGACCCCGGAACACGGTTACTGGGGCAGAGTGCATTACATAGTGGCACAAAGGCGGCTACTAGAGCAAGAGTAACCTGGTTCACTGAGCGTCTTCCCGCTCTGTGTTCTTTCCATCAACCTTCCCATCGTCCGGTCCTCGTCAAAGCCACCCATCTCGATCTGTCCGTCCGGTAAAGAGTCAAGGAGATTTCATAGATTACCAGATCGGGTCTGGCCAAGAGCTGGTATGGAATCCCCTTTAGCTCCCATTCACCATCAGCTGTCTTAGGTCAGCTATACTTTTGCCACCAGAGGTTGAGCGTGCTTTGGTTTTGGCTCATTGGCATCACGAGTATTGGCAGATCCAACGCCACCAGCACAGCTCTACCATCTCCTGTTCATGGCTCTGACCGCCCTGTCGTTCCCTCCCTGCTCAATCGATACCAAGGCCTTTGCGATCTTGCGCTCATCTAAGATCCCCGTACCCCCGTTTCACCAGCCATCGACGCCTCATCAAATGTCCTATGCCATACCCCGTCACAACAGGAGTAGACGCACCACGGCCAATCTGCGATGCCACCTCCAAAATCACCTGCCGGGAGTCTAAGAGGAATACAGGATTCTGCAATGGCGTCCAACATGCGAGGCAATCCCACTCATTTCTTGAAACGATCCTTCTCGACGCCCTCGGTAGGTGGTGCAACCCCATCGTCCTACTTGGAATCACAATCCTTGGCGCCGCCGATGGGTGAAAAGAAGAGGAATAAGCTTGGTTACCACCGAACGTCAATCGCCTGCGGTGAGTCTTGCCCCTCCCCTTATTCCGCCTGAGACGTCCGGGCCCGGTTCTCCCGGTCCTGCTAAGATTCTAACAAATGCCAGGTCATTGCCGTCGACGTAAGATACGCTGCATTATATCCACGGAGGACCAAAATCGATGTGTGAACTGCATACGACTCAAGAAGGAATGCAGCTTTCACCCAGTGGACCAGCAACAGCCATACGATCAAAAGCAGCAACCACCCCAAACACCTGGGGGTTCCAATACTGTGACGGCATCTTCATCGCCCGCCATATCTCGCGGCAGCTCTGTCGATCAAGGACCGCAGCGACAACATTATCCTTCCATACCTGTCGCGCCGGTGCCCAGCATGGGTACTCCAACGATTCAGACACCCCAGAGCGAATTCTTTCCGTCAGACATGGAAGGTGGGTAGTTTAAAGGATTTGTAGGCTCTGTTTCTCGTTATTATCCGTGCTAACTGTTAGCCTGATAAAGCTTCATCTAACACCATACCATCTGGGCCATCATATGCTATAGGGGATTCATCTTCAACGGGATGGATACCCGCAGATACAGATAACGACGCAATGGCGAAACCTCGCGACGCGAACGCGATGTGGCGACCGTCATTCCCGGTGAACATGGGTGGACAACTTTCCCCATATGCAGATCCATCAACCTCTTCAGCCGCTTGGACAAACTCGAGTTTTGGATCTGCCAACGAAATGGGATGGAATAGTAGTATGCCGCCGCCTCCCCGATCCATGTCCTTTAGCGGAGAGATGTTGGGAAGCCATCACCCACCACAGTACTATCCGGTGGCCCAGCAAAATCAAATCTATGAAAGGCATTCTCAACATTTCACTCACATGTACAGTGGAGTGCCTGTGGGCGAAACGGATGAGAGCATAGAGCAGGCTATTGACCCTGCAATAATGGGGAGTGCCGTTCCCTCAGCAACACCAATGGCTTGGCAACAGCAACAAGCACAGCAGCAGCAGCAACTCATACCACAGCATCAACAGCACCAATTGCCAGATACTCAGGGAGGTGTTTATCGTACGTGGGGAGAGTACGGTGAGGGCGACAGATCACAACACATGTAGAACTGGTCGATAGCGTAACCAGTTCCTTTCATCCCGCCCTGGCTGAAACTGACGGAAACATGTCACAGTAAGAGGTGGCATAGGTCCTGGGACAACTGGCAAGTCGTTTCTCCTCGCTGAAAATCAAAGTGCCCGAAGCACACCGAGGTGGCTACCCTGAAAGGAAATGGAGCTTTTACTGGCTTTGAAGATATAGGGATGGTGGGTCAAATTTTTGCTAGTCTCGGACTTACAAATATGGCCGGGAAATCTTTGTTTCGACTTGAAGGAATTGTCGGGGTCAAATATATGGAACTACCTATCTATTCCGTCATCACCCAGGATATCCTTCCAAGATCTGATTTGAAAGCAGCCACTTGATCAGGTTTTTTTTTACTGGATTGAATACTAGGAAATAGAGCACGGCTTTCGGAAAACCCCACGGCTAATAGGAATTATAAGGAGAAGGAGTACGGATAATGACTGGATACTGCTTTTACTGGGCTTCGTATTGCAGGAAGAGATGGGCCTTCAACCACGTTAAGATGGCCTAAGGGAGAGATATGGCTCCTTTTTTTTTCGGGATGGGATGCTTGGATATCACTAACTTACCGGAGCTCGACCTTTTGGCAAGAAAAGCGGCCACCTCATGCCAACACAACTACCAGTCTACTACCTGTACTTTGGCAATATTCGGGACTAGCCGGCCATTCATTCCACTATTGAGAGACTTAGCAAGGGAGCCTCCTAAAGATGAAGCTCAGCATTATACCTCTATTCGGACTTGGATTTCAACCGCGTGTCGCTCGAATTCGTAATGGGCCTGAACTTTCCGATCATTTCAACATTCAACATTGGACGAGTATGACGCAATAATACCCCGGGATGGGATGGGATGGGACGGGTTCTCGACGACTGTATATACTGTGGGGTCAACGGATGTTTTGACGGCCGAATAACTTTTTAGAACCGGGGATCATTAAACGGTGAGCTCAACTCACACAGCGGAATTAGCGGATTAGATTTATCAATTTTCCTTTTTGTATTTTTTTCTATATTGGGCTTTTTACTGGATCTGGGTGTGAAGCTGGGGAAAAGTTTCAAGGTGGTCGGCGGCGGATGGGGGAGCTTGAAGTGGACTTTAGTCTACCTTTGATCAAGTTTCGGGGCATGGGGGAAATTTCTCTGGGGCTTCTCTTCTTTTTTTGTTACAAATTGCAAGGCATTGAATGAAGCATATTTGAGTTTTTGTTAGGGTAATATGGTTAACGGCCTTTATTTAAGGTCTTTTCTTCTTCTATTTTCTTCATCTTCTTCTTTTTCATGTTAAGAGGATTTGTCTCGTTTTTACCTAACCCTTTTTTATTTCGAAGGTGATGAATTCCTGTTTTGGGGAGTATTTGGGTAGATTTCTTGGGTGCTTGGCTGTTTTGAGGCTGGGTGCGGAGTGAGTCTTTTGCTAGACGGATGGGTACAAGCAAGCTGGGGTTGTGACAAGGGAGGTGAGACACGTAAAGAACATAATGGTTGCTTCGAGTCTGAGTTGGTGTGGAGTTTGGTAATGCTGCTCCTTTGAAAGGACAAAGGTTTTGCGAGAATAGTGAAAAAAAGGGGGAGGGTGGGATTGGGGAAAAGTAATAATTAAGTAACCTTGGTTAATTAGAACTATGGGCGAGTTGTCGTTTAGGAATTGGGGAGCGACTATTCTGCTCTTTGGGGGTCTTCTCAGAGTTTTCTTGTCTCAGGGTTTCTTGGGGGGGTTCATGTCTTACTTTTTTTTTTACCGTTCTCTAAAGTATGTGGTCATTATTTGTTGTTGATGATACAACAGTTTTGTGTTGGATAGTTTTGGTAAGCAGCTTGGCTTTTTTTGAGAACCAATGCCCTTTTGAGATGTATGTATATTATAATTACAATCTGACGACTTTTAGGGTTTTGTCTTTCGCTTTAGTGTGTGTGCCGGTCTGTCATGGGATGTCATTGAAACCGCTTCTTGCCACTGCTATTTCTTGGCCTTGATATAGCGGCTGGTAATCATTTTTTGTGTTCTTGTTTTCGGGAATACGTTAGGAAGTGTCGGTATTCTATGAGGAAATACAGATACTATTTGGTATTTGTCAAATTGGGATGATTATATGAGTCCTAGTGATTAAGGAGTGAGTGCGAAGAAGACTCTTGTTTCAGTCGCCCTTTACGATGGATTGTCTGAGTCAATTCTGAATCAGGCGGTGTATGAAGCTTATCTGGGACATACACTCGAGTCGGAACCCCCATTTCAGGATTTCATTAAGTATATCGAGGATAAGAATAGTAAGAAGATGGAAGACTATGATGAAACAATTTCAGCGGAAGTAACGCGGTAGAAACTATTGTTTAGACTAGATATGGTTCTTTTGCCTGTGACACTTAGTTAGCGTATTTCCCCAATTGCGTCTTTGTTGAGCCCAACTTTCATGTATTGGTGATTAACACTTGGTTGGGAAGATGTGACGGCTGGGGCGTAGCTTTTTATTGAACCAGCTGCTATAGTTGTACTGAACCTCTCATCTTGATTAGAAATTTAACTTCTATTCATATAAATATGGCTTCTATTCATATAAATACGGCTATCACTCTAACCACTCTGTGTTTGTAGGTGGGAAACATATGGTTGGTATCTTTGATTTGCCTCGTGCATCAGAAACTCATCCGCATGTGTTCTACGTCGTTATCGAGGTACTTGTTGGAATGAATACACAGAGCCACAGGCTTGTAATACTTTTCAGAGCAACACTACACTAGTCTTGTGTGAAAGATTAAACGTGTGGGTATTCAATAATGATCGCCAAATCTATAAACATCAGCTCCATTAGAGCTATTGGTATGAGCAAGAATCCAAGTTCAGCCACGGTCCCTTGACGTAAACATTAAAAGCAAACACCATCCAACGCTAGATATAATGCAGCGAGGTAAATAATGTTGTAGGCTACTCTTCGTGCATCTGGGAGCCCCTCTTTGGACTGATTAAATGCTCAGGTGATGAGCGAATGAAAGCAAAAGGCTAGAAAGAGTAACGACTGGTCATGAGTAATATTCGACGAAACATTCCAAGAAACCAGCCAACATAATTCAGGGCGTAGGCTGAGTTAAATACCAACGAAGGACCGCTGCGTTTGTCGTAGATAAATTGGTCATCCGAAGAGATCTCAGCACCCAAGGGAATATCGGATTCTCACCGACACGGCTTTACATGTCCTTAAGACGCCATGTCAACGCCAACAGCGTGGAATATGCGCAGAGACTCAACGCCGTCAAGAGAAGGACCGTATCGCCACTGGTCCGGAATTTCCGGCGCAGGACACCATCGGGCGACTCGGTGACGAAGAACTGGCGGTGGCCCTGATAGCGGCGGTACATGGAGACGAGGAGAATGGCGGTGCCAAAGGCGGCGAAGAGTGCGCCGATGGGGTAGAACTCTTCGGTAAAGACTTTGAGGATGACTAGGGAAAAGGAGAAGAGGCCCAGGGCGGTGCGCATGTAAGCGCCCTCAAAGGTTCGCTGGGCGGCGCGGATTTCGACGAGTCTGCAGAGACGGGAGAGATGAGTGTTTTGCTATTGATAGATGATGGAATAATCAAGAACTGGAAAATCCACGCAAACGATATTTCGGCAGCTGCCGTCTGTCCATGGGCTTTGAGATTGAGACTGAGGCTGACGCGAGGCGGCACTCACTCTTCAGATGTCAGCACCACGGACCGAGCCCTATGGAGCCGGAGGTGCATGCTCTCCTCTGGGTGCGGCTATGAGATCTAGCGTTAGCCGGGATTATCGCCGTGGAAAGTGAGGCGAGAAGGACGGGGCATGGCGTTGACGAACCCGGAACATGGTGGGTGAGCAGCTCGGCAAAAGGATGAAGATGCCTGTCTGTATGGAGTAGCGATCTCGTGTTGCCTCTTCTTCCTGCGATCTGGGTTGAGAGCGCTGGGTCTAGTTGCTGGCTGAGCGGAGTAGAGTCGAGCAGCGGTGAAAATAGAGATGCGATAAAATCATGATCATCACTTGAGAGAGAGTTGGTGGCTGAAGTTGGTCGTCTGAGGCATCACGTGGCCGCGTCGCAGCTTTGGTGGGATGGCTTGACGTGGGGTTTTTGTCTCTGCAATGCCACTACAAAATGCAAAGATGATGCTGGGGCTGTCACAACTGGAGAGTTGACAGATGATAGGACTTTCTGCAACATGATTCGTTTGACACACAAGGCAACTTGGAATTGATGCTCTCAAAACCATCAAGATTGAAGGTTGAAATGGATGACGATTATCCCCTCGGCAAAGCAACAGCGACAACAACAATGATTCGCAATCCCACAGCCGCCGTGAAATGGCGGTTATCGATCCGCCAGCGCGCTTATCTCCCTGCGTCGTTGCTGAGAAAGACCCGGGGATTGCTTTGCCGGCACTCACGGTGTCCAAATCGAGTTGACCGATCCGTGGCGCCCAGCAGGTCGTTGGAATCGGGCGAAACTTGGGTGAGGCGGGAGGCCCCCCGTGGGATCCCACCCTACCTAATGAGCTATGTGCTGCATTTCAAGCTTCAAGCTCTGCTCTTTAAAACTGCGAGACGCCTAGTCTATGAGCTGAATCTGCCTTGTAGGGCCTTTTCGGCTCGCACCGTCGACAGCGGAAGGTTTGCTCTATCGCCAAAGCAGGGCAAATTCTCTCGATAGATGGTGCGCTAAGCCTGCTTATGCAGGGTAGTGCAGGATTCAACGCAACCATGCAAGCCTCGGGAGCGTAGGACCGTGAAGCTTCTGTAGAATGTTCCAGGACACGATCATACCATGTCCTCATTAAAGGTATATTCGATGTTGGACTGAGGCGAAGCAGATCTCCAGCATTGTTGAGGCTAATCGAGTTTGTGAGACAGGTGCCGGAAGCTTCAGCCGCACGGTGGGACATGTGGCTGTGTTTGCCGCCCCCCCTGCGAATCGTATTATTGATTTCCTCGTAATTAGTACGCCGTGCGGAGTAGAGTATCGCAGATTATCGTTGAATACAACATCGACCAACTCGACTGTGGCTAGACAGACGATGAGAAGTCGGTGCCAAGACTCTGCCTGCATACTCGGTGCCCGGGATTCTCCTCAATCTCCGCGAGGCGCACGGACATGTACCTGTATCGTGTACTCGTACGAGTACCTGTATAAGCACGACGTACTCGTGTTGCCTGCACTGAGCAAGATGACAAGCAGCAGAGCAGAAAAGAGCAGAGCAGTAGCAGCAACAGTAGCAGCAGCAACGGCAATAGGGTGCTGACGAGAGCCGAGCCAGCCGGGAAATTAACCGTTTGCCGCTCAGACAGGCACAGAGCCGATACCTGGTGCGAATAATGTGATTATATCCAGTATCTGCTCCGTGGCTAGCGCGATGTAAGCAATAAAGCACAACATGCCAGTTGTTGCTTGATCCTGCTGTATGCAAAAGGGTTGCATTCGTCCAGAAGGCCGAAAGTCTACATGGCATGAGACGCTTATGGAACAAGCAGCGTCTTACCAAGACCTCTTGTTTGGACGATCCAGTTCGGGTATCGTGGCCAAAAAGAGCCATGGTCCTGATCCTGCCGGTTCCAAGGTGTGAGGTATGCTCATACATAGACATACGCCCCTTTCCATGTATGAAGTAACGGAGCACATTGTATAGTGCATTTTCTGTGTCCCATACCATACCATGCCATGCCATGCCACACCGTAGTCTGCTGTGCCACTCCCCGGGCAGCCGTTGGACAAGTCCCTGATGTCATCTGGATGTCTCAGTCTATCGTGACGTGCTGCGGTTCGCATCCTGCCTGCTGCTGCCTTGCCCTGCCCTTCCAGCGTCACCTCGATCAAGCAGAAGCAAACGAGATAGAGTGGTGACCAGCCCTGAGCTCATGAGGCGGTGTTCCGGCAGCGAGAACGCCTCGGGGGCTGGCACCACCTGACTTTGGCCCTTTGCTAGATAGCCTCACAGGGCCCTGGAGCGCGCCATGGCCCGTTTGGGCGCCCACGGAATTAGAGGCCGCAAGCCTCGTGCCCACCGTGCTGCCAGGGGTCAGGCGGCTCTTGATGCCCGGGTACCTGATCCAGCGCGACGTTTGTGGGCAGCCGGCCGGTACCGCGCTACCATGCTTAGCTGTCCGTCGGCAAGGCTTTTCGACCCCAGAGCTGGGCATATTCTCGCAGGGCAGCCCCACCGACATCCTCCTGTGTGAAACGCTGGCCGCTAGTGTTGATGCTGTCCAGTTAGGCTTTTTCGCGTGGTGGAGGCTATGGAGACGAGATGGAGAGCAGTTTGACAGCCAGACCGGTCGAGGACGAGGGCATTAGCGCGGGAGTAGCCACTTTGATAACTTTTTGGTCTTTTTTCTGTTTTCTGTTTTTGTCGCGTTCGATGGTTGTGCTTGTTGTTGTTGAGTCTGCGTGGTGTTGTGGAGTACCAGAACGGAGTTGAGCATGTCAACCATCCTGTGCGAAGCCGAAGCTGGCAGAGCTCTAGGCTGGATGGGGTCTAACCTGGATGTTGGTTATCGCTAGAGTCTTGCAACCGCGCGCCTCTTTGAGCCCCGGGTGCAGGTACGGACGGTTCTGCACTCGGACTGGTGGAATGCCGATGTCGTTGTGCAGTTGATGATTGTTGCAAGCAAAACCGCAATGACGAGGTTTTGCTGACTGGATCGGGATTGGATGTTTTGCTTGGGCAGGTGGATTTCAGTGTGAAGCTAGAGAGACAGACACCTGGAATTAGGGCTGCTGCAGTGCCGTCACCGCGTGCTAAATGCTACCACTCGCTCACTAATGGTACTGTAGCAGTGGCACCAGAGCATCAAGCAATGTTCAGCTCCGAACCCCCTCCCCTCGCCTGGTTGCTGCCCACCAAACCTCAATTCTGCTTGTGCTTCACATCGAATCACCACCAAAAATAATCAGCATCATCAACAACAACAATATCAACATCATCACGCTTCTTCTATCTCTTCTACGTATAAACAAGCAAAGGAACCATTATATTCAACAACGGCAATTCAGACGCCAGCCAGCCCAGCCAGCCCAGCCAGCCAGCCCGCGGTGCCAAACTTGGGACGCCTCCCCTCCCGCAATTCGCCCCCCCACCACACCACCACAAATCATCACCCTCTCTCCAAACCCACCCCTCCCCATATCTCGCCTCTGCTCGGCCTGTCTGATTGGGGCCCTGGGCCAGCTTGAAGCCCAAGAGCCCAGCACCAGGTAGCACAACCATGACGCTGCCGGCCGCGAGCTGCTGGACCTTGGCACGTCGTACTCGACAGGAATACACGTATCGCAGACACAAAAGCAGTGGCTTCAAGCACCAGAAACGGGCAGGGTCGCTTAGCAGGGGTGCCGTCGCCAGCCTAATCAAGGTGGTAAGCGCTTTAGATCCGCCAGCCGCACCCACACAAACTGGCCGCCCATGTCCCATCCCATCATCAGCTCTCTGGCCGCCCGCTGCCCTTTTTTCTCTCGTCCGACACATCCTAACTTGTAGTTCCTAGCAAGACGCCTCTCTCGCCGACTGCGCCTCCCGAGCTCAAGTCCTGCCTAAGCTTTCACCTCGACCCGTTGCTCTCCCGTCCGCTCAGGAACATGGTCATGATCCCTGGCCAGTGACGTGACGCTGCGCATCTCCAGAGCGCACCAGTTCAGTTTTGGGCCCCGGCTGCCTGTCGACTGCTTGGACCTCTCGCGGAAGCCACCGCTCCTCTACGCTCCCCGTCCTATCCTTATCCTCCCTCTCTTCTCCCCGTACATCCTATATACCGACTACTTATCCTCGGGCATCCCCTTTCGCCTGGCCCCAGCTGGAAACAATCATGTCTTCCGCATCAGCCACCGCCCAAGGCTTCTCCGTGCCTCTCGACACCGACAACCCTCTGGCCCTCGACGACTTCTCCTTCGACCCTGAACCCCGCAATTCCGCTGCCAGCCAACAGCGACAGCACCAGCATCAACAGCAGCGCTCATCCATCGACTCCAACCTGTTGTCGCCTTTCCTGTCCCGCGTCAACAGCGACTCTCTCTCACCTGCGAACCCTTCGGAGACGCCTGCCGGATCCACCTCGACCCTGAGCATCTACCAGTCCAGCGATTTCTCTGACTTTGACGACGACCCTTTCTTCGGTGCCAACTTTACCAATCCCGACGTCGGCACGCCATCATTCCTCGACGACCAGAGCGTATGGGACCTCTCAGTCAACAATACCCCACCAGTTGAGCCTCAGCAAGAGCACAATGCCGACGACTCTTATCCTCTAACCCCGGACCAAACTGCCTCTGTCCACACACTGTCGCCGCGAAGTGAAGAGAGAACGACTCTCACGCGACCCGATCAGCATCAGCTACCAAGCTCCATCTCACCACAGGAACTCCAAAAGGCCTTCAAGCCCAACCCCCTCGTCATCCCGGCGCCTCAGTTGACCCCAAGCCAGACCGACAGTGGACGATCTAGCGAGGACGGCTTGGCCCCCGCTCCCGTCGATATGCGGTGTCAGAGCCCTCGTGTCACCATCTCCGTCTGGGATAAGGACAACAACGGACCTGTCCATACTGTCGAGCGTTCTTTTGAAGACAGCCCCTCGACGGTACGTGGCGGTCTCGAGTCCGCAGGAGACTTGATCACATCTTCCGTAAGCCATGGACAGAGCCAAGCTGCTGTCGCCACTAGAGATTCTATGGGCCAATGGCGGCGTGACCCTGCCACCGGTCATGCTGGCTTGGACCCAAAAAGGCGGCCTGGAGAGGAGATTGCGAGCATCAATGAGATAATCAACCGCCGAGAGATTGAAGAGAGGAACCAGGAAGTCGGCAAATGGCTTACTGGCAACCTCGATGAGACTATCCCCCCAGACAAGCCATCCCCCGGGGACATCAGCGCTGCAGAAGAGCAGAGCCGTAACAGCAACGACGGCATACCCCTTGGTGATCAGACTGAGAACAAATACATTCCCGGCCAAACCTATTATTCCCCCAATGGGGCTGGACAGATGTCGGACGAGGACTATGACATTATCTATGCCAATCGCGGGTGGGCTGATGCTCCCATTCTTCACTCCATTAGAAGTGGTGGCCAGAGCCGCCATCAACCCCAGAGCTCACAGGCTGCCATTGACCGCTTTGAGAGAATGTGCCGTGACAACGATTCCATCATCTCCCGAGCCGCAACCTGGGGCACTCGTCGGCGTAGCTTGCCTAGCGTCGTCGACCTCGACCTCGACATCGAGGGCGTCACCAGCGGTAACTTCTTGAAGAAGCTCTCCATCAGTCGAGGTGGTGATAAGAGCAACAGATCCGGCAGTCTCCTGAAAGATCTTCGCGGCCTCGTCCGGCGCCCCAGCGGTTCTCATATGCGCAAGCGCTCTCGCAGTAGACAAGGTGAGGCTCTAGTTGAGCAAGTAGAGCCTCCGCCAACCCAGAATAAGCGTGACAGCATGCCGCACCTGTCTCCCATGTCGCGCACGTCCAGTTGGGGCAAGAAGCATCAGACCCCCAGCATCAATACCGCTTTAGTCTCAATGGGCCAGAACTTTGCTTCCATTGGCACCACGCACTCACGCTCTGGATCTATCAGCACTATCCCGTCCGCGCCCTCTAAAGGTCCCCTGTCCGGCCTCAGTGTCAGGAACTCTTTGAGGCGACCACGAAGCAAATCAGACTTGCCCAAGCCATCACCCTCCTCTTCTTCCAACAATAACAACAACAACGATGGTGCTCATTCCAGCCTTGCTGACATGTGGAGGAAATCTGGTGGGCCACCTGTGGCGATTCTCAGACAGCCTCCCGTCGATCCAGACGAGGACGATGACGACGATGACGATTTCTACGAAGATAACGACATGAAGATGAACCCCAACATTATTGACGACATCGCCCCCAACTTTGCCGGCTTTCAACAGCATATCCAGACCTTGAACCCCGGGCTACCGCCAGCCCATAGCTACCTTGTAGATCGCATTGCCCACCAGCAAATTATTAGATACAAGCAGCTGCTGAACAACAAAGTCAAACATCTTGGCCTCGGCGCCAACTGCCCTTGCGGCTCTCTCTGCTTAGCACTGGGCGGCTCAGCCAATGTTCTGAGCGGAAAGGGAGGAGATAGCAACGGCAACAGGGGATTGGACACCTTGTCGGCTCACTACGACGATGACGACGATGTCACGCCGACCGAAGGCGCCATCAATCAGGAAAGTTTCCCCACCGACATCCCCATGCCGCCTACTCAGCACCTACCGGCCGAGTTCGAATGCCAATTATGCTATCAGAAGAAGAGATTCCTCAAGCCATCCGACTGGACCAAGCACGTGCACGAAGACGTGCAACCCTTCACGTGCACGTGGGACAAGTGTCGGGATCCCAAGATCTTCAAGCGCAAGGCCGACTGGGTCCGTCATGAAAACGAGGGCCATCGCCATTTGGAGTGGTGGACGTGCGATGTCGAAGATTGCCGGCACACATGCTATCGCCGCGACAATTTCCTGCAGCACCTTGTTCGCGAGCACAAGTTCCAGGAGCCCAAGGTGAAGACCAAGGCAGCCATGAAGAAGGCTGGTGCGATTGATCCGACGTGGCACAAGGTTGAGCAGTGTCATGTGGAAACAAGCAAGCAGCCACACGAGGAAGCGTGCAGGTTCTGCGGCAAGGTCTTTCCGACGTGGAAGAAGTTGACTGTCCACCTGGCCAAGCATATGGAGCAAATCTCGCTTCCTGTGTTGCGCTTGGTGGCCGCCAAGGCAAAGGAACTGGCTGCGGATACCATCATCAGCCCGGTCCAGGATCCTCCTCCACGACATGACATACCACTCATGCAAGAACAGAAATCACCTGCCGCCATCCGGTATCCAGACAACGGCCAGCAGCAACACCAGCTGTCCCCGGCGCCACCAATGGCTCCTCCTCAGCAACAGCAGCAGGCAATGCAGTATGCGCAAACTCCAAACCAGTTCTATCCCTTGATGCCTCCGGGACAACCGTATCAGCCGTTCTATTCCCCTCCCCAATTCGAAAGCATAGGCCAAAGCCTGCACTCGACCCAGTCAATGGCCCCTAGCCCACTAGCCTATGACCCCGGCCGGCGGGTTCAGGACCTGCCCGTCACTTCGGCTCCGTATGTGCAGGGGTCACATCCGTATGCCACCATGACAATGGCAAATGAGGTGGAGCCATTCCCACCCCTGAATGCGCTTGGTCTGCAGAACGTGCCCGTACCCGTAGCAGCTGTGCCCCCTATGGGCGCGCAGATGGCATACGACAACATGATGGACCCTTCAAGTGTGCACGGCAGCCCGTTTAGCGGACATGAAACATTATCGACTTATTCCCATTCTCCTCATCAAGGCGCTATTCATCTAGATACTACCAAGGGCTGGGATGATAGACATTCGTCTGGGTATTTTTGAGGCGTCAAATTACTCAGCTCTGTGATTTTTTCTTCTTTTCTTCTTCTTTTTTTTTTCTTTTCTTCTCTTCTTTCGGGAGGTCTTTGTTCGACCCTTTTCGTTATTTCTCTCCCTTTTCACTTTTTGGATTTTCTTCTTCTTTTCGATTCCCTTGGGATATTGCATTTTTTTGGGCTTTCTCTAGAGTTGGACATCATCCGAGGATGGATTCCGGTGACAATTTGCTATTTTGAAGGTCCAGGAACGGGCAGTAGTACATGAGCATGATTCCCCTGCGTTTAGTTGCTATATGAGCCTTCTTATTTTTGTTCTTTAAAGTTTCCCTTTTTATTCAAGGATGCAAGTTGGGCCATGCCAAAGAGCAATGTATAAAACGGAGCATCTCCTTTTTCGTCTTCTTTTCTCTTTATTTTCCGTTTCCTGCATTGGCTACTGTGCGTAGCAATTGCTGTGAGATGAGAGTTGCGGGCGCATATCGCGGCTAGGGGAAATAACCGTATGAGTTATGTCATATAGACCTTGATAACAGCATCGGCTGAATTGAACTACTGCTGTAACTGATATTGTGTCTTGATACGTGTGAAAATGCCTAAGCCAAATGCATCCGCCTCAGCACATCTAGCCGCGTAGCCGGCGGATATAATGCCAGATGAGACATGCAGGGCGATTATGTACGATATACAAGTACGAGTAAACGCACATGTATCAATACCTATGCTAAATAGGAAGGGTGCAATGATGGTGGAGACTGCTGCAAAGTACAAGTCTGGGGTTGATGAAGTACTGGGTACAGGCTATTACGGGGTTTTTATTATTATCTGCAGGTATTTTAGGAGAGCTCGTATTTATTACTGCCTCATCAGGAGAGAAGAGGGGATGGATGGGAGTTGATATTGCATCACATGAAAATAGAATGGAAGTTGGCGAGCTTGGCGGATGGAACAGATTGTGTTTGAAGTGACTTTTACGAGTTGGAATTCTTTTTTTGGCTTGCGATTTTCTTTCTTTTGGGGCTGTGTGAGGAGGCGAGGAGAGGGCCTGTGCGACGTCGATCATGGCGTGAGGCTTGCGGAAAAGACACGGGATGGTGCTTGTTGACACAGCCAAGATTAGATAGATATGGAGGCATCCAATTATCCGTCACTGAGTTGAATTGAACTGTTATTGTGCTCGTGGCTGATGCTAGGTGAGGAGGGTGCTGTGAATTGCAGCTTTCGTGCGTATTGTAGGAGATACTATCATGACTCGTATAGTACTTTAGTCGATCTTGGACACCAAGTGATGCCGAGACAAAAAGCCCTGATGATCTCCAGGTGAGGACAGCAGCTCGGCACTCCGCAATCAGAGAGAGATGGGCAGAATGGGGCAAAACTGGCGATAGGCTGCCTCTCGTCTAGTTCTCGATCAATTTCACCTCCATTTATTTTCCATTTATTTTTATAATTTGTTTGTGTTTAGTGGTGCGTGCAGAGTGGGCGAGCCGAATGGCGCTCAATCTCGTTGCTGGGAGTTTTGAGAGCAAGTAATTTCGCTGGCTGATCCCTGAAATCTTGCAGTGGGCTAGTCTGGGTGCCCCGTGCAAAGCGAGCTGTTTTTTTTTTGTCTGATATTGTTTAGCATCAAGTTATTGATTACGTGGTAGTTTTGTAGTTTGGTGGGTAATTGGTGTTCTCTTGTATTGCCGCAAATTGCGAGAATTATCGAGATGTTCTTGTCGTTGCTCCAGCTGACGGAGAGTCCATTATAGATCGCCGTTTAGCACTTGAATGGTTGCATCAGGCGGTTTCAGTGCATCTTGCCAGTAAAGCCTCAGCAGCCTCGACCCATGGCGCGCCAATCAGGGCGCTGTGCAGGAGCCAATTCCGACCCCCTTCCGCTGGATCTGCCCCTAAGACAATAAATGGGACAGGGCCCTTGCAGTGGCCTTGCAGCTTTTCGGACCAGTGACTTGGCAGTGACCTTGTGGCGGTGCCGCGACAGGGCCTCGCCGCAGGTATCTCTCGGTAGCGGATACTGATACTGCTAGGTACCTTAGTATCAGGCAGGCAGTGGGGGCAAACTTGACCCTGGCTCTGTCCCCTTTCGGCATGTTTCAACCACGGACATTGAATCGCAGCTTGGGCCTCGTTTTCCCCTTCTCTCTCTTCTTCCTCTCTCTTCTTCCATAATTCCAGTCTTGTCAATTCACTTTTGTTTGTGTTTTTGCCCGCTCTTTTCTACATCCACTGCTCGATTCTGAATTTCGTCATTCATTTTTCGTGTTTTTCTCCTTCAAACCGCTCCGGTGATGCTCCTGGGGCCGCCTGTTTCACATAGCGCCACACGTCTGATATCGAGCCGTTGCTGAACGAAACAAACCGAGTTCCCGACATCTGCGATTTTTTTTATATACATCGCCTCCATTCCTTGATGAAAATCCCGCCGTGAAGAAGACGTTCGGTGATTGTTGGAAAACGCCCCGAATTATAGAGCCGTACACAGTATTGGCCGCTCGTTCTCTTGTCTTGTTTCTTCGCTTCTTGTCGGGTTGATCCTGACCATTTTGGATACTTCGCCCTGTGGGCGCTTTTTCCTTTCTGCTGTCCGTGAGGTTGTCGTGTCTTTCTCTCGACCAACCGATTTATTGAATTAGCTGGCATTCCTTTCAGCAACTTTTCTTCTCTCATATACTGGAATACTAGACCATTCCTTGGAGTTTTTCTCTTATAATTATTTCGATATACCGACTTACCATATAGATTGAAAACCGATAAACGGAGACGATTGGCGAAACGAATCTAGCTGGAAACTTTGATACTGGATTTGGGTGCATTGCTATATCGACACGGTTGCATTTCATATAGCGAAACATATTGGTGGAATTTCGAATTTGAACCCCAACTACTCGCATTGTTGATTCCGTTATTGGACAAAGATTACGAAACATGTCTCGGACAGCATCGAGATCGACGATGCGGAAGGCGTTATGCATAGGCGCAATGTTGATGACGGGAGTCATGGGTGACCAGATTCTGACGACGACTGGTTATGTCGACTGCGGAAGCTTGCCTTCTATCACGATTACCGAACTGAGCATGACCTATGACAATGATGCCCAAACCATCACATTTGATATCGAGGGCACAAGCACCAGCAGCCAGAATGTTACGGCAACTCTCGACGTTACGGCTTATGGCATCAGCGCATTCACAAACACCTTCAACCCTTGCGACGAAAAGACCCTTGTTGAACAGCTGTGCCCTCTGCCCAATGGCAAATTCGTTGCTCGCGGAGTGCAGCAGGTCCCAGCTCAATATGCGTCGATGATTCCAGGAATCGCTTTCAGTGTTCCGGACATTTCTGCGGAGGCAGTTATGAAGCTCAACAGCCTCGCTGATAGCAGCATGGTGGCTTGTATTCAGGCCCAGGTGACCAACGGCAAGACTATGAGCGTACCTGCTGTCTCGTATGTTGCCGCAGGCATTGCTGGCGTCTCTCTTGTTGCCACTGGCATGTCTGCGGTTGGTGGTGCCATGTCTGGAGGCGGTACTGTGGGAGTTGCTACTGCTGGTCCTACCTTCACGGATGTCGCTGGCTGGTTTCAAGGCATGGCCATGGGCGGTATGCTTTCAGTCAACTATCCACCTATCTACCGCAGCTTCGCAAAGAACTTTGCATTCTCAGTGGGCCTTATCCCGTGGAATGGCTTGCTGAATTCCATTGATGACTTCCGAGCCAAGACTGGTGGTAATCTTACCGAAGACAGCGTGGCTTATCTAAGAAATCTTACCATTCAACTCCAACAACAACAAGACGACTCAGACAACTCAACTGCGATCAGCCTTTCAAGACTTGTTCGCCGTGACGACAGTGCAGGCGTCGGCGACATATCGGGCCAAATCAGCCAGACGATTTCGGGCATGAAAAACTTTGCCGAGTCGGTCAGTGTTCCAAAGTCGGACGTTTTCATGACGGCACTACTCATCGTTGCCATCGTCATTGCCTCGGTCGTCACTGGTATCCTGCTTATCAAAGTAATCCTCGAATTCTGGTCTTTGTATGGAAAATTCCCAGAGTCTCTTGCTGGATTCCGCAAGCATTACTGGAGATCCATTGCTCGAACACTCACCACCCTCATCCTGCTCCTGTACGGAATCTGGGTGTTGTACTGTGTGTTCCAATTCACGCTTGGTGACTCATGGGCGGCGAAGCTGCTAGCCGGTCTCTCCCTCGGCATTTTCACAGGTGTCCTCATGTACTTTGGTATCAAAATCTGGAGTACGGCACATAGGCTCAAGGCCCAGCATGGTGACGCCGCCAAGCTGTACGAGGATAAGCAGAATTGGCTCAAGTACTCCATGTTTTACGATGCTTACAAAAAGACCTACTGGTGGCTATTTATCCCCGTCATTGCCTATACGTTTATCAAGGGCTGTCTTGTTGCTGCAGGCGATGGCCATGGCATGGCTCAGACTGTTGTCAGCTTCTTTCTGGAGCTGGCCATGCTGGCACTCTTGGTTTTCACTCGCCCTTTTGAGCGCCGCTCTAGCAACATTCTCAACATCTTCATTGCTGTTGTTCGTGTGCTATCCGTTATTTGCGTTTTTGTCTTTGTCGAGGAATTCAATGTTCAGCAGACGACCCAGACCGTCATGGGTGTCGTCATGATTGCTATACAATCAACACTGACAGTTGCACTTGCACTCCTTGTCGGTTGGAACGCAATCAACGCGGCCATTAAGATGAACCCTCACCGCAAGCGCAGAAAGGAGATGGGTAAGTTTCTTTTTCTTATTTCTATCTTTTATCTTCCCCTGGACGATATGTTGCGTCATACTAACAACTTGCTTCCAGAGAAACTCCGTGGAGACCAGGATGATCTGACACCCCTTGATGCTCGCAACACGATGCTCATCAAATCAAAGGCGGATCTTGAGGCTTCGTACCCATCCGTTCCCGACCACGAGGAGAATCTCCCCCCTTATTCGAAGGCGGGAGATAGGTATTACGCCCCTAGCATACCGGAGGGGACATACCACCCGGCCCTGTCTTCTAACCCTTCGCCAAACGCCATGTATCGCGACCTCACAGGCTCCCGACAGCCCGGAGACGCATCTCCCAACTACTTCTCTTCTGATGACAGCCATGCCCATTATAGGGGCAATAGCTCTGATGGACGAGATGGAGTGTCCCCCCATGAATTTGTAGGCCAGCAGAAATATTCTGGATACTAAACTTCTTTCACCTTCCTCTGCAGGATATCCACAACTATCCTGTTAGACGGAAGTGAGGGTGATGAGGTGGGGGAGGGTTACGGGGTCGTATCTTTTTTGTTTTTGTCCTTTTGTTGAGTTATATAAGCCGCAGCATCTTTTATGTATTTATAATTCATTCGCTTTATTCCTTCGTTTGTGTCACCTCCCCGGAAAGTGTGGGCTACCGCATCTGCGCAGCTCATGTTGTGTATAGCCGGCTGTGTTGAGCAGTGGATGGTAAGATAGAATATGGATATTTCGGAATAGATGGATGGGAGGGGCATTATATGTATGAGGACTAAATGAGATGAATAGATTTGCTTTTTTAGGATTGTTATTCGAGGTTGGTCATGAGTTTGTTTTGGGATAAGAGGATGTGTTTCTATTCTGTTGGGCGGTTCACTTCACCAGTATTATGGGAAGATGGAATGCATGATTGTAAAATTGGAGATAATTGGTATCATGGCAAGCATTTTCTCACCAACTTGTCTCTGTACGATGCACACTCCATTATATAAGGTAAGGTAGATTACAGGGTAAGAAAACAAAGTATGTCACATAATCGATGTATACCTTTGTACAATGGTGCAAAACAAGCCCCCATGCCTATCTAATTAAAGGTTAAAGGTCTTTCGCCTTCACTGGGATATATGCTAAGAGGATAAAGCAAGGCACGCATCGACCGCCAAACCAACTCTGTATAGGAGCACTCTAGGTTAGCTAAAAGTAGAAGGGATGAAAGGGAGCAAAGGGGAAGAAGAAAAAAAACATACCTTCCTTCCTTCTGGTAGACCACATCGCTAATGATGTCCTTGTCTAGATCCGGGAACATGCCGGCGAGCGTCTCTACGATGTTTGCATGCTCAGCTCGGTGTAGTCTTTGCGCCTCGGCTACCTCGGCGCTGGCTTGTCGAGCCGCTGCCTCTTCTGCAGGAAGAGCGTATCTCGAATCACGCCGACCGCCATCCCCCCGATCGTCTGTGCTGATCCTCAGAGGAACTGAATCAGGAAACCCCAAGGGACGACCAATGGGCGGAGGCGGAGGCGGCCGCGGTGCTGATGAGGCGCCATCATCCGAGAACATGCGGCCGATGGTGGTGAGAGGATTCTGAATCGTTCGTAGGAGGCCAGTGATGGGTGCGGTGATGTCGACTTCGTTTTGGTCCGTTGAGCGACGTTGGTTGGACGAGCTTGCGCCATCGAGCGATGAACGGGCTTCGGCATATGAGGATTTTTCGTTGAATGTCTGTTGCGGCGGGTGTGGTCCTCTTGGAGACATTGCTTGGTGCTTCTCTGCGATGGCGGAGACGGCGGCCTCGACGTTTTTCTCAAACTCGTCATCGGTGATGGTGAGAGAGGTTCGATCCATATTTTCGATAAATTGGACGGCACCCATCTGTAAGGTGTAAGGATCTGGATAATGAGGAGAGGGACCGTCCGTTGAGCATCTACTTACAAGAGAAGAGAGGTAGTAGCCGGCCTCGCCACCGAGCTTCTCCTGGTTTCTGAATCGCAGAATATACTGCACATTTGATACCAGGTGCTCTGGATTCGACTGAAGCACGACGTAGATGAGCAACGGCATAAAGGAGTCGGCTGATGAGTCAGACTTGTTGTGTTTCAATAGACCTTGAGACGTCAGTTAATAGATGGAGCGTTTGGATGGAAAAGAAGACACTCACCAAATATGACTTTACAGCAGTTCAAGACGCAAATGATCTTGTCTCTGGGAGCTCTATAAGACTTGATCTTTAGCAGTTCTAGTTGACGATAGTCCGGTTAGTACTGAGATTTGCCACATACGAGTGTGTGCAGTGCGAGTATAAGTAAAGAAACTCACCTTGCTGTGCCAGCTTTAGAAAACGCCGGCCACTCTCCCCAATCTGTGGTATATCCAGATGGTCTTCCTTGACCCAGCCGTAAATGTTGATTTTCTGTGTCACAATGTCGTCTCGCTCCACGTCCTCCTGATGCTGACCTCTCCGGCCAGGACCCAGTGGCGGATCGCCCCCTCTCCTCCTCGGCTTTGCTCCAGGTATTGGCTTGGGCGGCGGAATGGCTGGTGAAAAGGTTTGTGTGTAGAGTCTGTTCATGACGAGCTTCTCCATGCCTTCCCTGGCATTGTCAAATTCGGCATCCGAGACGTCCCGCCATACCTCGCACTGCGACATCTTATTGGCGATGAAGGTCAGGAAGTCGCTAATAATCTTGACCTGCTCATGAACCATCCACTGGCGTTTTCCAAACTCAAAGAGGAACGACTTGAGGTATCTTGCCACGGGATCCGCCTTTTTGTTTCGCAACTGCTCCAGGAATCTGTGGAAGTCGAACGGTAGGGACGGTTCGGGCTCGGGCTCTGGAGGAGGCGGCCTGTGCATGGATATGGTGGGAGATGCTGGTGATGTGACGTTGTTGGGCAGAGGTCGTGCATCTTTGGATCTCGGAGGTGTACCCATGGATCCATCTTTAGGGGGCACAGGAGGTCCGTGATCGTCGTCATTAGGCGTCGAGATGTGTAGGGCGTTGAGTCCCTGAAGCTGGCTGGCAAGCGAGGGCGACAGAGGCTCGAGGCTGGATTTTCGAGGCGGGTGCTGCAGTCCAGAGCCCAACATGGGCGAAGCAATCTCTAGGCGCGGGCTCATGACTTCATCGGCATCAGGACCGCCTCCGTACTCGCTAAACTGCTCCATGATGCTCTGGATCTCGGACCGTGAGCCCTCCTGGTCATCCTCGCTCTTATCGTCCGACTCAGGAGCGGATCTGGTGGGAGATGCGTCGTCGCTTCGGGCCGTGGAGAGGGCGCGAGAGGGAGGTCGGGAGGCCATGGGCGTGGGCGGCGTCGGGTCGACATAGTTGGGATGCTCGGGCGCGAGAAGGTGAGTGGTTGGGTAGTCGGACTGCATGGGTGAAGCCGGCGAAGACGGGCTGGCGACGGTGGCCTTGATGGTCAGGACGGAGGACGAGATGGCGTCTGCAGGGTCGGACATGGTCTCGTGTGTATCGTGAATCTCGTGTGCAGGAGCTTTGTCCTTTGCTCTGGTGCTGTCTCTGGCTTCGGCAGTGTCAGAGGCAGAGGCAGAGCCCTGCTCGAGCTCCGCATTTGTCGGTCTGCTGCCGGCCCCGTCGTTGGCCATGTCCAGCGGTGAGTCTGGAGAGTGCTGAAGAGGCTTGTTCTCGTCTGCGTCGGGTGCGCTAGGGGTGCGTGTATGGAGATGGATATCAGCGGCTGCTTCTTTGGGGGAATCGCCGAGGGGAGGGTTGGCAAGAGGTGTCGTCGCTTCTGGTTCTGTCGTCATGGCTCGAGTCTCGGTGTCTTGGCTGCTGCTGTTATTGCTGTCGCCGTGATGTTCAGTCGCAGTCGCAGTCGCAGTCGCAGTCGCATCGACCGTGCCAGATGCAGACTCAGACTCAGACTCAGCAGCGGCGTGAGCTGTTGTCGCCGTCGAGCTGTCCTTGTTCCCGTCCTGGATTTTGTCGGGCTCAGCAACAGGCTCCAACCCCACCGAGGGGTCTTGGATGCATGTCACCTCGGAGGCATCCGCGCCTCTAGGCTCGGATCCAGGGCCGGGAAGCTCTGGGCTTGCGGGTGCTTCCGGTGGCGACATGCACGTGGATCCAGGAGGAGAGGCGGAGAGGGTTTGAGGTTGTTGGAGAGGGAAAAGAAGAGGAGGAGGAGGAGGAGGAAGAGAAAGAGAAAGAAGAAGAGGGAGAAAAAGAAGAGGGCGCTACTGTATAGGTAGAGAGAGGTTTGAATCGGGTACCTGAGTCGGAAACGTTGGGGGGGTGCCTATATGAAAGAGGAATGTAGAGGGAGAGAGAAAGTTCAAAGTAAAAGGATGAAGATAAACATAAAAAAATAAAAGAAAATAAAAAAGAACAAGCGTATCCTCTGTGCATCCAAATACGGCAACACAAAAATAAAATTACAGATTCAACTCAACAGTTGCAAAAGGCAAAACAAAATAAAAAGAGACCCAGCATTCTCTGTTCAATGGAGCTGCGTCACGCCTGTCTCAGGTTTTAGTGATACTCGAGTGGGCCTCGAAGGGGCTAAAGCACTGACCCAAAGCGGACATTTGATGCAATTTGTAGGTACCTGCTAACAGTCTCAATCTCAACATGAATACATGTACATTGATGGGAAGCCCCCCCCCCCTTTGCCCTGACGGCCTCATGTATATTAGTTTTTCATCCCTTCTTCTATCAAAGCGAAGCAGATCTCACTATTACGATATATGATTTTGAATTTTATGCTCAATAAACCTCCTCACAGACCCCAAACAGGTGACATGGATCTATCTGGTCTAGACTCGGGCCACCCAAAATGGCATCGGCAAAGACTCATCGCCGTCGTCATGCCAGAGTCATCAATCAGCCCCAACTCCGCATTCAGCACTGTATAGCAGAACTATATATAGAATCAAAGCTTCTTTATCATCTCAGCATCTGCAAAATGTTTACTGTTCATGATAATAATAAATACTACCTCTTGTGAATGAGATAACAAACAAATACAGCATCAACCATGTCTCGCCCCTCGGAAATCCCCTACCGCCAAATCCGCGCCTCATACGACCACGACCACATCATTGTCTACCAAGCCTACAATGCGTCCATCGCCGATGCCGCCGTCAAGGCCCAGAAACTCAACGCCTCACCGGATTTCAATCCAGATCGCATGACCTGGATCAAGCCAAGCTGGTGCTGGATGATGTACCGCTCCGGCTACTCTTACAAGGATGATGGCCAGAGCCGTATCCTCGCCCTCAAGATGAAAAAGGACGACTTTCTGGGCCTCTTAGCGCAAGGCGTCCTATCGAATCATCCGGCGTTGCACGCCCATGTGGACAAAGAGAGCACCAACAAGACGGCGCACGAGAAACCCGCCGACGTGAGGATTCAGTGGGATCCGGAGAGGAACGCGAAGCTCGAGGCGTTGCACTATCGGAGCATCCAGATTGGCATCCCGAGAGTGCTGAGCACCAAGTGGGCGGATGAGTGGATTGTTTCGATTGAAGACGTTACGGAGAGGGCGAGAGAGCTCAAGAGAGTCGTGGAGGAGAACCCTGACATTACGCTGGATGAGCTGGTGAGCAAAGGGCTGGTGCCGGAGGAGAAGCCGTTGGATGTTACCGATGATATTTTGACAAGGCTGGATATGACTGTCTTGGGTGTAGCAGAAGAGCTATGATGATTATACTCATATGCATATTTCATTGAATTGTACAGTATTTACCGTGTATCTTCCATCTGTAACACCACACGATAGAATAGCCTCGAGTGTCGACTCTCTAGATCAAACTTGGCCACTAGAAACTTCTTGGCTGCCCCCGGACTAAACCACCCTCGCCTCCTTTCCTTATTCAGCACATTATCCAGCATTCCCGCCATGACCTTGTTTTTCGTCTCAAATGCGTACCACGGCACAGTGTACAGCGATGGAGTGCCAAATGGATTCGGCGGGAGCGGCTCCAGCCCTGTTATCAGGCACACCTTCCAGTAGTCATAATTGTGCGGGATCTTGAGTTCCAATGAACCGAGCATCTTCGCCATTGTAGGCTCAGTGACCCCTAGATCGGAGGAATAGTCAAAGTTCAATACATACAATTCTTTCTTATCATATGCCGATGAGTCGTCTGGGAGGTCAAACCGAAGGCCGCCGAGCGAAACGGCTGCTTTAACTGTGGGCAATACTTCGTTGAAATACATCCATTCACCGGATTGCCAGAGAACATCGACAGGAGGTAATTCTTTGGGCTGCAGAGATCCATCCTGATCTATTTGAGGATAAAAAATGATACCCTGTGGGGGACGCGTGGCGGACAGATTATGTGGAATGAATATCTGTCGCGGTTTGGCCTCCGGGATACGGTTGCCGTCACGTATAATAGCCCATATATCACCGTCTTCAGGCGTCATGATGTAGTTCTCCATCATCACGAGCAGGTAGTCTGGCCGTATTCGGACAAACTCGGACTCGCTGTGCCACGACGTCTTTTGGAGGAGAATGGCTGGTGTGCACACCTCTGATGGGTATTGCATCATGTCGCAGTCTAACACGGCGATGAAAATGGTGCCGGATTTATCACCTGGGACAGGCGCAATGGCAAGCTCCACATTGAGACCACGATTGGAGACTGTGGCCACATGATTTGAGCGTCGTGCGAGATATCTAGGTGGTTTAGTAGATTGAACTTAGTCATGGAGAGAATACATATGCTGGAGATAAAATACCTCGCTGGTTTTATGACAAAACTCTCACGGTACTGTCCAAAGGCCGATGGACTGTCAGCCAAGAGGCCCCAGAAATGCTGCTTCATGGATTGTCCTTTGGAATAGCTCCAGGCATAAATGGAATCATCGTTTGTGGATCTGATAATCTCTTCTTGGAGCCTCTTAAACGCCTTGGCTCGACCCTCTCCATAAAGCAAAGGCATGTTGATGTCAAATAATCCAAGCAAGCAGTAAGCCATGTCCTCCGGTCGAGTAGTTTTGCGGTTGGCGGCCCAGCTCATCTTTTCTGCGACCGAAAAGTCCTCAAGTCTTCGTCCTCGACCATTCATATCTGCTTCGAGCATCACTTCAGGAATGCGGGAGACCTTCGCGATGACGGCCTTGAGAGATGTCCTTGTGCCAATAAAGTTCCATTCTTTCGAGTAGAAGCGCAGCTCTGGAGGAGCAATCAGTTCTTGCAAAGTCCAGCCTCTGAAAAACCAGCGACACTGCTCAATCTCAGGGCCCACCGTTGTCTCGTCTTTGGCGAAGGGGAAGTCATCGAGATACGTGATGCACACTTCAGCTTGCCTGTACCAATGGAACATTGAGTTGATGGCCTCTGACAGCTCTGCGCTGCTAGTTTTGTCGATACAACATGTGTCGATCCATATGTAGTCAAAACCAAGTTCAGAAGCTATTTCACAGCTTCGACGTATCTTTTCCCACCCTTGGGCTCCTGTTCGCTTGTCATGTTGATGGAGATCTGCAAATGTTACCTCCCCATCTCGCCAAGTATGAGATAATATGGAATAGCGTGCGTCCTCATCGGTGGCAAAGGTTTCGAGCTCAAGAGTCTTTGTATTTAATAACCTCATAATAACCTCATTTGATTGACCCTGCTCGAAGGGACTGAGGTGCAGGATAATTATTTTAAATAAGGATTTCACCTTCTTGATCTAGATGACACTCTGCTGCCTATTCAATGCGCGATATCCACGTTTAGCCTTACATTCAGCCTCAGCGGGGTCATGCATGATATGCAAGCCGATAATACTACACGCAATTGCCCTTTTAGGGTGAGCGCGCTTGAATTGCAATGCATCATTCACTCATCATGGGAAACATTTTTCCCCATGGATCTCAATTCATCTCAGGCTAGCTACGCGTATCGTTCCAATTTCAATTTGACTACACAGAATACTTGTCGCTGAATCTGTCGTTCTGGACAACCTCAACCCAGTATCCATCCGGGTCTAGCAGGAAAGCAACATTGTGCATGCGGCCATCCGTGAGCCTCTTCTTCCAGTTGCACTTGAGGTCCTCAAATCGCTGGCAAGCCGCGTCCAGGTCATCCACGGAAACGCCTGAAATATCGGTGTTAGCTAACAATAGTTTTGGTAGTGATACATCCTGAAATAGAGAGCTTACAGATGTGACCGAAGCCCTGAGGTTCGCTGTTACCATTGTGGTAAGAAAAGCTCTCATCCTTCTCGGTACCATAGTTCCAAGTCAATTCAAGAAGACCTTCACGGTCGCTGGTCTTGCCGTCCTGTGGGGCACCCTGGGTTCCAGGATAACCGAGGAAGTAGAGGTTGAATCCTGCGCTGGGGGCCTCGCTAGTTCTGAACAGGGACATGCCCAGGACCTCCTGGTAAAACTTGAGGGACTTTTGAGGGTCCTTGACGCGGATCATGGTGTGGTTCTAGTGAGAGTTAGCAACAAAGTTCTGGTGGACATCAGGTGTAGGCGATTCTTGCCATGCGATAGGTGGAGGGGTCGGTCTCCTTGATGCTGGCAGTCTCCTCAATGGGCTTCTGTCCAATAACCTCCACCCAGTACCCATCGGGATCCAAAGCAAAAGCAATGTGGTTCATTCGTCCCTCAGTCAGCTTCTTCTGAAACTTGTAGCCGGCATCCTCGATGCGCTGGCAAGCGGCCTGGATGTTGTCGACGGAAATGCAGGTGTGGCCGAATCCGCGGTGAGGGTCCTTGTTTCCATTGTTGATGGTGTAAGTAGGGTCGTTCTCGGTGCCGTAGTTGTGGGTGAGCTCGATGACGCCCTCGCGATCAATGGGGGAGTTTCCGCATGAAATGGCGCCCTTGCTGTTGTATCCCATGAAGTACAGGTCAAATTTAGCTTCAGGAAACTCAACCTTGCGGATGACGCTCATTCCAAGAAACTCGTAAAACTTGACTTGATTAAGTAGTAGTATAAGCATAAGCTTTTAACACGTCACAGAGCCGGGTCGTGATGGATTAACCTACCAGACTCCTTCGGGTCCTTGACTCGAATCCTAGATGCCTCATTAGCAACGACTTGGCACGAGATGCGCAGAGCAATATGACACAACATACATCGAGTGATTGAACTTGTAGGTGTTGAGATCCGTAGTGGCCGCCATTGTTGCGAAACTTTGCCGTTGTCTTATACGAAAAGAAAAGTGCACGCTTTTTGCCCCTCGCGATGCCCCGAGAAACGGATGGCGGGGTAAACAATGCAGAGATTTGAGTAGAATGATGAAGACAGAGGAGGATCTCCTTGATCACAAAGGAGATGCTGTCGCTGTATATGAGAAATAATTCCAGCAATTTTTTTCCGAGATTCGTTTGAAGACAGGAGAAGAGAAACAGGCAAAACAGCAGCTCTTGAGCTTCGATATTTATGAAGCAGCTCAGCTTATTAGACGTCAGAGCTTCCGTGTTGCTGCCCCTCACTAGCCCCGCCTTAGTCATCAATCATTGGTAGCGGCTAATACTTTTCCAACACTTTGGGGAATATTACCTCACGAATATTCGGCAAAACGGAATCATGACCGAGATGGTGCATTTTTCCCCGTCACGAGAGCCGGATATAGGAAATAAAGAAAAAAATATATTAGTTATCAGTCAAGTAAATGGGGAAGTGAATGAGAGCTTATAGCAGTGTTTGATGAGTCAGAATCTACTATGATCCTCTGATAGGCGCTACTGGGATACGACAACTCTGCATCTACCCTGTTCCTCGCGCTCATGATGCGAAATTAGATGCCTTGGCCCTTGTAAGAATTGATGGGTGTGCAATAAGCATAAGCATATGTATTGGCTCAAATTCCGTATTTAGTGCTTGATTTGTAGTATATGAAACAGATGGTGGGTTGAGCTATACGAATCCACTCGAGAACGAGTTCTAAAAAAGGTAGACGACTCTGTTATGCGAGAATACATTTTAGCATATTCCATCATAGTGTCAGTATAGGTGTTGGGTTTATTAGCTATGTTGAAGGCCATCCATGGTTCTCAAAATTGCTAACCACTCTGTTAAAAATATGTGGATTATGACGCGCCAGGCTAGTATGAAGTCGGAAGAGGTCAAAGTACCTGGGTCACTGTAGGCAGGGGCCGTATGATGTAGAAAGATGTCTTGCTATCTGTCGTACCTCTGGAGAGGTAACTACCGAATATATACACTCTATCAGGTATACAGCAGGTCATGTGGCCTCACATGAATTCTGGACGTCAACGAATTGTGATGTCGAAGCCGTACGTTGCTTGGATGGGAGATTGAGAGATGAGCAATCCGGGGTACATTAAAATTCGAGCTCTATTCAACTCTGCCTATCTCAGTAGTAATATTGTTTGAGATACCGCCTTTGTATCATAAGATTGTTCTTGGTAATTACCGTGCTATTGTGCAAGAACAGGTAGGAGAATTATTTCTAAAGTGCGGTGAACTAAGATGGTCTGAGCTAGCTACAGATAACCTCCTTTACCGACTTTTCATTATTCTTCATATATTGTTACTTCAGCCATACGCTTTGATGAATTTTGTAATCTCTAATGTTGATGGACAACAAGAGAAAGTTCATAACTAATCTAGAACATTGGACAGTAAGTCAACTATCTATATTTATGACTGTATTTATTTTGATTCCTTTAGAAAGCGATAGGTGAAGTGCCCCGTCGGAAAGATTTCCGTATATAGTCTATTAGTAAGAGTGACATGTTTTCACAGCTTACTTGCCTAATGAGCCTTGAAAGGAACTAAGCGGTTCCCCATCGTGATACACCCTTTACAAAGAAGATCAAGAGCAGAGTATCCCTTATCATCCAATCAACTCTCAATAAAATTGTCTTTAGTTATTTCATGTTATCAAAATTTATGTTCCTTTTAATAGTATTGAATGAAGCACGCGATGTGGAATCACCGAAAGCAGACGAGACAGCATCAAGGGAGTTGGCAACAGCCCTATATTAGCTTACTAATGTAAGCCACCTCCGTGTCTACTATACGAGAAATTAGCACTGAAGATTAATAACCCAATTTGATTGGTAGCTAATCGCTCAAAGCAAGAATTTCCGAAACTAATACAGAATAGTAAAAGTCTAAATACACCCACACTCTTTGAGACCAAGTAAACGCTACTTCCTGACGTAACAAACGTTAACATTTGATTCTCTGTCTCAACTTATCATCTTGTTAGCTCTACGTTAATCAAATGGTAATAGATTTACTTCAGTTATGGGACTCCATCTCACACCGCTTACGGATCACGGATTTGGCTACCTGCTCCGCTAAGTAAATTTATAACTGGCGGATTATACGCCTGACAGATAGTCAGGCAACTTTTCGCCGTTTCCTATGCTTCGAAGGAAAGTATTCCCGACGAGATTCTATGTCATGAACCACTGGGATACTCATTACACAAACGAAAAGTACAACGCTTGAAAATTCATCTGTCCTATCATACCACGGCCTCTGTGATCGGGCTCCACCGCCATCAACATGACTCCCAAAGGCTGTTGGACTTGTCGAGGTACGCGACCAATCGGCTTCCACCCTTTACAATGTGTTGCCCACTAAGAGATTGGTAGATCGCAAAATTAAGTGCGATCGAGGGCTCCCAATATGCAGCAATTGCCGACTTAGGAACGTGCATTGTCAGGGGTACGGCATACGGCTTTCTTGGCCCCGGAGCGGAGATAAACGACGAGCGGTTGAGCTTAAATCGACTACAAAACAAAAGAAACATTTGCTCGGGGAGCTGTATCAGCACAGTCTCTTTCTGAACATGACAACGTGGGATGTGGAGACGTTTTATGAGATGGCCGAAGCTCAATCTAAGAGTAAGAGTCTTTCGCTTTTCAACGCAGAGACTGGTTTTGCTAACCCCATTTAAAAGAAATGACTTTTAACAAGATGCCTATTCCACCGACCCCTCCTTCAATTCAATCTATGAGGCTACATGAGAACGAGTCCGGACTATTACAGTACTGTAGGCAGATGGAAGGCGATATTTGTCGACGTTTACTAACAATTGACTAGTTATGGACATGGGTTCTCGGCTTTTGATTTTGGATAATTTGGGCCATCTGACCGACTGCATCCTGCGACTTGCATTCTACGATGCTACACCGGCTTCGAATGCAATATTATACAGCTTATTGGCATTGTCATCTCTAAATCTAGGTCGAACTGGTCCGGCAGTGGTATTGAAGATCAAGGCGCTATCGTACCTCCAACAGTCGCTGCGACTAGGGAATATCGGCCATAGGACTGCTCAACATCTCATGGCTAGCATGCTCTTATATCTTTGCGAGGTAGGAAAGGCATTTTTAACACAAAGAAAATTAGACTATTCCGCTAACCCTTTACTGGCATTAATAGACATTTCAAATATCGAGCACTACAAAGGACTGGGCGGAATATCTATGTGGCGCGAAGCAAATCGTTGTTTCGGGTGTCCTAGCTCAAGAAGTCCATGCCGACATTTCCCTACTCTTCGATTGGGTTTCATACCACGAGATATTTGCTAGGTTCGGCCTTGTATACTGGAAGCCAGCGGTGGCCATGCGAGGAATGAGATTTTGCGCCATGGATCCTGTGGCCGCAAAGATGCTTGTGCCACGGGTATGTTTTTGGGATTCGAACGGCTCTAGGTTTGCACAAAAAACTAAAATCGTTATAGCATGATTTTGGCTGCGACCGCCAGGTTCTCGACTACACGTCTTCTATTTTCACAGCTCTCATGCCGCGCATTACAGAGGATAAGGATCTAACCCACTCACAAACGCAAGATCTCTACGTCGTGGAAGCCAAGTTACGAAGCGGTCTATTGGAATCTCCACCAATAGATGTAACATCAACTGAAATCTCCAGAGACCGCGACAAGACTACAGAACTGTACCGCATCGCCGCATTGATCTATCTAAACCGAGCAGCACTGGGATATTCAGGCGAAGAACTACGTCACAGAAATCTCGTGCACAGAGGACTGGATCTCTTGTGTGGCAAGTTGACTTATGTACCTCCGTGGCCCGTCTTCATGATATCCTGTGAAGCAAGAGATGATGCTCAGCGGATGACGGCTCTGCAAATACTGGCCAAGGCTGGAGAGGAACCACGGTCGTTCAACATGAGGTTGTTACGGGAGCTTGTGGAGGCATGTTGGAATCAAGATGACCTGCACGATGAAGAGGCAATGGATTATCACACGAAGTTGCGTCTTGCTATCCAATCTGCTCCGTACGTTCCGCCATTCAGCTAAATGGTTTTTTATTAAACTATACTTTGACAACACTGTCTCTCATATCTTCCTGAAGAGGTTAATTGAGAAGCCCCCCGATTTCTTATCTTGTAGCTTAATTCCAGAACCTTTAGCTTGTGGTACCTTGCCAGGGGCCTTATATATCGGGGGTGGCAGCCGTTCTTTCACATCAAAGTTGGCTCCTCTATCAAGGAGTAGGTTAACAATCTTTTCATGTCCATTTGAGGAAGCCAAGTACAGCGGCGACCGGCCAATGGAATCTCGTATATTGATTTGGGCTCCCCTATCCACCAACAGTTCGACGATGCTCTCATGTCCCTGCGCGGCGGCTTCTTGTAGCGGTGTATGTTGAGAGCGGTAGTGCGTCAAGTCAACTGTAGCGCCGCTATTAAGCAACAGCTTGGCAGTACTGTAATGCCCTCTCTTGCAAGCTAACCGCAAGGGTGTTTCGTTGGGTTGATCAAAAGAGTTGACGTCGGCGCCCTTGTTGAGCAAAAGCTCAACGATGTCATCAAATCCTTTATCAGCCGCTACTATTATTGGTGTCTCCACAGACTTTTCATACTTAAAGTCAACTTTGGCCCCGTTATCAAGCAGCAGCTTAATTATGGGTATGTTTCTTTTGTGAATTGCGAATAAAAGAGGTATCCCATACTCGCCAACAGAGGAATCAAGCTTGGCGCCCCGAGCAAGCAGTATCTTGACGATATTCTCATGGCCGCCATCTATAGCACATATCAAGGCACTCTTTTTATGTCTATCCACCCCATCGATATTAATGTCATCTCTCGTTAGCAGGAGCCATACTCGGTCTTGAAATCCTGATTCAGCTGCGCGTATTAAAGTTTCCGGATCCGTGACGCTTATTAACTGCTCGAGCTTTTCATTGTCGTAAATAGTGTATTGAGTAGTGTTATCATATTTCCCAACGGCTTTGGATCCCCGAGTAGGCGTCATTCGCCCCGTTTGGACGCATAGTTTTCTCATTGGATAATATGAGGATTTGACCTTTCTCAGATCAAGCTGCTCCAGCTTTTCGCTCTTGACTCTCTCAAATGTTTGCATAGTTCCGAATACGTCCCTCAAATAGATGGCAATTGGCCTATCTTCCACACCTTGCTGTTTGCAATGAAGAATTGCGAGGCCTAATCCTTGAGGTCCCTTACCCATAAAACGGGCACTTAAATGGATCCCTCGGCTATTTATGGTCGAAGCATCGTTGGGGTCGTTGAAGTGATTGAATGGAATAATATTTTTGGAGTTTTTGAACGCCTCGGGAGAAGTTGCCAGTAATCCGCCGCGATTATCAGGAGATTCCCACGCAAAAATACTATGGTCATCCGAGACTCTCATAATTTCCTCTTGGAGCCTAATAAAAGCACGTTCGCCTTCTCCATAAAGCAGGGGCATATTGATGCCAAATATTCCCATCAAACTGTAGGCCCGATCTTCAAGCCTTTGTGTCTTTCTGTTGGAAGCCCATGACATCCTTTGTGCAATGCTGGCTGTTTCAAGATCATCATCACCCGACAGGATGCTGATGGGTATACCAGTGCATCTAGACACGACTTGTTGCAGGTCTTTTTTAGTTCCTAGGTCGTTCCAGTGCTCATCAACAAAGTAAACCTCTGAGGGTGCGACAAGCTCTTGGAGAGTCCATCCTCGGGTAAACCACTCGCTCTCTTCAATATTGGGTTTCGAAGGGATATCCACCAGATAGGCATAGCACCTCTCAGCTTGATAATACCAGAGGTACATGGAATTGATGGCCTCCGACAACTCTGCGCTGCTCGTCTTATTTATGCAGCACGTGTCAACCCAGCCATAGTCAAACCCGTCGGCTTTGGCTCTTGAGCAAAACTGTTGCACTTTTTTGTGTCCTTGCTTTTCCGTGACACCTTGTTCCAAATCTTGGAGGGTGAGTTCGTCTTTGCCCCACCGATGAGATAATATGGCGTACTGAGGAATATTCCCATATTCGAATTCTTGAGCCTCAAGTGTATCAGTTCGTAACAAACGCATGATGTGGGTTAATGCTGGCTGTGTATGAAAGCCAAGAGATCAAGTGTAGGAGAACAATTGCGTCGTGCCTAATGTGGAGATGCGGAAACAGTCGTGAGCAATACGTGGAAGTTCTCGGCTCGTAAGCGGGGCTTCAATCCTTTTGCTGCCAATCCTCCATTCAGAGATCCTGTAGCGAATAAGTATTTGATAAGATGTGAAGCGGCTGCAGAGATTGAGATTTGTTCTAAAATTGAAGAGCGCGATTAGGCGCGAGTAAGCACCGAACAAAACATGCAGGGGGTCAATCTAAAACGAAATGATCCCGTCATTTGCCTTGTGATCCTTCACCACTCTTGGTTGGACATGGCTGACTCGGTAATGCAACTCCGGTATACGTATTTTTGCAATCAACGTTGATATGCGCTGTGTCGTAACGTGTCACGAATACAAATCTCAATCGGCCACCGCCGACAAATATGGAAAACATAATTGAGAATATTAATCTAGATTTAGACATACATATCTTGCGTAGAATCTAACATTGCTACCCACCCCAATCATTTCTAGCAACTAAATCAAAATTCAGGCTTACGGCCAACCATGAAGTACATCGGCGTAAACAACTTCTTTTTTCCTCCCTCAACCAATGCATCGGCCGCCTTTCCAAGGCTCTGGGCCGTCTTCCTGGTACCAGCCGGAGCAATCTGCAGCAGCTCTAGAAGCGAGATGAAAGCATGAGAAACTTCTCTGCCGAAACGGTTCATCCTCAGGACCATCAGCACATCCATAAATGTCTGCGCATAGCGAAGATCAGTGCCCAGAGGCCAATACCACGGAGCGACACTTGTATCGTTGCTGTCCTCCTCGGCAAGGTCGTAGTGGGTTTCAAGAGTGAAACCTGCGGCTTGGATGGCGGCGAGACCGTCTTCGACTTTGAGCATCTGAGCAATTCCGTCGCCTTGCTCAATGTCGAGTCGGATTCGGCGATGGGTCAAGTCATCGTTGTTGTAAGCATCTGTCATGAGCCATTCGTAGACTCCAAAGACACCTCCTGGCTTGAGGACACGGAAGATTTCTCTGTAGACACTCTCTAGCGATGGCGCGTGGACGGTAGCCTCGATTGCGTATACGGCATCGAACGAGTTGTCGGGGAACGGCATGTTCTATTGTGGTGAGAGTTAGTTTCAGCCACCGCCTTCTTGTTCCCATAGACATTGGAATACTAACCATGAAATCTCCCTGGACGAAATCTAGCTTGTGTGTAAGTCCTTCTTTAACAGCATATTGGTTGGCCCGGCTGATTTGGTAGGAGTTAATGTTCAAGCCGGTGACGTGGCATCCTGTAAACTTGACAATTTCTCGTGCTGGTCCGCCAACACCGCAACCAACATCTAGTACTCGCATTCCAGGCTTGATGCCAATATTGCTTGCCAGAAAATGCTCATGTCGGTTCACGGCTGCCCTGAAAGCCTCTCCGTAGGCAAATCTACAGAAGTGGAATGCTTCGCCCCAGCCATATTCATAAAGATCGGTCGCCAGGTTGTAGTATCTGTCGGCGGGTTTTAAGTTAGTAACGTGCCTTTTGCAGTAGTAGACGAAAAAGAAAGAGGAAAGGTTTCCATACTGTCTGGTCAAGCTTGCATAATCAATCACTCGAGATTGGCGAACTGCTTCAGTCTCATCTTCGGCCTTTTTGTCATCCCAGTGTTGGAAGTACTCAACGACGGCCGCCTTGTGTGCTTCGTTGTCTTTGTTGATCATAGCACGAAGACCACCCTGAGATGTCGACGAGTCCTTGTGCAAGATCTTGTCGAAGACCATGTTTCTGGCCTGATCGGCTGGAAGGAGAGCCTGACTTGTTGAGTTGACCATTTTGGCGGTGGTTTTGGTATTGATAAGTGAAGAAAGGTTGGACGCTTAAAGAAAGAGAATGATTTGAATAGAAAGAGGATCTGAGCATGATGGGAATCGAAACAAACAGAAATGCAGTCTCTTATACTTGTAAACATTGGCTTTCATCTTCTAGATATCTGCTTACATTATCAATCATCTAGATCTACAAACAGCCGGATAACGTTACCTACCTTAGCTGTCGTGTCAACTCGCCTCAAGCACAAGCACAAGCGCACTCCCGAATACGAATGCGGCACCCGCGTATACGCGTATTCAGCACCACCCACATCAGCTCCTTCAATGCCAAACCGGGTATCCATCCAATCAATTGCTTCATTATTGTAGAAATTGATGAAATGTTCCAAGCCTCGAGCAAATGCGGCTCGTATTTCTTAGCGAATGCACCAGGAAATACGCGTATATGCAGTCAAGATGGTGCCTCTTTGGGCCGTTACGGCGGTCAAACGCTTATAGAGGCTCGATTTTTGAAAGGCGATACGCGGAAGATGCCACAAGGAGACAATCGGTATCAACGGCCCCTCCAATAATCTGTTTCAACTCATTTTAGATCTCCTTTCATGAAGGAATTCCATGGTTCTAAGAAGGCGTAATTTGATTCCACAGCGCTTATCAATGAGACGGTGAGTGGATATCCATCCCTCGGCATTAGCAGATGCGGTTACGACGAGCTCCAAATACATCATGTACTGGGTGGAAAAGCTTTTGCATCCCCCCTTTTTGTCTTAATATGTTTTGCTCGTTATGAGTTGAAATAGATTTTGACCAGAAAATGAACTAGCATCGTCAGCATATGATTTATAATGCCCAAATGCTAGAGAGCATGTCCATCCACATACTGTAGGGATGAAAGACCTCCGTCAGAGCGACGTTACTCCCACAGCCGTAACACGTAGAAGAATTCACAGAGCTTCTCCACAATAGTCAACACAAGGGGCTTCTCCTCTATGCTAAAACCGGCTCTCCTATGCAGGTCAGCAATCACCTTAATCATTTAGCTTCCTCGGCAGATAGATTAGATCCATTCACATCTTCTCTCGGACCAGTCTAGACTCTTGTTATTCTCTTTGACCCTTTATCGTCGTTTCAGTTTATTCATCATATTGCCACTCTTGTGCGTCTCCATGACCGCCTTTGCGAAATCACGACCTAACAAGAGAAACCACTCTCCCAATACACTGACGTGGAACTGTTGGACGAGTTTACATTCGGTCTAACAGTATTGTGGTTTCAAACAACGCAGAGCGTTGATACTTCTCTTATCCTTGGAATGCTCAAGCAGCTAGTTATGATATGACCTCCCAATCCTCAATATCTTGATCCACTTCTGTCTACTAGGAGAAATCTCACTGTACCGATATTTGCCTCCTTACATTCAACATATTAAATCACTGGCCATTTACAGATAAATGCTAAATTTACCCTTATGCTAGGTCATCGTTCACAGACACACCATCCATCGCTACGGAGAGGCGAATTCTCGAGACCGATTGTTCTGTTCCCCGACTGTACCCATCACGAGCGAATAAGGAATAAGGCAGCGTTAAGACTTCTGTGATACGGACGGTATTCATGCTTGCTAAATACTTAGAAAGAGCTGTGGTTTGCTAAATGGTGCCAGCACAATATACCTCTTTAAAGATGGGCGGCATGAAACTTTTCCCTCCATCTCAATCATTTTAATATCCAAAATCCTCCCAAACTACATCTTCACCCTCCAACCAACCCCTCAACGACGTCAAAAGCGACGGTCCCGTACATAGATAGAATTTCTTTCCTCCCTGCTTCATCTCTCCAAAATCACCAGCGTTAATCCGTCGGTCGTGTACCGCTGCCCCCCGCTCACGAATCTTCTCGAGCAACTTCTCTGTGTCCTCCGAAGAAAGCGATCCCGTCGCAAAAATGGTAGTCTTCTCTGCCAAACCGGGGATTCTATCGAAAGTATGAAGCGCAAGGGGAAGGTCTTCGCCGCGCAGCGTCCACAGTAATTTTAATGGAACGGAAGCGTCGAGGACTGCTTTCGCTTGTGCGAGAATCGGCGTGATGCCTACGCCGCCAGCAACATAGACAGGCTCCTTGAACGGTGTTGTAGCGGTGGTGGAAATGGGTAGTGCAAAGGCTTCTTTGCCGCCGAACCCCATGACGGTGAGGTCGAGGGGGACGCGGGTGTTGTGCCTCCAGAGGAACTTTGTCACTGGTCCATGGAGACGCGCGGTGATTTGGAAATGGTCCTTTTGGGGAAGGGAATTGGGAGGGCTGGAGACGGTGAATGTGCGGACGTAGTCGTCGTTGAGGCTTTGGGGGTCTTGGTCGTTCATGTGGGCGTAGCCGCCGCTGACTTCCATTTCGAAGTTGATGGTGACGTGGTGGCCGGGTTGCCATTTGGGGAGGCTGTGTGGATCTCTTGTCTCGAGCTTGAATGTGAAGACGGCGATTGTAGGTGTGAGAACGTCCCTTGCAACGAGAGTGGCGTTGACGTCGGGACGATCTGTGGAAGCTAGAGCTGGAGCTCTCTCGGAGAGGAGATATCGTACTGGAGGGTTGTAGGGAGAGGGTTCGTTGGGAGTGCCGCGGAAGGGGAGGCTGGATTTGACGAGGCTGGAGGCGGAGATTGTGATTTTGACGGCCATGTTAGAGCGGGAGATGAGATCGGAGGCTTGTTTGCCGAGGAGGATGGTGGAGTGGCCGGTGAGATAGAGGGCGTCGGAGGTGTCGTAGTCGGGGATGACGATGCCAATGAGGGGGTTCACTTTGAGGTTCCCTAGCGATTGATATAACCTGTTTCCAGAGTCTGTTATTGCCACAATTGTTAGTTTTCGGGAAATGATGAGCAGATAGGATAAAGAACCTACACTCTGGATATACTAGCTCTACCCCATTCTCGTCATTCTTCAACACTCTGATGAATCCCCGCGGTCCACCTCTGTGATTCGTATCCATACTCTCCCCATTGGTGCTCGATAAGAAGAACATGTCTGCCTTTTCAATCAGAGCAATTGCTTCAGGTGGCAGTATCCCTCCTGGACCTCCAGGCACCAATTCAGGCTGGGGTACAGTCTTCTCAAGCGTCTTCTTATTGATGTACTTGGGGCAGTTGCCAAGGCTTTCCTGAACATGAAAAGCAAGCTGTACCTCGGTTTCAGGACCGCGAATGTCAGCGCCAGCAATAAGTCGACCAGCAAGCTTGACGCGATCCCGAGTCTCGAGATCAATGGATAAAGCGGACATCATCTTGCCTCCCTCAGGCCTCACTATGCCTTCTTCGTCGGCACCACCATTCTTACCCTCAGAAGGCGTCCAGAAAGCCTTATACACAGGATCAAACTGCTTGTCCACGGCGCTTTTGACACCGAGCACACCCTCGGCTACCGGCCTTGCAAAGCCTCTCTCTCCGCCCCAAATCGTCGTCCATGGTCTTCCCTCGTCATCCAAAGTCCCAAGTGCAACGAGCTGGGAGTGCATCACTCTTACGGCGTAGGGCATAGGGCATCCCGGCGAGGTGGGATTCTCAAAGCGAGGCGTCCGCATCTCCCGATGCATGGCGACCTCGCCCGGATGCCAAGTTGACACAAGAGACGGCATTGTAGCGTCGACTACGATGGATGCGTTGGTGGTGAAGATGCTCTGAGGGGCGTCTGGTAAGAAGAGCAGCTGCGAGAGGTTATACGAGATGATTTGGCTGAGAAGCATGCCTTGTCATGGCAGCTATGAGCAGAAGAAGAATGAGCTGGAGGGGTTGGGCTTTAAGAGCAACAACCCGATGTTTCTAGAAATGGCAGACGCCCGGCTAGACAAATCGCCTCACTAACCTCCTCGCCTTCACAGATTCCAAGCACACCAAGGTTGATTTAACGGAATCGGAACCTTGAATGGTGACAAATCAAGGTGCGGCAAAAGCGCCGCGTTTCCCTCATTCGTCTGCTTGATGCTAGCGCTGACAATTCATGCAAAGGTTAAATCCAGAGACGCGCCCCCCGCATTTTATCTGCAAATGTCAGCCTGAGCTTTTCTCTACAGTAAGTAAGTGGAATATGTCTTCACATTGTTTTAAATATTGAGATTGCAATGCGTTGTGGAAACCAACAAGAGAAAACCTCTCTTCCTGTATTATTCAGCTCATTCACAATGGACATGATACGATAATCCTAGTTCGTCCTGCATCCTCAATTACCCCAATGCCTTATCCCTCGAACCCAATCATGATATTTGGGTATATATCCTTTGTGGTGGTACAGATCCCGCAGCTGTCTGTCTCATCCTTTCCTTGCGCCTTACGTGTATCGTAGATCATAATGAAATCGCGGTTGAAAAGAAAATAGTTTTAGTTCCGAACCGGTCGGACAGATTAAAAGGCTGTCTATCTTTAATATCTACCACCGTTCTGCGCCTCAACATCGTACGCATACGCTGATCCATATGCTGATCCATATGTTGATCCAGATTGAGCTTGGGTCTGTGGATTGTAAAAGTCCTGGGAATTCTGACGAAGCGGCTGTCTGGGTTGCGGCATTCGTGATCCATTTCCGCCATAGAAATTGTCTGCCGGTGCACGAGTAGACATTGGCGCAGTCATCTGCCTCTGAGGAGAGAACCGCAACCCGCGCAGGGGCACTTGATTCGATGCACTTCTCACGGGTTGCTGAGGAGCTCTCGAGTAGGATGATCCTGCCGCGGATGGTGCTGGGCTAGATCGACCCTCGCTGTTGAAGGTGTATGACCTTGGTGGTGGGCCTCGTAAAGATTGAGTATCGTCTTGCATATACTGACCATTGCCGTACTGATCGGCGATACGGGACGGAATGGACCTTGCCGACGGCGCATACAATGGCGATGCAGCTGCTGGGCCCATGCTCGCGGGGCTTTGGGAGAAAGGCTGGTGATATGAGTTTGAGCCAGTCCGCAGATGGCTCATATCCAGCCGAGGGCCACTACCTGGAGGGCTGTGAGAGCGCGGCTGACCATATGAGGAATTTGAGCCTGTTCGCATATGGTTCATCTCTGTGCTTCTCATAGAGTCTCCCGTCCCAGCCCTCTGTAGATACGGTACAGCTGGGACCATGTCTTCGGGCGAGGCCGATCTGGTACTCGTATATCCCATATCGGCAGCGGAACTAACAAGTGGTGCCCGAGAAGAATAGCTCATTGTCGAGGCTCCTGTCATGCTCCGTGGGGGCATTTGTCGCTTAAAGTCTCCGACTGGGGTCCCCGGTTTCGAAGTGTAGGCGGGCAAAGGCGCAGTGACGCCGACTTGCTGCTGTGACGTGAAGATGCCGACATTTGGCAGAGTAGGAAGCGTTGTGTCGGGGTGGGCCTCGCCCTTCTCGGTCATGGCTCTCTTCATCCTGTCGGCCTGCCCCTTGGCGAGCGCCTTGTTGACCGTCTTGGTCACAATCTTGAGCAGAGCGCTGTTGACTTTTCGCTCGCAGTATCCTGTAAGGCCGCCATCCGAACGTGGAATCCAGTGAAACAGGAAGAAAACGTAGAAGAGGGCGGCGGAAAGCAAGTACAGAGCTGAAAAGACCCAGACGACCAGTGTGAAGCACATGCCTCCGAGAATGGCGGCCTGGCGAAAGTCCTGTTCCGCAAGCGTCTTGATCTTGTCAAAAAATCCCGAAATGGAGCCCTCGACTGAATTTGAGCTGACGGCGAGCTGGGCCAGGTACACAGACCTAAGAGTAAAGGCATTGACTACCTGTCGCGGGCTGGTACAGAACAAAACACGGATCCAAGCTGTATAAGTGTCAGTAAAGGCGGGCTAATTCAAACAATTGGAAAGCAAGAGGAGGGGTAAAATTCATATGAATGTTAGAACGTACATTGAAAGCTAAAGTAAGTAAAGAGGGCAATGTATTCGGCACCCTTTTTACTCTTGGTGAGCTCGGTGAAGACAAGAAATCGCTTAAAACCCTGGCCAGACCCGAGGCGGATTGACTCCCAACGCACAGCCAGACTGTCAAGATAGACCTCAGCAACATTGCCCCTTTTGATCTTTCGAGCTGCGCGAATCCACTCAAAGCCGAGGTTGACAAAGGACAAGATGATACAGATGGAAAATATCCATTTCGAGACGGAAAAGGGAATGGCGGGCTCGATCTTAGACGACCATCGGTTGAAGACGAGCAGCTGGACGGCAGTAAAGGTATCGACTCCGTAGACAGCGAGAGAGATGATGAGGCCCATCCAGAGGGTGATATAAGCAAAGATGGCACCACAGCCCTTGGCCTTGAAGTCGGAGAGGTTAATGTAATCCCATTTCTGGTCGGTATATTGCCGCGTCTCCTTGCTGCGGTGACTGAGGCAGCCCATTTTGGCGATGTGGGATGAGCAAACGGCGGGGTATTCGAATCGGCTCAAAGAAGGAATATGCGACGGATCGAATTGGAAGCAGCCGAAAAAAAGGACAAGGAGAAGGAGAAGTAGTGATAATGATACAAAGAACGAACAAAGAAAACAGAAAGTAAAGAGGTCGTAGCGTAGAGAGTGTTGGTTTGTACGGTCCTGCCGATAGCACTCGTCGTCCCTCGCCTGCGAAGTTCCGACGGCGCTCCCTCAAAAAAAGAACGACGAAACCAGCGATGGTGATCACCGGGAGTCTGAAGAGAAAACGACTGGCGTCTTCAAGAAGAAAAAGAAAAGCGACAAAAGGACCGGCATGGGCATGTGTGGGCACAACAGAGGAGCGCTTCACAAGCGGCTCACCTCAAGCTTAGGCGCTAGAATACACCGCGCACGCGCTGCACCTGCAGGTCCCCGTCGAAAAAAGGGCGAATTGCGATCGGCCAGCGAAGCGTGCAGCAAACGGGAGCGGGATGGACAAGGAAGAGGGGAGAGCAAGAGCTAAAAGAGAGGCCCCCAAAGGTGAGGCAAGGCGGGAGGGAGTGGTTTGCAGGCGGGCTTGGCGTCGCAGAAGAGCCCCTTGAGCGTGTGTCAAGATGGCTGGGGGTGGCGACGGCTTCGTTTCTGGATCGGGGAAGATGACAGCGGCAAAGGAGTGACGATTTGTTTGGACGAGAGATGCTTGTTTCGGAGGAGGAGGAGAATGCAGAATGCAGATGCAAGATGTTGGGTCAGTGCCTGAGGATATAATACAATAGAAGAAGGTACAACAATGTATTGACTGAACTACTCTAGGCGGTGGGCATCGCTATTATTTTGCCAAGGTGCTATCTCTAATGAATCCAACAAGTGAAATGAGGTGAAATGCGTGATGGAACACTATACAATAGTAGCTACTAGCACCGGTACCTTGTCTCAATCACACTCAAGGCTCATGCTCTTCGTAGATGAAAGGGAGCTCTCAAAGGGAAAGCCCTCAACTGGAGACGAACGTGGAGTCGCAGCTGAGGGCCATGTATACATTGATCTACGGCGTTGACACCCTGCTCTCGCATGTCACTCACTTCCCCCAGGCCGTTTACTTGTACCACTCTTACATGGGAATAGATACAGCACATGCAATAGAGACTATTCCCGCCAAAACCCCCATCTTTCATCTCTTGCTCGGCTACCAAAAAGGCTTCATCTCCATCAATCTCATGTAACATCCCTGGCGCCGGGGGGGCTCTAGCGGCAAACCCGCTTCCCCCAAAGAGCCCAAAGAGGCATCTTGAAACACCCCTGCAGGCGCCGCTCAGTGGCCGATCGCTTCAGCATATCAGCGGACGCTCAGGCACCTGTGGCCTGTGATTGGGCCTCTGGAGCACCCCTGCGGCTGGTCAGTTGTTTCGCATTTTGCGTGCTCAAGCGCCAACTTGTCAAACCGGACGAGCTGCGAGCCGTGCATTTGGTTCGGTTGGACGCCGTCTGTCCGTTTGATGCCAAGGGGCGGAAACAATAAACATTCCGCAGCGCTTGGCCTCGTGCCTGGGCCATGGAAGCCAAGACAAAAGAAACGAATGAAAGAAGGAAAAAATAGAACAGATGAACTGCTCCCAAACGTGGGGTGTAGGTAATATTGCACCATGGAGAGATAATAACGCAAAAGATAGGCGGGCAATTTATCTGAACGCGCTAAATTCACAAAGGTCATTTCATTCCCTTCATCACACAAAGGACCTCCCGCGATAAGCTCGAGAGACCTCCATGGTCAATACAAATGCGAATGTATGCATGTTGTCTGGCCTTGATCGCCATTACTATGAAACACGCTATGTCCACAGTGACATCAGCTCCGCGCCGGTGCCGTCTTTTGGGATGGAATGAACGAATTCAGACATTTTAGGCTATATATTTGGCATCACTCTGCTATTTCCAACCTCTCCCTACCTACTGGCTGTTGGCTGTGAAAACTAAAGTACCAAGGTGCTACTAACAGCTGGACCCCAAGCAACACCCTAAAAGATACAAGGGCGAAATACATCCATGGATGGACGCTCTCATTCTTCAGTCCTTGTATAGCGATGGAACTTGTACACATCCAGTCCTTCGATACTGTCAAAGTTTTGCTTGCTGAGGACGGCGCACACTTCTGCGGGCAGGAAGCACTTGGAGCCATGGAGCTCGCATGACCACATCAACGTTGCCAGGCCCGGCTGCCGGAACCCACGAAGAGCCTTTACAAGAGCCACGATGCTGTATCCGTTAAATGGCCGCTGTGGGGGCGACGTAAGACCAACGTCTTGCATACCTTCGACGAGAGCATCGGGTAGAATCGTAGCGCAGCCTACCGTGCTGTTGGACGGATACATGGACGAGCAAATGGGCAACACCTCTGATAGCTTGTTCTTCAAGAGGTAGAGGTCGAAAAAGAGATTCTCCATGAGGCGCTGTCTCGTCTTGTCAATAGCGGCTATGAACTAGTTAGCTGTCTGACTGATGATGGGATATTACATGAACCTAGGTCCATGGAACTGGAAACCCACCGATGATGCTCTTTGGTATGGGCAAGCCCAGTGTGTGCATGGGCCCCCTGCTTTCTCGTATAACCATGGCTGTGAATGCCGCAAAGTCGAAGCTATCTAAAAATACCCAAGATATGTAGAGTCTGAGCACAAGGCTCTGCCCATAACAGGTAGGAAAGGATTCTTTGAGGCGAGAAATCCACGTGTCTGCAAAGGGCTTTACTGTCTGGTGGCATTGAAAGTGGTCAACAATGACGGCGATGTTAGCAAGCATCTCGAGGCTAATGTTTGCAGGAACATTGGCTGTGTAGCCGTGAATAATATTCATCACCATTTCCAGTGCTTTCTCGTCCCAGTGTCGGGCGACGAGGAGATATTTGTACGTAAATGGTACAATATCTGGCTGGCTGCTGGGCTGCATTTCCCTGCACATGGGCGATACAAGTGCGAGCTTCTCTGATGAAAGCAGCATCCAGATTTCTCGTTGATCATTATCCTCTGATGTAGGAGCTCTCACTTCGAATTCGCTAAGCTGCAGTTCGTCAGTCAAAGCTTCCGGTAAAGCATTCTCCCACACAGGGTCTTCTCCTCGTGCTCCGATAGCTCGGTTGGCGTTTTGGAGGATGAGGATCGTATCCCCATCTCCGTCGATACGGTAGACAATTGGCTCCATGGTGACGACAAGATATTAAATCAATAATGTTGTCGCATAGTACCAAGGATAGATCAAGAGGCAGGTCCACGGCATTTTATGTCATGATGAGAGCGTGAGGCAATATTCACGATTCGTTGTAAATTGGCCATGTTCAGAGGCAAAACGCAACAGAACGATGATGAACATGTTTACTTGAACTGTTAGAGGTCTAATCAAGCACTGAACAATTGCTTCCCCAGCATTCTATAATGAAAACTGCGACAATGAGGACTAGGTCAAAGAGTATGAAAGTACGGATGCGGCAAAGGTGGATGAACAAAGGAGCGCTGCATAACAACGTTAATAGACAAAGCAACAGCTAGCGACTGTTCTGCCATTGTATGTAATGGTTCATAACTACATATATTTAGTACTGCGAAATATATGTATTCAACATCGGGCTGTTGTACGACTGGCATTGATTTTTTCAACACCGAATTATCGTCGTTCTGTGATTCCAGTCTGCTAATTCACACCCATTGAACGTTGAATATGGCATCTAACGACGCCCCCAGCACTCCAGAATTCGAGCTTCCCTACCAAACTGAACAGGGTGTCTGGTTTGCCACCAAGAAGAACGATTATGGCTCCCCAAAGTACATTGCCCAGCCCTTCGGTATCCTCGATGGATCTAACCTAGAGGACACTCATGCGGCCAAAACACAGGAAACAGCTACTGCATCTGCGGCATTCTACGATCTCATGAAGAATTTGAACCAAGGTCCTACTGTTACTCAAATCTTTAATCACGAAAACATCATATCAATCGCCGGCCACATAAAGACTCATCCCATCCTTAGTATCGTTTCAGCAGCGGAAGACTCTCAGCTTAGCAATTCAAGGGAGTACATCGTTTTGGACTATTGCGACGCGGGTAATCTCAGTGCTCTGTTCCAGAACACTCCTTGCACGTCTCCTGACTTTTATCTGCCCGAGTCACTCTGCTGGCATGTCTTGACATCGCTTCTCAACGCCATCACGTATCTCCACGATGGAAAGCGCCTCTTTCTAGATACAATGGCACCACGGGGACGAGAACGACAATGGCTGTCAGTGGATCAAGACTGGAATCCGATTTTGCATCGAGCAATTGAACCAAGGAACATATTCTTTCAGCATCCACGGGGCAGCGAAACATATGGACTGTGTAAACTGGGCAACTTTGAACATGCAGCCGTCACGAATCATGTCATTCTTCCTGGTGATGGAGCAGATGCTGTGAATGGGGATGCAGAGATTAGCAGAGCAATGGCTCCGCATCGGGGCTTTGAGTCGTTGGATATAACGCGCCACAAACTGCACAAAGGTGCTGAAGCAAATACAACAGTATGTTTGGGACCACCTGGTTCATTATTTTCGTTATCTCATTCCAAAGAAATCAGTAGACGCTGATGACAGCTTAGAACAACCGCCCTTATACTGTCGCTGACGAACTCTTTTCCGTCGGCGCTGTCATCTTCACTATGATGACAGGTCGAGAGTTTCCATTTTACTGTAAACCCGCCATGGCGCGGTATTCAAGGGGATTGCGACAAGTAGTGGCGGATCTGCTAGCCCTGTACCCAAGCAACGAGACCAAGATTACAAAGGTTTTGCCGCTGACCAAGTTGGTGATGGAGCACTATCGGGACTGGAAGAATGGCACAGACGAGGGGAAGTGGTATAAGGATATTGAGGATGACATGACGGTGAGATATGAGGCGGAGATGGGGAAGAGAGCACGAGAATGGAGATGAGCTGGAGATGAGGATTAAACGGGGCCGCGGAGCCGAACTAATGAAACGGGGATTTTAGCTTGCATGCAGCTAAAGCAGTACTTGATGGTATATCGCGCATCCTCACAGGGGGATCTGCAGTGGTGATCTTTTTTTTTTTGTTTTGTTTTATACGCCGAATATTTAGATGGAGAGCTTGAATCTTTGGTCATGTAGCTTGTGTTGAGGTTTGAATGAGCTTCGCTTAAAACAGTGCATTCGTATTCCACCGCTTTTGATGCAAAGTTTCCATGATATTTCTCAAAACTTTAACGGTGATTCAGTAATACTTAGTGCCTCTGGTACCTACTAAGGTATTCCTAGGTATTATATGTTAGTCCTATTACCAACACTCATAAAATGCCATCACCAAGATGACATTCAGGAAGCCCCACCAAACACTCAGGAGAATAAGGCAGCTGCATCTTCTAATACAACAGCCCTCCATCTCTCCATCTCCTCACCAACATCAAAGACAACAAGAAACACCTACCTGGTCATAAACTCAAACCCCCAAAACCCAATCCAAGCATAGCTCGTGACTGCGGGACTTGGCGACGTCTCTCCGCGCAGCGCTAGAACCAAACCAGAAACCCGCTAAGCGACTCCCATAGGCTCCTCGATCCGCTCACCTCAGCTCCAGCTCCTCTTCCTCCAACCTCGGGTCAACTTTTTTTTTGTCTCGCAATTCAATTTCACGACTAAGCCGGTGCTTGTTACACAGCATCTCGCGTGAGAAAAAAAAGAGGCGCTCAGACGCTCGCCCGACTGGTCCAGTCGCTGCAAGAGAGCGAGGTGAGCAAGCAAGCAAACGGCTCGTGACGCGCATCCCGTCCAGCCGCTTCCTCGCTTCCTCGCTTCCTCGTCTCCCTCTCCCTCTTCTTCTTCGTCTTCTGCTTCTGCCTCTTCTTCCCGCGGACGGCTCGACTCTCCCTGCTTTTGCTACCCGAAACATCCGCCGATACTCTAGAGCGCCGGGACCTGGAAAAAGAACAGTACTAGAAAAAGTCAGGCCATCAAAAACCCCCGACTCTCGCCATGTCCGTCCCCAACGCAACGCCGCCTTTGCTCCTCACCAAGAGGCTTAATACTTTCCTCCACTCTCACCAAACCGCCCACCTACCTACTCTCCTCCTCACTACCTCCCAAGGCAAACTCCTGGCGCACGCCTCCTCACAGCCCGTCTCCGTGCTGCGTACCCATGCCACCGTTGCCGCCTCTCTCCTCGCTATCCACACATCTTCCTCGGCTGCCATCCCGACTGCTCTGCCTGGATCGCGCACGCCCGATCCTATGAGCAGTTCTCCCGGCAGTCCTCGTGGAAGCGACGATCACCACCTCGACCACGACGATGACGACCACGACGATGGCCAGCACGCGACCGAGTCATCCGACAGAGCGCGATCCAAGCAGAGGCTAAGACGCACCATCAGACCCGTCACCATCACCGTCCAGCTCAGCGAAGGTACCGTCATCATTCGGCGCCTGAAATGTGGCCTACTTTTCGTCTGCGTCGGTCCCGCTGCGTATAGCCTGCAGGACCAGCACCACCAGTCATCGCACTCTCACCACGAAAACGGTGACGGCGTTGGAAGCCCGAGCGAGGTGGAAAGCCTGATAAGTGCAGGTGGCCTGACAACTTCGAGCTTGGAGAGCGCGAGTGCCGCGCCGGTGGTGGCGATGAGGAGACATGCCGCCGAGTTGGCGCGGTGGTTGGACGAGAAGCTTGGAACACTCAAAGTCCCTGAGGAGGGCATTGGTGTTGTCGAGTTGTAAGATGGAGGAGATGTGAAGAACACGGGGGGTCTGAGGTTTCGAGAGGAAGTAAGATTGCATCATGTGCTGGTAAACCCGTTTGGCGTTGGATTGTGCATCTTTTTTTTTTTTATACATTTGCCATGGGGAGAAGCAAAAAGGGAAAACTACCTAGTTTTAATTTATATGTCTTGTAATACTCGAGGCGTTCAGGATTAGATACCAAAATGAACAGCAACGAAGACAGTGGATTCTATCATTCATGTTGTTTTCACTAATATCCCCACGATGACTAAAAATTCCAAATGTACAAATCTGACTTCTTATGAATTGACGCAAAATGTTGTAAACGCTCCAAATAATCATACATGGTTATACCGCCCCTTTGATACATGAGTTAATACACTGTGTCCCGTAGTTCCATAGTTCGCTTCTGCCAGTCCATCCCGGCAGGATCACCAACGCCGTACAATGCAATAAAGCCTCCCCCGTCTTCCATCCCACGTTCACGATAAGATCATGAATACAATGCGAAGTAAGTAGCCCGCCAGATATGCGCCCTGTTCACTCAATACTCATCCGCATGATGCCGTCGTTCGTATCGACCATGCCTTGCAAACCAACCCTCCCCTTCCTGCTGACTTGGCCCGTCGAGCCTATGGGGGGATTCGCTGGCGTTCCGCCCAAACTCCCCGATTCACTCTGCCCACTGCTTCCCCTCTCTCCACCAGTACTACCTGGCCGGGAGCCCCAGGGCATCACATCGCGTTGCATTGGGCTCTGTACAATGGGCGAGTTGTGTGCACTGATGCTGGGGCTGACGGCACGGCGCTTGAAGCTTGTCGGGTCAAAGTCATCGTCTCGACGGCGTTTGTTGTTGATTCGCCGTGTGATTTCTGCTGCGCTAGGTAATTGACCATTCTAATCAACTTGAGTGTTAGAAATCAGTTCATACGACGTGAAATGGGTGTTGTGTACTTACGTGAAAAGCAGCGGAGCTCAGGGAGGGCGAGTCCATATTAGTGTCTTCACTCATCCCCGACGATGAACCTCGAGGTAGAAGAGCTGACGCTGGAGGAGGCGTTCTTGCCCCACTGGATTCAGAAAAGGTATCCCAAAACTGCTTGCCTTTGGAATTTTTCCTGGCCTGCTGCTTGAAGCTGCTCGACACGCTCGTGCCCAAATCGCCTATTGAGTCGTCTGCTGGGATATCTTCCAGGGTCTCTTGATTGCCGGTCAGATTGGGCGATGAGTGAGCCGTTGTCATGGCATTTGTATCCCCTCCTGTAGGCTGATGGCGAGGCTCGAGGTCGATGTCGCTTTCACGGACTTGCTTCACGATTTCTGCCTCCCTCATGAATTCGGCCTCAGCCGGCGACCCCTCTTCAGCAAGCGCTGCCCGGATGCGCGCAAAAGCTTTTGCCTTGGGCTGGAAAACGGTCAGCTGAAATGCTTATAGACAATCATCAGAGGATCCTCGAGCCAAATTGTTCTTACCAAAAGGTTGCCCCGCCGCGTCACAACTCGCCGTATCACATTCCTCTGGTCGCCACTGCTCCCCTCTCCGGCACCGCCCTCATCGACATCTCCCGAAGAGATGTGCAATTGGTTCGCTTGCCAGCTTATACTCTCCCGCCTAGCTCGCGCTGCAGCCGAATTGGCCGGTGGCGACTTGGAGAGGACGGCGGAAGCGAGGTTGAATCCAAGGCCTAGAGGGCCGCGGGGCTTCATTTTGGGATGCTTGCGATGGTGCCGTTGCCTGTGCTGGAAGCTTGCGAGGCTGCCTATCGAGGGCGAACCCGGCACTGGAGGCATACCCATCTTTGATACTTGAGGAGTTGTTACGTAGGCTTCATCCATGTCTTCGTCCATATCCTCATCTGAGGAGGAGGAGCTGGACGAGTCTGACGGTGGCGCGTGATTGCTTCCGAGTGAAGTGCTGATATTAAGTCGCTCCTGGTTGCCCATCATAGACCACAACGAGGTCGATGTCTGTTCTGTCCCCCCATATGGGCCCCGACGAGGGGGAATGTTCATCGCTCGGTCCGTTAGCATTGGTGACGAGTCGGGAGAAGGCTGTTCGGCTAGGATCGAATGGTGGAGGCTGGTCGCCGCGCGCGAGAAGTCGAGGCCACGGGAGCGGCGGGGTAGGAGATTTGTAGGAGAGGCGTACATGTGCGAGTGATCCAGCTTGGGCGACAACGGAGCTGGCCGTATGTAGGCGCCGGATGGGGTTCCCGGTGGTGGAGTGAATTGCCGAGGCGGCATCTGGATCGACAGGCCTCTCAGCTCCGAGCGTCGCGGCGTCTCGGGCGGCGGCAGGTGGATGATGCTGCTGTCATCCTTGGAGGTTCGTCTCGACGTCTCGACGATTCGCGGACTGGGGGAGAGCTTCGAGGGCGTGCCTGTGCTGTCGGACAGCGAGCGGGTCCTGGATGTCATTGGCGATCGGAATTGGGCAGCAGTGGGCGCAACTTCGGCGCTTTGCTGGCGCCCATTGCCGTCTTCGCTGTCCATAATGACGGCTTCGCCAAAGGTCATGCCACCCAGACCCCGCGGCCTCTCCATGATGTTTGTGCCGGTGCTGATGTTATCGGGAATGCGCTGAACGGCTAGCTATGTAGAAGCTGGTGTTGAATGTTTCACTTTGGGGCTGGGAACAAATGACGTCCTTGTGGCCGGTCCCGCCAGATGGAATCCTTCATCAACCGATTTCTGCAGTGCGTCGCAACTTTGTAAAGCACCTGAAGAGGATTGTGATTTATCCAGACGTCGCTGCGACAAAAGCGACAGAGGCTGTCTGCCAGTTACAGCATTGGAGACTGGTTGACGCGAAGGCGAACCACAAGAAACGAAACTGAGGGTGCGCGATAGCCAATACAAGGCGAGAAGAAAAATATAGGCTATGTGAACACCTGAAATTCAGCGCATATGCAGAAGAGCGATCAGTACCACCAGCGGCGGATATCTGGCGAGATGCTTCTGATCGCGAGATGCACGCAGAATGAGCGTCATGAGCTGAGGATGTTGCAACTGGGCGCGAATTGGACGGCAGCTCCCCAATGGAGGGGCCCACTGCCGCGTCTAAAAAATGCCCCGCCGCACGGATATTTAGGGCAACTAGCATGATTGGGGTTTAGCGAAGGTTTAAAAAAAGCACCAATGACGTGAGGCTTGAACAAGAGCAAAACAATGTGGGTTGAAGTAGCTGAGAAGAGTAAATAAATATTGAAGGGAGAGTAAATTCTGTACTTGGCCTACTTGTATTTTGATGTATTTTGGTCAATGGTGATGATGGAGGAAGAAATTGAAGTGTTCACGTGCATGTGATGGAGCTCGGCGCAAAAGAGGGGCATCTAGCGAACATACGAGTAGTAGAGGATTTACGTGTAGGTGGAAACAGGGGTTGGAATAGAGTGATCGACCCGTCTAGCTAGGTAGTCAGTGACTTGAGTCAACTAGAGGGCACCAACCCTTTGTTCGATCCTCTTAGATCTCTGGTAAAACTAAGCTTATTTCATCTTTAGTAATGTAGTCCTATGACTGAGATATTCCGCTGTATCATTAGGGTAGGGAGCCCAACTGCGGAAGCACGAGATACGCTCGGGGATAAAAAGGGATATCGATTTGAGATGAGGGGTGGACGCAAGGCAGAGTCAAGTGTTGGTGCTCTATCTTTTTCCAACAACTTCAGATAACAGGGCAGGCTTATCCTAGAGGGGGGTCACAAAGCCATGTGCCGTCGGAGATTTGTCTTCCGTATCTCAGTCGAGGCTGCAAGGCAGGCAGCTTCTCCGCTAGCGGTGCGACGTGGAAGGATTCGGGCATCTAGACATGTATGTCCGTACCTACATGTAAGTACGTGTATGCTACCTGCCACTCCGGAACAGCCAGCCACAACTTCAATTGTTGGCTTGCCATTGTTACTACGTAGTAGTCTTCTCGTTGAGGTCATCACCTTTTTCTAATATATACAATTCCGATGTAACGGTTGAAAATGTAATTTCTCAAAATTATCCGCTTCAAGATGAAGTTTTCGGCATAAAGCCAATGCTAAAAGTGTCTTCCTGATTCTCGCAGCCTTTTTCATGGTCCCGTCCGAAGATCGATTCGCGTACATCAGGATCAACAAAGCTCTGCAGAATCAAGCTGTCATCCACTTCAGGCTTCTCACTGCTAAACTGGACCCCATAGTGATCTTTTGTTGTAATAGCTGGCCTTATTGCTGCTGATTGCAAAGTTCTGAACAAGGTTCGGATAATGTTGCAATACAGCTTTCTTCCGACTGTGGTATGACACAGCTGCGATGACTGAAATTACAAGGCTGAGCTCTGCATTGCATCATACATTGCATTTTTTACGGTGACCAATGGCGTGAGTTCGCTCCGTCGCTATCGTATCAACCCCTCGTGAGCTGAACCTGCGCCAGCCTCCCTTTTCTGAGGAATCTCAGCCGCTGTAGGGATTTTTGCGCACAGTGTAGTATTTTGACGTGTGCCAAGATGAGATGTCACCGAGAACTGGATGATAAGTCATTAAAAGAGGTTGAGTGGCGGTAAGGCGTCCGTTCTTTGTCTCAGCTCGTGGGAAGGCAGCCGCAGACCAAAGCGACGAGGACGGCTTGACAAATGTGGCGGATACTTCCACTGTATATTGGGTCCGTTATCTCAAAAAATCTCGAGCTTAACTGTAATTAAACATAATTAATTCATTTAACCGAACGATATTCACTTTTTTTCATCACATGGAAAACCTACGTGAACGCAAAACGCCATTCCTGATAATAAATATGGCTATTTGACCTACGCCTCGGTGTTTATACACCATACACAGCATATATTATGTATTGAGAAATACAAATTGCGTTTGTGCCGAAGCATCGTAGCGGCTGAATCACTCAAATTGCTCTAGGTACCTGATTGGTCGCCTGATGGAAAACACTCCCAGGGACGTCTCAAGCCTCAACGTAAGTAATCAGCCAGAATAATTTATCATATACGAGAAAATGGGGGTTCGGAAATGGCCGGTTGTGTTGTGCAACCAAATATAACCACAAATTGCTTCTCCGATTCCTCCACAATGTATTCTGGATGTTGCTCACCTTTTCGGTGTCAGCTTTACAGAGAGTGTGAGATGTCTGCACCGCGACTCTCATTCTCAGTTTGTCCCTCTCACCACATAGCGTAAAGGTTTGAGTAGACTCATTGGGGTTGTTATCATCGTGTCGGCCTGTTCCTTTCTAAAAACAGTTTCGACCATCAATCTCAATATGTTCTGTATATGGGAATCAACCCATGTACGAGCACAACTCGGTGATACAACCATCCACCGCGTACAGTGCGAGGCTTGACATTCAGCTCTTCATTCTCCATGCTTACACTCTGCAGAATATGGTGTGTTGGATATGCAGAAAGCCTAGTCGAAATCATTCAATTGGATACTAGTGATCGCGTACTTTTCTTTCTCAGGGGTTAATGCTTGATTCAAATTTGAAGGTTGCCCTCCCTTGCATATGCAGGTGACATGGCACTCAAAAACCTCGGGCAAGTCCTGAGGCTGGCCTAGTATCTGGTTGCCTTATTGATTACCTCGACGCATTGGGCATGTTGCAACACGACTATGAACACGACTATTACAAGAGGAGCTAACTCTTGTAAGAATACAGCCGTGGCTGGGGAAGCACACAGACATAGTGAGCGCCCACGACATACTAGTATATAATACTTGCGTAAATCCAGCACTCTAGGTTGCGGTGCGATTCAACGACCATTTTTTATCCCCTTTCAATTATTAAGAACAATACTTCATTCTCAAGTCTTTCAGCACAATTTACTGGCAGTAGTGAGCCTCCTATAAACAGTACATTCACCATGCAAATCCGCAGCCCCCAGCGCCTGACCAGTAGCATCGACATCGTCGATAGAGCTTCCTCGATTGGTCACTCTGAGACTCATGTACACGGAGCACTTGTTTCTATCGATTTAAATTGCCCTGCAGACTTGTTTTACGGTCGCAAAAATCTCGTTGCCAAATTCAGCCTGTCTTTTACAACACAGATTCAAGATGGATTTCACAAATCTATTGCGATCCAGCATGCGAAAGTCGACTATTTTAGAGCTGACAACGACATGCGAAAATTGGTGAACGGTTTCAAACTCCCAGCGCCTGAAATAAAAGGAGATTACAAAGACGGAAAAGCCGATATCGAAATACCTCAGCCCAATGCTCATGAAACCAACTATTCCGGCAATATCAGAATTATAGTGCTTTTAGACGCCTATCCATCGAATATGAATGTATCGGCATCTTTGTCTATTTTATCCACTGCAGATGGAAGTAGCCGACCTAGTCGCGCCTTCAATAGTGTCACCCATCCTCAAATAGCGCCATCTCCGAGTGAAGAAAGACTCCAGAGGCTTCTATGTTGGACCGCAGGTCTTGGCTACGAGAAGTTGTTTGCGGCATATCTTGATCAGGAACCATCCATACTTGACATGGAGGATGAATTTGGGATGACACCCTTCTCATGTGCAGCACTAGCTGGAAAGACTTCAGTGATCCAACAGGCATTGCAGCATGGTGGTTGCATTAGCGCTAGAGAAAAGACAGAACGAGGACCTTCGCCTCTTGAAGCTGCTGCACGCAGCAAAGATCCCGGCATATTCGATTCGTTCCTGATATTTCTCAAATATTATGAGACAATAGACAATGATATTTTTGAACCCGGAGAAAAATCTCGACTCGGAAAGACGCCTGCACTCAGTGCCACAGAAATTGAACAGGAACTTAATACCGCAGTCCGCGGCGAGCAGACAGCAACAATTACGAAACTGATCGGAATGCTCCTCGCTCACCAAGTTGAACATATAAAAGACGACTGGCTAGCTCATCAAATGTTACAGGCAGCGGAGAAAGGTGCCCTCTGTCTTGTTCAAGTTTTAATATCTTGTGGTGCAAATGTTAAATCAGAAATTGCTGTGCAAGATCGTTATGGGAATGAGCAGAGGAAAACACCACTTTTGGGTGCAATAGAGAATGATAGAATAAAAGTTGCGAAATTCCTTATTAGCCACGGTGCTGGGAACCAAGATGCATTGCACGCTGCTGTTATGAGAAAACAGCACAATACGATTCGAGCACTGCTACAGGTTGGAATACCAGTGGACAAAGACGCTACGAAGAAACTACTCAGCATTGCGACCGACAATAGAGATTCAACGACTCTCATGCTGCTCAAGCTAGAAGATGGGACTGGGGAATTGGCAACTTCTGATACACTGGATCAAGAAGTCGACAAGCTTTTTGAAGCAACAGTAGTTGACTTCATTGATGATAGGAGCACGAAATTCTCAGAACTTACTGTGAGCGAATTAATGAAGAAGAAGCCCGATTTCTTTAAGGTCAGCGGCAAGACCAACTTTAAGTGGTTTCATTTACCAGCAAACAATGTACGTAATGCCCCCTTAGATCCAACTGAATGCCTCAAGTCAATTGACCTGCCTTGCTGATTATTTGACCATAGATGAAATGGGTTGAGGTAGGACACATGAATTTCCTGAAACAGCAAAGGGACAATTTACTGATTATGGAGATGCAAAGGCTTTAATCCGCAAGATCTACCATTATGAGCCCTTATTAGTCTATAAAGTCTTGGAGCCGAAGCGATGGGTAAAGAGACAACATGAAGGAGAGCACAACTCTGCACATGCACGCTTCATGCTACCAACATGCTTCGACTTTTCCGAGGCCTTCGAAGACAAGAAGAGTAAGAGTACGCTTCCCCCAGCTTTTCCTTGTCTTGCTTAATGAAATATTAGACTGATTTGCATAATAGAAATTGGAAATGATAATAAGGACAAGCATGTGGTTCTTTTTGTTAGTATATGATAGATTTGGCTCTCTGATACCGTGAATCACTGACAAAAGAGGGGAGATAGATGCCTTATCTTTACTGGGACGAACAAAAAACAATGAATAGAAGATCGGAACTTCTAGCTGCTTATTATTCGGACTTGTCAGAGGGCGAGACAACAAGTTCCATCAAGTTTCCACCTGGTACCCCAAAAGAGGAAAAACTATTGAGAAGGTACCTGTTCTCCGGAGATAACGGCAAACCTCATTCTCGTCATGTTCTTCATATACGCAGGACGTTAGACCAGTCGCTATATCACAATTTGAAAGACACAATAATTCGAGATGCCGACCAGACCGTTCACCGATACCAAAAGAAATTGAATAAAAAGAAGCGAGAAGATGAGCCTTTGGCCGCTATTATGGTAGACCAACTTTGGCTGTGGATTCTCGTGGGGCAATCTGGGAAGGCCGATACCATTGTTACATGCTTTCCATCCAGAGATTGGTCCGACGTTGGTATGAACACTACCGAGCCTGCTGAAACTAAGCCGATATTGGATCAAAGACGTACCACAGACGTCTTACAAATTACAAAGTCCTATATTCAGCATAGACCCAATGCTGTGAAAACACCATATGATCTTGCCGGTGTTATTGCTAGCAGGTGTTCAAGAGCACTTCTGGATCACTCTACCGATATGATTAACTTTGCGGAAGTTTATGAGAACTCTATTAGTGATATTGTATGTTTACCCTCCTTTCCCAACAATTCATGTCTGAGCCTGTCTCCTACAGAATACTAACCGTTCATGTATCGTTATGGGGCAGATGAATGAAGAGACTTTGCTCTTCAATAGATTCAACAATTTGATGCAGACTCGCACCAAGAGAATGGACGGGTTTATTACCGAGCATAAAACCGAAAACAAGTCGGAAAAGTACAGTGCTTACCAAGGTCTAGCAGACCAAATCATGGATGACATTCAACTAGTTCAAAGCCGGGAGATGATTCCTGAAATTTCTGCGGAATATTGCGAAGTTCATCGCCAATACACTTTAGAATCAGAAATTCCCAACGTGGGTGAAATTAAGAAGTTAGAGTCGAAAATGAACGACGACGATAAGAAGGAGCATTTAATTAAGCTTCTGGAGAAGTTTGGACGATTCTACGTTCTTGATATAACAAGAGAGATCACACTTCTTAGTCAGATCAAAGACATTCAGGACGAGCTACAAATGATGGAAAAGGTGTTTGCAGAACAGAAGGATGTTCTCGAAATGATGGATCGAATTGTTCACAATATGAAACAAGCTAGTTCTGATCGAAATGGAGATGTGATAGCCAGGGAAGTTATGGCCAAACCGCCTCCTCTGATGATATCTGGTAGCAATAGGGCGGAGGGGACCAATAGTGAGGAGTTACAGAATGACCTCGACACATACGACGATTCAAACAACGATAGCATATTTGGAGATGTACATGCATTGGTCTCTAGTACGGAAGTCTCGAAATCGAAAAACTCAACGGAAAGCATAATTTGGGGTTTGGGCCATCAGAAACAAAACCTTCCGCTCCGTACTGTCCTCCGACATTCTGAACAAATTCAGAAAATGAACAAGCGCGCTAAAACCACCAACTCTGCGGTTTGTTCCCCCCCCTCCCCCCCCTCCCCCCCGTTCCTTTTTTTTTTTTTTTTTTTTTTTTTGGCTACAGGAATACGGAGTACTTTGGAGAAAAATAGCATCGCAGGTGCCACAGACGCATCTGATAATGTGGAGAGAGATATGACTAGACAAAAAAGGCTAATTAGACCGTGGACACAGCTGAGCAGCCTCGTTGAATTGAAGCAAAAGCAAAACAACATGATTGACACTCGAACTGCCCGCCTTCAAGCTGAGCAAGCCCACTCAATGACACTTGAAGCTGAGAAACAGAGTAAAACGTTGATGGTATTCACAATAGTTACCATCGTCTTTGTGAGTCAACAATCTGTCAATTCCTATCCACCGCCCCCAATGCAATATAAAGGAAATTCAATTCAATATATGAGTAGCGGGAATTGATGCTGATAATACACGGTTTTATAGCTGCCTTTATCCTTCATCGCCGCTTTCTTTGCAATTCCCACCAAAGAATTTGACAACAATAGCCTAACACTAGGCTTCGTATCAAAGGTTACATGTAAGTGGCAGTGGTTTTTATCTCAAAGTATTTATTTTATGTATTTTTGCTTTTAACTTCATTCTGGCTTCAAAAATAACCAACTAATAGCGTATATTACCCAATAGTCCCAGCATCTGCCGCTATATCACTTTTGTTTATCGCTGTTGGGTTTTCCGTGTCATACTGGCGGTCGGTCATAGGGAGAATTCACGTTATGGTTCACAACCTCAGGAATAAATCAACCAGACACTTCAACCGAAATGGCAACGACACCGCTCCATTGGAAAAAGTTGTTACATACAAATAGCGAGATAACTGGCCAATCACGTCGATATCGAATTACGGTCAGGTTACAACAAAGGTAGAAGATTTGGTATGTAGGAGAAATAAAGAAGTAAAGCAAGTGCTCATAAATGTAGGTCCATTTATATTATCCTATCGCAGAATCAGCTATCAAACAACGTTACATTTAATGTTTAATTGAGATATAAATAAGGTTCCGTAGTCAATTAGCAAAACTATGGAGAATCTTAAATTCAAGATTTCTTTATTTTAATCTTGTCAACCAACACGCCTCTTTTTCTGGCTCCTTCGCCAGCCTTCTCATGAGCTGAAAACTCTCATCGCTAAATCCATAGTCTAATACCCCCAACTCAACCGCTAGTTGCGCATACCGTATCGTGTCCCAATACGACCCCTCCGCACAGCTTGTCAACGCCGCATACCAATATGCTGAACTAGACGGAGCATGCAGGCGCTCTTGTTCGTAAAGACTGATGAGTGTCCGCGCCATTTGCGGTGGCGCCGTTGCCCAGTCTTCGAGGCGCTCGCTAATAGCTGTAATCTGATCGAGGCGCTCGTCAGATGCATGCGCCAGCTCTGGATGAAGACTACATAGGCTACAAGAGCAATTGAAGCCCCAGAGAGAGGAGAGTTTCTTGAGACGCTTCTGACGTGGCATATGCGGATCTATATAAGTAATGGTGATTTCGGTGCCAGGAGTAATATCCGTGATAGCGTGTACGTAGTGCGTAAGACTTTGCCTGTCGAAAAAGTAGGCGGCATTAGGGCGGCAATCATGGTTGAGACGCTGCTGGTTGTCAGCACAGATCTCGTTTCTAGTTGTGATGTTTCTGCCATCATATAGAGCGTGCACTTACAGCTATCTCGGGAAATACAGCATAATACGTGACCTCGTCCAGCTCAAGTTCAAAAGCATTGGTGTCAATCCGATCGCTCACTGGATCCGTCACCTGGCGGCCATATAGCGCCGAAAACATCTTTTTCGTTGTTGGAGGGAGATTATTGACAGCTGTATGCTCTAGCTCTAGCCACTCTTCTCTTTCTAGATCTCCAAAACTCTCACCATCCAGCATCAAGATGGGAGTATGTGCAAATATCCTATCACCACGATGTAGCATTTTATTCGCAATAAGGCCACGTCCTCTCCCAGGGAGCTCTCTTTCTTCAAACGGTGGAGACGGTTGCTCATTGACGCCCAATAACGCATCTGCATCAACAAATGCTGGTAGTTGTTGAAGGCTCTCAACGCGATCAGGTGTTGTTAAGATGGATATACCTCTACCACCTGCAAAGTTTTTCGATGAAAAGACACAAAATGTTTCAGTGTTATTTCGGCAATCGTTTTGTGATGACCATGGAGATGATGAATTTGCCATAGATACAGAACTAAGATGATCTTGGCCAAAGTACCTGCACCCTTCTAGCCGATTGTGTCCAGAACGCGGTAGCCTAAGTAGAGCCGAAGAGCAAACTTCCTCAGAAGTAATTTGCTGCTGGAGGGCCACGGCCACGGCTGCGTAAGGGAGCAACTCGGGAATGATGATGAACTTCATCTCGTTTCCCTATTTGTTCAGTAAATAAAAGAAAAGAAAGAGACGCTGCTAACAGCTTCTAGATGAATGGCGTAGATAAGTAGAATAGCATCAATGTCTCTATTATGGGATGGATAAGTTGGATACGTTCTTGGGAGCGTGGTTTTGCGGCTACCGATAGCTATTTGACATATATCTGAGGTCTAAATAGTTCAACGATAATTGCACAGATCTCCTGAAGGAATACAACGCATGTGTGACCATCAGATAGCACGTCATTCGTGTAGAGAACTTGCATGTACTAATACGGCACAGACCATGCGCCGCGTATGCCGTTTCTTGGAGGCACTCGTATTCCGGCCTACCAGACGCAAGCCACAGCTATACCTGCATTTCGTACATGTGTCATCTTTGATAAAGTTATTAATAAGAATAAACTAAATTTAAATTTCTATTATTAAACCGCAAACTGATGCCTAAAGTCGACACACGAATCTGTTGATGTGTCCAGAACTACCAGATGGTTCCACTTTTAGTGGCCAGCTATTCGTCTTCGCCTCAGATTTCACATGTTTTCGGGAAATTTAGGCCCAACAGTGAGACGAGATCATTTAGTTAGCTGGTGAAAGTGAGGTCTATGGATAGTATTTGTGTCGTAAAATCCCAACTAAGCAAGCACATAAACCCGGTAAATACGACGTAACACTTTGGGCATTCAGTCTGAAAACTTGATTCCGTATTGACATGATTGGGAAATTTCTGACATGTATGGCTAGGTACTTTTGGCATAGCCATCTAGGTTAGAGGTAGACCCTACTTGTAATTTGTACTGTAAGAACTGTCAGTTTATCAGAAATCACGCAAGGCAGTCCCATAGGCCAATTCTTCTAGGCAGCTTTGCTGAGTGCAAGTTGTCATTTGTATTAGGATGACGGCACACCGTTTTACAAATCAATTGTGAGGATGTCATACGCTGTCAGATTCATGCATCAAAGGGACCTTGCAAATTCTAGAATTGGCATGGCCTAGTATAGCGGATTCTTTTCCGACCACCTGGCCCGATATAAACCATTTTTTTGAACGCAGAAACATATCAACAGAGAAATCGTATTTCGCTAGATACACGCGCCACCCCTGTGCTGTTACAAGCATTTTCTCGGGTACCTATCCCGTCACCTCTTCATGATCTAAGGAAGGTAGAAATCTGAGAACTGAGACATGCAGGCCCTCCAACTCAGATACGAGCTTTTTTGTCTCATTTGGAACAAGTCAGGCGATATTCAGCTGTAGTCTATACACAAGGCAGCAGTAAGACCAATCTTGTGTAACCCATTGTCTTGTTTTAGCGGACGTATTCACTATTACTCCACGGTAAGCATGCATGAGACCTGTTACCACATGAAGTGAGATTGCTGAACGAATAAAGTTGTGACAACCTCTCCCGTTTGCTGGACGCTCTGTCTACCAGAGGTGTTTTTAATGGTCAATGTATCACCTAAATGCACGGTTTATTGCTACTAATAGGCTTACATGTTCGCTGTCAGTTTAGTGAAAACCTCCTAGGCATTCCGTATATTAAACAGACTCTGCTCTCCACGTTTATATCCTCAGCACACCGAAAAGACGGACTGCAATACTATGGCTGCATTGCCTGCACGTATTTGCATATTATACCTTCTTTAGGAAATGACCGGTCTTCCCCGCCCCCCTATTGTAGTCTGCAATGCATCTTATTGTTTATCGCCTTTTAGGTAGACGCTAACGCGGTCCCCTGACTCACTGCTAATGGATGATCTGTGCCTTGTAGATGCAAGTGGGAGTGCCTCGTAATCGCTACTGAGATGAGACCACGTTGATGTATCTTGACCCACCTAAGCCCGTACATGGGCACATGCTCAATTCCTGTTTACAGTCATAGATTCGTCGATATAAACTGAACAGATGGTCCAAGATTTGAGTGCCTGGTTAAGCAATTTTGACCTGAGACAACCATTTCACCTCAGAACAGTAAAGACTACATAAATTCTACATATATGAACAAGAATGAAGGCATCTCTCGCTCTCCTTGTGGCTACATGTGCCAGCAGCACTCTAGCAGCATCTCTAGGTGGCATCAATCCTGATGTTAACGCCCGCGACGTTGTTACTGGAGACTTTAAGCGCACAGAAGCTTATCCTGTGGAACCTCACCCAAGCCGCGATATCGAAGAAGATGATGAAATAATTATTCCGGATGCAGGACAGGGGAAGGGCAAAGGTGATGGAAAAGGCAAAGGTGATGGAAAAGGCAAGGGAGATGGAAAAGGCAAAGGAGATGGGAAAGGAAAAGGTGATGGGAAAGGAAAAGGTGATGGGAAAGGAAAAGGTGATGGGAAAGGAAAGGGAGATGGGAAAGGAAAAGGTGATGGGAAAGGAAAAGGTGATGGGAAAGGAAAGGGAGATGGGAAAGGAAAAGGAGATGGGAAGGGCAAGGGGGATGGCAAAGGAAAAGGTGACGGCAAAGGAAAAGGTGACGGCAAAGGAAAGGGGAAGGGGAAGGGAGACGGTAAGGATGATGGTAAAGGAAAAGGCAAGGGCAAAGGAACCAGTATCTGATTTGACACATACACAGGACATTACATGCTAGTATTCTTCATTGCCTTAATTACATGGGCAGTATTATGAACAAAAGAACAGATCACCAAGGGACAGGATGAAGTAGCATGATTCATTAATTCATGTTGGCTAATGGTGTTAATAAGGCAGCCAATACTAAATCAGACGCAAGTGCACTTGTTTAAAAAATAAGATAAATATAATAAAACTGTGACAGCCTTATTTAAATACACTGTCGATTCAGGTCATGGTAAACTTGATGTACGTATTCTTATTGACTGCCCAAGTTAACTTTCCAACATGTGTGCAATTGACCTTTGACAGTTTCTTTGTGCAGCAGGTTGAATAGTAGCTTCTGTTACTGGCGTGGCTCTTATATCTGTGTTGTTGCCGATCGGAGCTAACCTAAGAAGGTCTTTCTTGCCATTTGATTCAGCGTTGGGTACAGCTCCGAATAGAACTAGCTCTCTTAAGATATCGAATCACCAAGCGATAAAAGAGATCTCTATAGTAAGTTAAACAGATGGAGGTCTTGGACTCATCGACCTATTACCATTTGGAGAGTTCATGTGCATGTATAAGACCCCTACCAGGCGTATGATGAAGAGGGTGATATGAGAGATGTGAGTCAAAGGACGATACTATTCACAATTAGTTGCATTATCTAAACAACTTAAAGAGAGAAAGACAAGTAGCTTCCTTTATATGTTGTATAGTTCTGTAAATATCTACCTTGCTGTATTTTATTCGGATGTTGGGATAAGGAAGAGTTATTCATTTACCGGCTTTGGGTTGTGCCATTTATATGGATAACGAAAAATATTACAAAAACATTGTAAAATGAGTTATTATTAAAATATATTAGCTTACAAAAAATGACAAATACTGCTCGAAGTTATTTACGTATCCCTTTTACCCCGTTGGTTCTACTCATCTAAGAACTGTCCTTTCTCCGAAGCCGAATATTTGACCGTGAAAGTTCGACCGGGGACATATCATATTTGCCAATAACATATCTGATCCCAGTAAAATATATTTTATGCACTGAATAATCGTCCGAAATCACAAAGAAAGATGCACTACTGATATTGTCATGGGTATAAACGAGATATCATTTCTAATATCCACGGTAGAGACAAATTAATCTTTACGTATGGTTGCATTTGCTACATACAAGCATCGGCCCGATTCATTTACGGGACTACAGAGTAACAACAGAATGCATAATTCTAAAGCGTTTATAAAACATATTAACCGGACAGAAGTTGTTTGCGATGTTATTCTCAAGTGGCCAAGATATTTGACGTTGATTGTTGCTAATATCAGGCCAAAAGCTGTATGCTACATCAATTATTTCACAATTTCAATAACAACTTGCTACGTTCTGAACCTCGAATATGTAAATTCTCTGAGATTATAAACTTTTCTCTGTTGTTATGAACAGGAGGCCGACTGTATCGCATTATTATAATTCCTGTATTCTGTAAAAGGCGAAGATCTTGGCTTTTAAGCATAAGATATAGTTAGCATATTAGGCAAATCTCACTGCTTCCGGAAAGCCTGACCCCCTTGACAGGATCTTGCGGTAGAAGAGTAGAACCGACTCGGAGTTTTTCTAGCACTAAATGGTGCCCGATCCTGGTGCAAGAATTATGAGGAACAAAGCTATCTAGTAAATCTATAAAATTATGCCCAAATTCGAAACAATGAAAAGAAATATTTTGGAAGATGGTGAAAAAATATATACCTGACTGCTAATATAGGCCCGTGGAAACCGGCCGCAACAAGTTCTTTTTCTGTTGCGGTTGGGTAATAACGGCAGCTGTTAAAGGAGAATACGGTTCGCTCTATTACCGTGATTACCATTAGCAATGACTCAGTGTAAACACAGAAATCCTATTTAGTAAAATATGTGGTATTTAATTACGCAAGGTTGCATTTGACGTCTTTATTTGGCCTGAAAATTGAATTCATGGAACGACGTTGTGTTGAATCGGGCCAATTCATCTCCCGTGTATACCTTTTCTCCTAAAATAATCTCAAGGAATGGCGGAGAAGACCATGTATATATAGCCTTCCGGTCGACCAAACCGTTAAAATTATCACCACTCATCTGCCCACTCTTCAAACTGAGTACTACAATCCGCAGCGCATCTTCATCATGCAATCCTCAACTGCCACCTTCGCCTTTCTTGGCCTTGCTCTTACTGCCTCGGCAGCCAATGAGAAGCTTTGCTTTCCTGCTCCTGGACAGAAGAACAACGTTCCTCAATCCATCACTGGTCTTGATGCCCAAGTGAAGATTGACTGGGCCACTAAGCTCTGCTCCCAGATCAATTTCTCCTCTGTTGACGCCCAGTCTGTTACGACAGATATCGCTGACGGTGTCGATGCCACTGAGAACGGAAAGACGTATGGTCTTAACCTGGTAAACATCTCACACTATTATCCACTAAACCATTAATATTAATGACCCCAGGTTACTGTTGCCGTTCTGGATGAACAAGCCTGCGTTGTGAGTTCTATAGTTGGTAAAGCCTGATGATCTACTAACAAAATTAAACTTAGTCTAACGCCGCGGCTGTCCTTGTCGCTGATGTCTGCCCCAGTGGTGGAGCTTTCGTTGACTTGGATAGCGCCCAGGAGGAGTGGTTCACCATTGTCGCTCTCGATTGAGGTATGGGGATAGAGGACTAAGGATGAAATGAATTATAGTCTGAGCTTTACTCTATATAGTATTATCTAGAAATAGCAGTCTATTGCTTGTTTAATTCATTATCTGTCGAATGCACTGGATGCTCTTGTAAGGCTTCAGTTAAGTTATTCTATGGCAATTTTTACATGATAAGCTATGGGCATGTGTCAGCAAGCAACAAATCCCAATGGTTTTGATGGTAATGTAGACGATTCAGCATATCGTCAAGAGTTAAGCAGCATTGGGTTAATATAGTTAACTAACAACCATAGTACATGTATCTAAACCAACTCAATTATATAAGCACTTATGATTTCGATAGAGAGGCGCTACCTACCTATTTATACCCATATCTGGCTTTAGACCTGGTCTGTCACTTACTACTTAGTCCGCACTTATGTAATACTCCTTCTCAATAACTTAACTTGGTAAGTTAAGTCAATGCTTTCTACTACTTATTACCTGGCAAGTATACTGCAACTTAATTTTATAGGTTATCACCATAAGAAATATGCAGAGTGGGCTATTTCTGCATTGAGTTTTAAGCATTTTCCTACTGCTATGATAAAAGACACTCAAGACCCTGGGCGTATCACGACTAGACGCATCACAATGGAGCCGAGGAGGTGGATGCCACGCACTTTGTATATATTGGTCACCCTCTTCTGCTAGTTGCAAGTAAAGAAAACCCTGTCCATGGCCCTTTCGCTTCCACACACTCTTCTACACTTCATTTTCATCAATCAAAACCTCAAGTTGACACCCCTGAACCTCTTCAACCATCTCCCTCCAAAGCCTAACCACGTCTTCGGCCGGTTTATATCCCGGCAAGCTCCCCCAATGGGCGGTAGCAATACGTCTAGTTGCATCGTATTTATACAAGAAGGCATGATATCTGTGGCCCCAGTGTCTTGCCCCGTCAAACGTCACAAGATACAGCTCCCGCAATGCCGGCATCCGCCGCGCCGCCCGGGCTACACTTCTGTGGATTTGATCCATCTCCGCCGCCACCGGCACGGTCCGGAAGGCGTGCTCGTACATGTCCTCAGGCGCTGGCACCTCTATGCACAGACTATCTTGGTCGTACTCGTCGAGGTCCACCACTGGCTCAGGGCGGTCGCGCGGCGAGTCCTCCGGATTCCGCTCCAGCAGCCACGTCCCGTGCGGTGTCACCGCTGCGTACTCAACCTCAAGCCGCTCGAGGTGTGGCCATTCGCTTGCCGCTTCCTCGTCGTCAGAAACCGCTGGATAGAACACCTCTGGCGCGATCACGAGGTCGAAGAGATACAGCTCCTTGAGCTGCCGCGCCCAGATCCGCAGGCCGCGCGCGAACGCATCGTCCGCCCCGCGCGCATTGATAAGTCTCGGTGGGCTGCTGGCGTGGTCTTTCGGTGCCTCGTAGCTGCATGAGAGTCTCACTTCAGCGTCTGGGCAGTGCATTCGGGTGAGGGCATCGCCTATCTCTATTTGGAGAGAGTGAGCGGCGCATTACACAATTTTGGCTCGCATAGTTTGAGCAACTTACCGTCCCGCAGCCGTTTGCGCAGATCCAGATCCTTCTTCTCGTTCTCCCAGAAGTTGATATTGATCTTGTTAACATTAGGCAGGCTGTTAACGATGAGCGCCCATGCTGGTGCGGAGATGTGCCGCTCCTTGCCTGAGATTAGCTCTGAGACGCTTTCGACGACTGGCAGCTCGGTGGCCGGGAGCAGCTGGAGGATAGAGTGGATGTATCGGTAGCTGAAGATGTCGCGGTTCCTGAAGTCCCGATCTCGCCTCGTCATCTCTGCCTCGCCGCAATGGCGAACGTCGCTAGGCGAGAAGGCCGTGATGCGGAGCGATATGCCTTCCCTATCAAGGCCGTTGCCTCCAGGTGCCCACCGGCTGAAGACGTCGAAGAACAGCCGCAGCGTCTCGCTGAAGATGGAGCTGTTGCGCTCATTCTCCTCGGCCGTCTCAAAGTCTCCGTACACCTCGATGCCATACGACTCCAGCTCCACGTTGAGGTTAACCGTGCAGACGTATGCCTGACGCCGCGGGCACACGATACGGTCGACGTCGATGAGGCGGGCCCGGTTCAGCCGCAGGTGTTGGAACGTTTGGCGCTCAACTAGATCCCGCCATTCCCTGCAGACGACGGCATATTGGGCAATGCCGGGAAGGTTAGCACAGATGGGCCGGCGGCGGTTGGAGCGCCGGTAGAGCAGGTCATCAGGCTGCCAGCAAACCAGCTCGACAATGCGGTTCGTTATCTCTGCGGGCAGGGGCCATTTGTTCTGTGTCATTACTTCTCAGGCGCCACTGTGGGCTAGAGGTCAGATAGTTTAAAGTGCGAATACGATTGTACGGATTAGCGGCAATGCGAGTTTAAATATTAAGGTTGAGTGAGCGCGGGGCCGATGATGGTTTAAATATTGGCTTGAATAGCCAGGATAAGCTTGATGTTGACGAACCAACATAGAGTTGTATCGAGATAATCAAATCGGCCATAGCATCGGAATCAATTACGGACCGAAGGACCAATAAGGAACCTTGGTCTAGGAAAGCTAAAGGAATCAGCTTTCGTTATTAAATAAGGGATATCAACAGGATACATGTATATAATATACACCATATTACTCCGTACACTCATTTACCCGAACTTTGCGTGGCACCTCATGGCTGTCGTTGCACCCTCGAATGCAGGCCAGAGGTGATATTTTCCATTCAAGTAGTCCCAGCGCGTGTGGGTTCAAAATTAACATACGTCTTTCATTCTTGGATGATCCTTGAATGCGCGGTCTCTTCATGTCCGCGTGGCGTGGCTTGAAGCATCGTCCATTTAACATGCTTACATAGCAGGTAAGCTTAACCATTACATGGAGTAGCTCGCATTGGATCTATATATACCCATGGAAACTTAGATCGATGGGGAATCGCTTCGCATTCCATTATATTTTATGTGGTCGGTACTATTCCGAACTTGCAAAAAGCTTACGACTACCCAAGCCTCATTTTTCTCCCGTATTCATTACTAATTACAAGTCCCAGGTTCTAAATTTTAACCTAGGTTCTTTACGATGTCTATTTTGCCGAAATCAATCTTACCAATTCATCTTTCTCACCGCTGTGAGAAATCATCTCCTTGAACAAACCGTTCTCGATCTCTAGCAACTCTTTTGGAGTACCAAACTCCGCAGTCACACCGTCTTTGATCACCAGTATCCGATCAAAATCCACCACAGTGCTCAATCGATGCGCAATAACAAGCAGTGTCGAGTCGGAAAATTCCTGACGGATCGAGTCCTGAATCAGTCTATCCGTCTCCATATCGACAGCCGAAGTAGCCTCATCCAAGAGCAAAACCTTTGGACGCGACAAAATTGCACGTGCAAGGCAGAGTAGCTGCTTCTGGCCTTGAGAAAGGTTGGAACCACCAGATGCAACAGGGGACGAAAGCGAGAGAGAGGAATTTGCTTCTGTGTCATTCTCGGTGGCAGTGGGAGCAGATGAGACCGAGTGCTCCTCGAGAACCTGTTCAGGAGCTGGTGTGCCTGGGTTCGAGGAAATGAGATGGACCCGCATCAAGGCTTTCTGGAGTTCGTAGTCACTAAATTGGTTGAAGGGATCGAGATTCGTGCGGATGGTACCCGAAAAGAGGAAAGGATCTTGTGGAATAATGACTAGACGAGTGCGCAAATCAGAGAGTTTGATCTTGGAAATATCGACGCCGTCAATCGTAATGCTGCCTGACCGAGTTTGAAGAAAGCGGAATAGGGCCAGTGAGAGAGTCGATTTTCCTGGTTCATGTTAGAACAACGTATGCGCAGACGTTAGGGGAAAAGAGGTGAAGAATAGGGTTGGGGTCTACTGTGTGCGAGAATTCAGATCAACGGGACTTACCTCCACCGGTTCTACCCACGATTCCAATCCGCTGATTGCGTTCGGCAGTAAAGCTCAAACCCTTCAGAATAGAGGGCAAGCCTTCCGCGTAGCCCACTTCCAGGCTCTCAACCTCTATTCTGCCCTCCTCAGGCCAGCTTGCACGCACATCCTCTCCGTCTTGCTTTTCGATCTCCAGATTCTGGTACTCAAAGATACGCTCCGTCGCATTCATATCAAGTTCTGTCTGAGTGGACACTGAGATGCCCCAATTAATAGCATGTCCAAAGTTCAATGCAAAAGAGAGAACAAAGCCGGCTAAACTGGCATCAATGCTGGGTGTGGTAACAACGAAAATGCCAACAACAGCAGCAAACATGGAAGCCGTAATGCCGATACGAATCATGAGCCACATCCGGAAGGCAGAGATATACCAGGTGCAAGCTGCCCAGTCATCAATAAGACCGAATATTCTGTTAGTAAACTCGGGTGCCTTCGAGAATGCTCTGATGGTGGATAGACCGCTGAGCGAAGACGCGAAATGTGAGATGACGGGAGATTTGTTTGTGGATTCGAGTCTTTTGATGGTTCGTGCTGCCGCCATATACTGTTGAGCGTAGAAAGCACAAGCTACGAGCAGAGTGATGGCAACGAAGATCATGAATGGTGAAACAAAAAGTGCTGCTACCAAAATGCCCAACATTTCCCAGGTTACAGTGGCAAAGTAGTAGAAGTTTGTAGCCAGCGAGGAGTCCATGCTGGTGAAATCACCAGTGAACCTATTCAAGATTCTTCCCGTCGGAACAGTATCCAGCCACCGGAGTGGTGCTCGAAGTACACTGCGCAAAATACCCTGGAAAATCTTCCGTGACGCACGGAGTGAGCCGGTGTAAACGCAATAGAGACGACTGACGGATACTAAAACGGAAATCGTTGATATTAGGCAGTAAACTCCGAGATAGAACCAGAGGCTTCTAGTCTGAGCCTCCATTTGAAAGCCCGTAGCCACATTGGTCAAGTTAGCAGAGTTCATAGGCTGGTTGAAAAACTGTGTCTGTAATGTCTTTCGATATTGATAGACCATAACGTGCATGCTGCTGTCGACCTGCTCATACGAACTAGCCCATATTTTGATCCAGTACGCACGACCAAGCGTAAGACCTTGGGCCACGGCAAACAGAAGGATAAGAAAAGACCAGAAAGGCAGCCCGCTGAAAGATTTGAGGTACCCAGTATAGACCGCTGTTTTGACTCTTCCGACCTCTCGCTTCTCATCTTCAACAAGCTTCTTTGGAGCCGCCTTGTCTTTAGGTGTAGAATCCTGCGATGGGGTCGTTGCAGGTTGTCCCGATTTTGTGTTACCATCTCTTTGAGCCTCCTCAGCCTCATCGGCCTCAATGATGTGATCTAGGACTCCGGTGCGTCGCAGTTCCTCTACTGAGCCTGAATGTTCGACAACTCCATTGACAAGATGCACAGCGTAATCCGCACGCGGAAGGCAGAGCGAAGAATGGTGAGTAACCAAAATTCGAGTTCTGCCCTTCGCAAGCTCACCAAGCAGTGCGTTTGCAAACACGTGCTTCCCAACGTGTGCGTCAAGAGCGCTGAAGACATCATCGATAACCATAATACCGGCCCTAGAGTACAATGCTCGTGCCAAAGTCAGTCGCCACTTCTGTCCACCGCTCAGGGTCACTCCCTGAGCTCCGACCTCAGTTTCATCACCATCTTCAAACAGACTGAGATCCTGGGATAGAGCACAAGCATGAAGAACTTTCTCGTATCTGACGGGGTCGAATGGGAGGCCAAAGAGGACGTTGTTCTTGATTGTAGCGTTCTCAATCCAAGGTGTCTGAGAAATAAAGCAGATGGCAGTAGGAAAGATCCAGTTAGCAGCGGTTGCTTTGCTATCAAATCGTTGGTCAGGGGGAGGAGCTCTTGGGGCTTGAATATAACCACTAAGAACTTCTGCCTCGCCCAAGATGGATGCAAGGAGAAGTGATTTTCCAGATCCAGTAGGTCCAGAAATAACGCTCAGGCTATTATTGGGAAAGTCAAGGTTGAGCTTGCGCAGAGCAAATCGGTCATCTGTGGGATCTCCAGAGCCAAAAGGAAAAGTGATTGTCGCATCGTGGAAGGACACGGCGGGACCCGGATGGACGTTTTCGGTCTTTTCTGGCGTGCGAAAGAACTTATCGATTCTGTCACAGCTGACTTTGGCATTGATGGCCGTAACTAACAACAGTGGGATGTGAGCCACGATTCCTTCTAGGAACATGAATAGAGTAATTGCTGTAAAAGCGACTGAAGGCAGCAGCGTCCCGTTGATGTAAGAATAGGTAGCCAAAGAAAGCGATGTCAAGACAATGGGAGTAAACTCAGAAGCGATAGCCATGTAAATGTTGTTGATTCTCGTCCTCCAGAGCATCGAAAGCTCCTCTTCACGGACATTCTCAATCTTCTCCGTCCATTGAGTTTCGATTGCGGAAAACTTGATCTGTCTGATTCCTTGAAGAGCTTCTGTAATGATTGTAGACCTCTTGTCACGAAGCTTCATCAGAATCTTTTGGTTGCTGCCGTATCGCGCTGCAAGAGCTCTGTTGATGGGAAAGAGAACCACAATTCCCAGCATTCCTGCGCACAGGCTTTGCCAACCAACAAGATGCAACAAGAAGACGGTAATGATGGTAAATTGTCCTCCGCAGTTGACGTACTGCCCACTCTGAGACCCAAATCTTGCGATGGCGTCGCAGTCGACCGAGAACATATTGACAATGTCCTGCTGGGACCTCATGTTTGATTGCTTATCTTCCTCATTCTCCTCTTCGTTATTGGCAGCGTCTGAATCCGAAGACTTTTCCTTGGGAATATGAAGCGAATCCTCCATTTTCATCAACTTCTCGTACATCATTCCAGTCAAAGTTGATCTCAATGGCACAACAATATCAGCCATCTCGGACCACATGACTCTGGAGTCGACCAAACGCGAGCTAATCGTAGCAGCGACAATTGCACCAACCCATTTCCACGCGACTGGATCAATGGTATCGAAGTTTTCGCGAGTCTCGAGGTGACGAAGTAATTGCAGGTTCGCAAAGGCCGGGGCGACATCAAAAAAGTTTGTGAAAAGAAGAGCCGCCCACATCCAAAGGAATCGGTAACGGAACTTCCACATAATGTGTGCCCATAGCGGGAGGCGATCACTCTTGAAGATGATGTTCTTAAAGTTCGCAGTAGCATTTTCTGATCTCACCATATGGTCCATTGATGGTAGGTCAGAATTCTCAAACTTCTCTGTGCCTGCTGCCCGGAGCACATCCAGGCCCCAGTCAAAGCTATATCTCGACCAAAGACTGAATGTCCTTTGTGAGTCAACGACTCTTCCATCTGGGCTGTACACATCTGGGCGCCGTTTAATGGAAGCGATTGTCGCGATCAAAGCTAGAGCTGCACCGATCTGGACCCAGATCAAGATTGAGGTAACAAAAAGTCCATTATGGATACGAGAGCTGAGGCCGCCGATTGCATTAAGACTGACTGAAGCAATACCAATGATCAAGAGACACGTCTTCAGACTCGATGTTGCGCTGTCGTATCTCGCCACTGGTGTCATTTCTCGTGACGCAACTACAAATTGCAAAAGCAGAAGTATCTAGAGTCGTCAGCTTCAAACCCCAGATTTTCTGCGATGGCAGCTTACCCAGGCAAAGAAAAGCAAGGATACTCCCACCAGAGCTATCCCGGAATGACCAGGTGCGAATTCATGCTGAACGACGGTGAAAATGGCATCCGCGCACGATGTTGCAATTGCTGCCACAGTAATAACAAATATAGCGATGAATTGAGCTTTGTTCGAGAATCGAGCTATTGAGTCTTCATTTGCTGCTCCATCTTCATCCTCGTATAAGAGCCCGTCTTGCGGTTGATTCTTGGCACGAGTAATCACAACAAGCCTTCGAAGATACGGAAGGGAGTACAGAGCAACTAAAAATGCCAAGCCTGAAGCCGCATATTCTGGCTCGTAAACTAGTCTCATCGTGTGAGCCCAGTTGTCTACCTTACCATTTCATGAGATGCAGTTGCAATCAGAATCAATGTGAAGATGGAATTTTGACTTAAAGATATTTAAATAATACACCGATATCAATTTCGCGTTCGTACTTCCGTGGAGGATTCTTGTCACCGCGTGAGTCAACTGATCTGATCTAGACTCGATGTGGGAGGTACTTTTGTCCGCTTTGCCTCCTTATTCGTCAGCCCGTCTGGCCTTAGTACAAGGCTTTGGTGGTGGCTCATATATAATTCACGCTTCCTCAAACGGCGTGAATTCATCAATTATAGAGCTTTGAAAGCCTTTTCAAACCGGCTGCCCATTTTTTGCATACTTTATAAGCATTTCTTGGATTGAAAGGTTGGAATTGTGAAATACATAGATACTGACCACCATTCCAACATTTGAACATATACGAGTACATGTATGTGCTCCGTACTTCGTCCGTAATAATTGTGCTGCCTTATCAACTTACTAATCCGTGCCGCACTAGTGAATCCTTCTATGTATACGAAGTGAAGAAGTAACGGACGCTAGCTTTTTAATACGCCTGGACAACGATGATAACTCCTATTAGCTTCGGCTGCTAAAGGTGTTTGTGGAGATACTACTCCTCCGTACTGTAGCCGTTCTACCCGTTGACTCCACCTTTGGTTGTAAACTCGGAGTAATTTACCCCAATCAAGCTGGAGAATCGGAGTAAGCAATCTATATTCGATGATATTATCCGCGTGTAGCGCATTCCATCGTTTCACATGATGCTAACAACCCTGAATATTTAGACTCACTTGGAGTCACTTGGTCTCTTATCATGTCTGCAATTGGCGATTGTGGAAAGTCGTGCCTTGAGTCTTAAAGTATAATTTCCCACGTAGAAAGGGATGATCGATTGAATTCAACCGTGGGTACTGTGAGCTTCCCACCTCCGCTTGGAATACGGATACTGCGTGAAGATATATAATAGAATGCAATGCATTCCTTACGTTACAGGCATTATACGAGAACGCATCATATAATTAACTACAATATCATTTAAGTGCCCTGCATCGTTCGTGCAAGCGGTGTGCCGAGGCTATGCGATTGAACTTGCAGACATCGCAATCGCAATCGCAGTCAATCGGAGGAGAGATGACTCAATGTTATTTCATGGGGCTTATGACTTTGACTCATCTATATGATCTGTGGCTTTCATAGTAGTTGTATTGCTTGATGTAATCATACTGCGTAAGGCCGACGTATAGACGACGAAAGTTCTGACACGGGCTGATATGTATTTGAAGCGCCAATGAGTCTGCTATGTTAAATACCTTTAATACGGGCGACTCTACTATTCCCCATGAACAATATGAGTACACTTTCTGGCCAAATTAACGCCTTTGATGTACTACTTGTAGGTTGAGTACACTCTCCATTGTGATGGATATTGTCATCGAGTCGCGCCGACGTTTTGGACTGCCCGAGCCAACTGGAGCCTTCTCTCCTGCCAGATCACTCATCCCTCCGCAATATCTACCTCATCACCTCTACATAGCAAAACGATCATCGGACTATCGTTCACTCGAAAATTATCGATCAACTTGATGGATCCGTTTGAAGTTGTGTTCCATTGCCACACACTTCCCAAGTGGTACCTGACAAGGGTTTCATGCAGCCTCAATCGAGAATCCCCAGCTTCGATCCTCGTTTCAACTTAGATTTCCCCGGATTACGACTCTAAAATGGCAGTATACCTTGGCATGAATGAAGCATAAACTAGCTTATTGCTAATTTTGGGACTTTCTTAATGCAGCGAAATGGGGCGGGGATGGTACATGTATTTCCCCTCTCTTGTTCAAGAGACATTCGTAGAGGCTTGCTTACTACGAAACAGCACGCACGCTTAGCAAAAGTCCAATATTTGTGAGCAAAGAGTGATGAGTGCTAAGCAGATTAGGAGCGGTTGGTTGACCGTGGTTAACCACAAAACCCAGGCAGCAAGTTCATCAGACACCATCGTGAAGCGCCCGTCATTTCAACATCGCACAGAGATAAGAGTGTCCATACACGATGTCACATGCACGATGAATGCTCCCTTCGAGGCATTTTGCCGGTACATTATCCTCCATCCTGCGCATATGATCAAAGCCTAACATCCTACATCAAGGCACAGCCAACCATGATAGAACATTACCTGGAGCCCAGAGTATTGCCCACATGGGCGAAATCACTGCTATGCTATCATCGTGGGTTGGGGGAATGAGATAGCAAATGCCAGATTATTTCCGGAGCCGACTCGGCCGTGCTCCGCATCTCATGTAAGTGCCGACCATGAGCTCGCAATTTTCATCTGCATTGCATCAGCGCCCATGATGACCAATCCAGATGTGCCCATATAATTCGCTACATATAGGCTCTTTCCTTGCTGACGCCAATAATCTATTCATATTGTCAGATGAGAATGAACATGCTCTTGGGAATGTACTTTGATCGCCTTTGCTAGCTGCGTCATTTCTAAACCGTCCGCCTTCTGTTGCTATTAATTTGACGTAGTTATAGCTTCGTGCGCCGGTACACAACCCAACGCCATGACTCGGGAGGACGACGTTGAGACCCAATCAAATCATAATGAAAACACACCTCTGCTTGTAGGGGAGCAATCGGAACAATCCCGGCTGGAGCAGCGAGAGAACGAGAAGTCGAATCGCTGGTACCTATGGAGGATCTTCTGGGTAATTGTCGCTGCTCTTGTCCTTGCCGTGTTTATCAAGGGCTGGATTGACGCAGACGGCGATGTCAATGTTAGTGTCACAAACAGATATTTACTAGCTACTCTATTGGTATATCTAACCAAGATTGATCAGTTTGACTTGAAAGATGCGCTCAGGAAAGCGCTTGGTGGAGGTTTAAGTGGCGCAGCCGCCATGGTTCTGCAGGTCTTGCTTTTGATGGTATCACCTCACCTGCACACTCATTTCCCTTGTCATTCTCAGTGCCTGGCCAAGACTAAACAATTTGGTTCTTGTATAGCCTCTTCGAACGATTATGAACTATCAGTACCGTTTCGGAACTTCATTCTCTAGTGCCTCGCAAATACTCTACGCTAATGGAGGATTTGGACGATATTATTCGGGTATCGGAGCCGCACTTATACAAGGTAAAGCACCTTTCACTTCCTCCGTAAACATTTCCCGTGGTTGACTCTTGATGCGTCGAAATGCAGGACCTGTTGCCAGGTTTGGAGACACAGCCGCCAACGCCGGAATCTTGGCCTTGCTGCAGTCCAACTCATATCTGAAACACCTGCCTTCTCTCGGAAAGACTGTTTTTGCCTCCCTTTGGTATGCTCACATCCGAAAATTTATCTAATATCAAATGAGATACAAATTACTGAAATGTAATGCTAAGCGCTGCTGGCTTCCGAATGATCCTCACGCCCGTCGATACTCTCAAGACAACACTTCAGGCACAAGGCTCTGGTGGAACTGCCCTACTTCGCCAACGTATCAAACAGCATGGCATTGGAACTCTGTGGTGGGGAGCATTTGCTACCGCGGGAGCAACGTTCGTGGGACACTATCCATGGTTCGCAACGGTACGATGGGCCTGTATAATCTCTCCTGCAAATTGACGACAGACTTGCTCACATCGTCATAGTATAATTTGTTGATCGAAGTCATCCAAGAACCGCCGAAGAGCGACTTGTTTCTTTGGTTACTGCGCCTAGCTTTCATAGGATTCGTCGCATCCATCATATCGGACTCTGTGTCTAATTCACTGAGAGTAATAAAGACATACCGGCAGGTCAACGATACCAAAGTCTCATATGGTAAGCATCCCCGAATTATGGTGTCCTATTTTACCACGTGGTTTTACATTATTGATCGCGGCTGTATAGGAGAGGCAGTGCGACTGGTGGTCCGGGATGACGGAGTATCAGGGCTGCTTGGCCGAGGACTGCCAACCCGCATCTTGAGCAATGGCCTCCAGGGACTGCTATTTTCCATTCTATGGAAGCTATTCTTGGATATGTGAGTCTGCTCAAATACTTTTGATTGTAGATCCATAGCTGACTAAAGTTTCTGTAGCTGGGAACAGATGACAAGGTCCTAACGAAAGTCTGGATATAATTTTCAGATTTTTCACCTGAGAGTAGGCATCTTTCTTTCGACCCAGCATAAGGTGGATACACTGCAAAAGGCACAAAATGTTTAAGATAATGCAAATACCAAACGATATACGGCAAAGAATGAACGTACATAATGTTGATCAATAGTAGCACGAGAGCATATGGCAGACCACACTAGTAAATGGCATCCCCAGGAGTACTAATACATAAGTAGCTATGTCAATAATAGGGAGGATTCTAGACAAGTAGCGACATCTAAATCGCTAGATTTCCTTTGCTAGGGAAGAGATATCACCCATCAGGTTCGTCTTACCGGCATTCTCGATGAGACGCGACTAGCTGTGCCTCGTAACGGAGGCCCATACAACAACAGTCCACGCCCTGGGTTACCACATCCACTCACGACTTCAGGCGCCAAGCGATGGGAACCGTTATTGGCCTGTGTTGCCTCACCGACTTCTTGATTCTCGCCGCCGTGGCGGGAGGCGGCAGTTGACAAACAAATCTGCGACAGTGCGCGGTCCCACCAACCCGTTGCGCATAAGACGGGAACGGCATAATGCAGTATTCACGGGGAGACCGAATGAGAATTAATATTGAGGCTTCCGTGTCATGCGGCTGAGTGAAGCTGCGCACCAACAATTGTGAACAGAGTGGTCGGAAATGCAGTCTCCCGACTAGGCAGACGTAAGGTAGCTGTCTACTTGATTTATTTCAGATTTGAAAGCTCCAGCAAATCTATTGGCGTCCTTCTTGTTCGGCGCGTCCTTCCACCCTGGTTATTCCATTACAAGTTCTCTTCTTACTCCTTTTCTGAATCTGAAAAATCGAAGTCGTCTACCTTTATCATCTTCCTCTTCCTCTTCGGGGCTGCTGTAATCCAAGTTTCCCAAGGGCAGGTATTCGATGTCTGGACAAAAAGTGATTTTTTCAGCCCCAGTGGAATCAAACCTGTCCTTGTCCCACATCACGTATCCATGAGCCAGTGCGTTGAAATCAGACAAGCCAAGTCTCGCCATCACATTACACAGGATCAAACATGGAAGGCTTTCGATTTGACTATGTGGCGGTAGGCCATCTAAGCCATCTGCGAAAGCATCCCTCCTCATTACGAAGGGTTTAGAAGTGGTACTCGCAGATCAGGCAAGGGAGAAAGTGCTAGCTCTTAAGGAGAGTGCGAGAAGTGAAAGAGGTACAGGCTTCTGGGTGAAAACTTTGATGGCTCGCGCTTCCCCATTAGAGGGGGAAGTCGATGTCAACGAGGTACGTGCACATAGACTACCTAAGGATTTTCTACAGCTAGGTACCTGATCATTTCAGCCAAGCCAACTGAATGATTGATCCCAGCACTATTCACACAGCTGTCCTCTTTGTCTCCATAAATGAAGAATCTTCGTGATCGTGGGTCCTTTTTGTTGGTGGCCAGAATGGCAGAACCTTGGGGTGTGCCAATGTGTAGACGTATTCTCTACGCCACAAATTCGGAGCGCCCAGATTTTTCACGCTGTGTTGACTTGTATAGCTCCTTTGCAGTAAAGGATTTGTGTCTCTCAAGCATTTCAATGCATATAGATGTGTCATATGGCATTGGGCTGTGCAAAGGCTGGGGGTTTCAGAGAGGCTTACTTGACCTACTGCGTAGATCAAAATCATAGGTCAAAGATGATTTTTGCCTTCGTTTTCATTGCCTCGATTATTGCCTAGTCCAGTTGCTCGACGGTGGTAGCAAAATAATTGTCAGTTGGTAATGCTCCGAAATCAGTCCGGGCCGCGCACCAAAAAATCCCAAAGCTCATTGTCGTCGTGATCTGTGCTTGCTTCTTCAGCTTGCGTCGATTCTTGTGCGTCTTCTTTGAACGGCGGCTTCCACGTGGCGATCATTTCTTCATCGGTCAACAACTCCTTCAATGGCATCGGGACTTCCAAATTTGAGAAATCAAACTTGGGGAATCCATCACCTTCAGTCATCCAATCCATTGCAGATTGATCGGTCGCAAAATGCCATGTCTCCAAGTCTAAAGATTGGCCAGCAGATGCACTGCTCTCAGACTCCTGTACGCTATGTTGCCCAGGCAAGTTCTCAAGGTTGGCCAGTGAAAGCCCAGCCTTCTGGCACGCCTGAATAATGCGAGAAAGTGCGGTTTGCAAAATCGCTGCTCCAAATCTAGCAAGTGGTAAGTGTGGCCCAATGCATTCAAGTCGGTGGATAGCTCTTTTCAGGCTACTGTACGGTCGCCAGAAAGATTCATAGTACCGCCCAGGATTTGATATCAAGACCACTGCTAACAGGACAGCAGCCTCGAAGGTTGGCAGTGTACAGCCAATGTAGATAGGTGCCTCGGACACATTCATGGCCTGAAATAGCCGCTCCTGACTGTCGAGAATGACGAGTGCGCTGTCGTACACCTGACGCTGACTCCGTTCCCTTGTGAATACGTACGGACGGTGAAGAGCAATTAGAAAGGCATCAACCAAAAAGCAGAGTTGTTCGCGGTGAGTTGGAACAAACGGACACTCAACATCCCATGTAGTATCCGGATCAGGCGTACGGTAGAAACTTGGCAATGTGTTTCTGAATTCAATGGCAAAATTGTGGAGTTCCTTGACTTTTTCCGCATCTCTTGGGATGGGCCCTTGCACTTCCAGGTCTCGAATCTCACAAAGTCGACGTGTTATTTTGAGGCGCAAGATTCGTTCGGTCAATGGACTGGGCCTTTCGAAGTCGGACCTCGCAACTGGGATTCTCGTCAAGCGATCAATGGGAATGTCACAGTCAACTGGAGGGCTGACGGTGCACTCCTTCAGGCGGTTAAACATAGGTTGCCCCTGAAAAAATGCTGCGGAGCTAAAAAGAGTTCAGCCTGGTGTTTATACCACCTCCAGGTATCACTCACACATCAAAGACAAAAACGTTAAGCCAAACACGTTTCCGCATCTCATTCTTCCACAGACAATCGAGAAGCTCTTCTGCGTGACTTGTCACAGGAATTTCAGGTTCACGGTGTAACCCAATAGCCATGGCATCTCTTGAAAAATGCTTGTCAGTATTCGACAAAATAAGATAAACGTGCTGTCATACCTTATGGTTTGACTAGAGTGCGTCCATGCTTGCACCAGGTCACCAGAGTTCAGGAGCCACCAGTCCCTCATAGAGCTGTGTTGCACTCCAATAAGGGTGAGCTTTGCATTTCCAACCATGTTGTACAAAGAAACTCCACAATCACTGTATTCCTTGGATAGTTCGGCAACTGTCTGGAATGGACCAAATTTGAGCTCGTCTATTTTGGCTTTATATGGGCCTGATATGAACTGCAGCGCGATGGCCAAAACTTGAAATATCAGTGCAGGAAAGCATCTAATCTCTTCAGGCAGACCATTTGGGCCTTCCTTAGTCAGTACTTTATGAGCAAGGTCCCACCAACGCCGTAGCTGCTCTTCAAAGAATGTCTGATCTAGCGGTGAGCATAATGAATTGAGATGTAGGAAGAAGAATTCAAATAGCTTGTCGCAATGGTCTTTGGAAGGGATCCGGCGGACGTAACCGTAGTATTCCGAACAATCTTTACTTTGGGTAAGTGGTGCTGTCACCACTGGTGGTGACGAGATGTCAATATGACCAGTCTCTGGGAGAACCTGAAACATTGCATAAGTCTCCGAGCCACAACCGCATACGAGTACAGAGCTGATGCCATACCTTGGTCAGCATTTTCATTGAGCTGAGTGGATCCGCGTCAGAGGATTTATGATCCAGAGTATGGTCACTCTCCGCTGAAACGGCATTTCTGCCGCGAGAAGACGACAAAAGCGTTGCATTTGGTAGGCTTGGCATTCATGAGTACATTCTACTTCATTTGGCTTCAGGGCTCATACAGTGTAGGTTTGCGGGTCTCGTAGCTACAGATATCCTGCGTTCCACGGACCACGCATAGAGTGCATGGAACCTTTCGATCACACTGTCTCTCCAGTTAGTACCAGGCAGCTACATACCTAATGGTTCAGTCCACCTACCTTTTGCTTTCTTTTTCGGCACTCATTACAGGTCAGTATAGATCGGATGCGCTGCCGTGGTCTGGCCATGCTATTCATTGTATCTTGGTTCTTGTTCTTGTGCAGACGTAAAATGTCTTTGTAATACTCCTGCTATCCGGATGTGGTAAAGGGGTTGGTAGTTACAGAAGAGCTGAGGTTTTATTTGCCTGAGGATGACGGCGCTCCACATATGCTCTGCTTCAGGTGGGGTAAGATAGGTAGTTAAAAGTATACGGAGTACGAGTATGTACCTTATTAATAGCAAGAATTTCAGAAGAGGACAAAGCTAAATATATTGCTCCGTCTCCGTCTCCAACAAATCCCAAAGTCGGCCGCCGCTACCATTCTCCAGCCCCTTTTCAATCTGCTTTGGCCTCTTGCCTTCTCGGCCCCAGGGAATGAAGTACTGTCCGTTTTTTTCTGCGTTTACTCGTTCTGAAAGCCCGACAAACAGCTGAGTGAGTGCCCCGTACCGCGGTTCATGCAATAGAGGTGCTGTTACAAGACTTCTGATACGCGAATCCGAAAGCCAATGCCGCTGCAAGTCCGTTTTGAGATGTCCAGGGTTCAGGCTCGTAGCAATGATGTTGTCTTTTGCATACCGCCGCGCCGTCTCCGCTGCCAGGATTATATTCCCAGCCTTGCTCTGCCCATAAGTGGTCCATGAATCCAGCTTTGGGCTATTGATATCATCCCAGCTGATGCCGTCGGGCGACGGTGAGCGTGCGCTCGCATCGGAAGACGCCCAGACGATGCGGGCTTGACCACTTTCGCGTGCAGAGGCGAGCAGCAGGGGCAAAAGTAGCCTCTGCAACACAAAATGTCCGACGACATTGGTACCCCATTGCAACTCGTATCCTTGCTTTGTCTTTGATTCACGAGGAGGAACCATGACGCCCGCATTCAGAAACGCGACATCGAGTTTGGTGGTTTGCTGTTTGAGTGTTTCAATGGCTGGTTTGATGGAGGGTAGGTCCGCGAGGTCGAATACGACAGCGACGATTTTACCGGTCGCCGGAGCGGTTTGTGCGCTTTGAAGTTGAACTGGATTATCTACAATGTCCTTGGTTGCCCTTTCGATGTTTGACAAGCTACGTCCAGCAATGTATACTGTTGCGCCAGCCGAGAAGAGTATCCGGGCAAGCTCTTTGCCAATGCCGGCTGCTCCACCAGTTATGAGGTAGGCTTTGCCGGACAAAGATGGTAGATCCTTTTCTGTAAAGCCTGGTGGAGGAGGAAAGAATTCGGAGACGGTTTGCCTGAATGACATTGTGTTTTGAGTTTGAGTTTGAGTTCGATGAATGCGGCGTATTTTGGGCTGTCGGTGGTGATGCAGTGTAAGAGGACTGTGCTGAAAGAAAACCCCGACGTACGATCAACCCAGAGTGTATTCATCTAGAGGTTAAATTTATTATCAATATAATAGGTTCAATGAAGCTGTAACAGCTGAGAGTGTATTCTTATAACGTATAACTTTTGATACTCTTCCAAGTATTCTGTGGCATCCACACCCCTGCGCGGCCGAGGGTACGGCCGAGGAGCTAGCGCTGGTTGCTTGATCACCCGCGGCTTTAAGATAAGATCTCGAATTCCCAAACTCGGACGACGGCCCAGGGAAAAGCGCCATCAAGCACAGTGTAAGAAATTTCATTATTAGTATCCCATTGCCTTTAGACGCTATATAGTACGCAAGCGTTCTCACCATATTTTGAATCGTTCGCTTGAGAGCGATCAAATATGACGTAGTATGTGCTTGAAACAGGGCTTCTCGATGATAGGACCGATGAGGCTGCTGCTCGAGCGACGCAGTCGCACACGGTTAGGTATACCTTAGCAAGTGTACGATTTATACGTCTACGTACATGTAGGTAGGTAGTCTGGCTTTCAGAGCTAGCATGCTTTCTATAGCCGGCTTATTTTCTAGAGCGGGCCAGCTGAAATTTTGGAGTTGGCTTGATTTCTAGAGCCTGTTAGAGACACTCGTAGGTAAATGCTATTTGAATTGGATTGTACACATACGTGTCCTCTTTTGTCGATGTTGTCTACTCCATATAATACCTACCTAAGGTATGTACTCACCTCTACCTATCTCCTTGAAAAAAACACTTTGGGCTTGCAGTGTTACTTTGAGACTTTGAATTAATCTGGCGCTCATCCAAGAACCTAATTCACTTTTAGAGGAATCTCATTTATTTCGCCAGACTTGGTTCATCCGCTTTTAGGCCTTCTTGTTTTTCAAAATACAGATCTTTGAGAGTGCAAAATGAGCCACCGTAAACATTTTCTATCCAAAACATACTCTATCTCAATTCTATTACAAAACCATTCCTCAATTTTGTTCATTTGCTTCCATCACTGGACTCGCCATCATTGCCAGAGTCTAATTCCAGGAAATCAAATTCTGCTAGGATGCCTTCAGCTGTTATTCGTGATTCCCCATTCCAATCGAGCATTTTGAACACTATGCTTTCGAGTACATTCTCTTGATCCAACTGAGACTTTTTGAGAGCAACAAACTCCAACCATTCCTCCATCTTCTTCCGAGATGGATCTCCAGGCGTGGAAAGGCTGTGTATCGACCAACCATCCATAATTCTTTCTGGCAAGCCAATCTTGCCAAGTATATAAAGCATCGTAATGCCTAGAGCCCACACATCGCCTGCAAACCCTCGTCGGTTTCCATCAAGCATGTCAGGAGGAAGATACCACGGCGTCCCTCCCGTGTCTTTGTCCTGATTCAATGTAGCCATTCCGAAATCGATAAGAACAGAGCCTCTCTGGGGAGAATATGTAATATTGTGTGGCTTGATATCATTGTGGCTAATGGATTGGCTAACCATATATGTGAAGGCGGATGAAACATCACGGAGTATTTTATAAGCATCAGATAGTGTGAAGGCCGACCCGGTACCACGAGAGAGGGACAGAGGCAGGGCTTCTAGATAGATTGCAAATTGGCGTCCGTCAAATGCCTTGAGATCCACTATGTTTCTCTATATATGGTGAGAAAAGGCTTTAGAATCCGAGACTAGTGTAAGCGTAAGAGGTGAACTTACATGCTTCAACATATCAAGCATCTCCTTTTCTTTCTTCCACATGTCTGCAAAACGAATCACATCGTGCATTGATCCGCCTTCGTATTTAAGGACTTTCGCAACAACTATCTCCGACACAGCAGAATGTCTGCAATAAAAAACACTTGTGTTTCTGTTTTCAAAGATATCGGTCCTTCGCTGTAGTTGATATGTTGCGGGCCCATTTACCGTAGATTCTGAGTAAGAAGTGGCACCACTAGCTTTCGGGGTCCGTATAACTGCCGTGTCGTATTTTTTGAGCTGTAGAAGTGGGACTCCAGCGTTGTGGATCATCTCCTGGATGGATGTAGGCGTTGTGAAGTAGTGGTCATTAGTATCAACATTGCCCGCATTTGTATTGACAGAAACCAGTTCCGTCTCAAATTGATTTCGTCTAGACGTGGTGACAGCATCGTCTCCTAGCCTTTGCCTCTTGGCCCTGTGCTCTCCACTATTGTCGTCGGCGGCTCGTTTGGCTGATGGGACATCAATTGCTTTGTGGATAGCGACAGTAAATTGTCTCTCACGCAGCAAAAACTCAATAAGGTAGCGCTCTGTAGCATCGTCTTCATCGTCATAAATAGAAATCCTCCAAATTCCAGGTTGGATTACATGAGAGCGTCGGTATCTGAGACATACCCGAGTACAGGTGGACGGAGAAGGACTGAGATATGTCAGGTTCACTGGCAGGTCCGTCCAATTTCGTAAAATACAGTCGTCGCTTCCTGGATCGAAGACAATCCGACAAGTCACCCCGACCATAGTTGTACGACTGCTGGGTGGCAGTTCGATTTCGAAATCCACACTCTGAGATTGTTGAAGAACGCCAAAGGTAACCCTGTCGCTGGCTGTGTGTGGGAGCTGAACGATTGGTGAATCATTTTTCGTGCCCTGGGGGTATTTAGGTGACGCAACAATCAGTCGCGCATCAGGCTCAGAGAACGAGGCATCGGTAAGAAGTGTAGTTACTTGCTCAACAGTCGGAGGTTCTGGAATATGGGGTGAGTATTCAGATTCGAGCTCTCCTCTAGCTATGAACGCTGTGAAAACGACGTCTAAGCACGCTTCGATATCCTTGTCACTGAGTGTGGATTCAGAATCTGATTGAGATTGGTCTTGGGTATGTATAGACTGGTGAGTTGACTGCACTACGCCTTGAGTCGCTGGTGACGCTCCGACAGCAACAGAGGTAGCGGCTGCAACAGAGATAGCGGCTGCAACAGAGGTAGTCCCTCGTGGCTCTATTTGTGTGATAGAGGTATGAGAGGATGCATTTACACCATTCGGTTCTTGGCCCTGCTGAGACATGATTGCGATTTGAATGAGAGTGGAGGATAATTATAGAGAAAGCTTTTATAATCTGATGGTAATTAATCAATTGATTCCTTGAGGAGATGCCAGTTCTACTTATACAAAACTGGTGTTTGGGGCGCCGGATTGAATCTCATCGTCGTTGGGAAACACCTGGGCATCCATACCCAATCACGAAGTTGGACAAACAGCAATTGCCGCTAGGTCTTTGTGCTACAGACAAAGATTTGCCTTTTTTACATGGTATCCGGCTATAATGGAGGCTGTGTATGTTCAGGAATGTAGTACAGTAGGCAGAACCCAATCTATGACGGATCTTTTGCAAAGAGATTCACCAACAGCTCAGCATCCACCCATGGGATATGAGGATGGGTGGGTGGTAGAATTAACAGGATCTGTCCCGGATTGATTGATTAGCGGTTATTTTGTACTCGTCTTGTCTAACCACAGCTACAATGCTACAATCGATGGCATAGCAGTAGCATCTACACGGATAGGCTTGTATTGTGTTTGTATGTATGTGACCTTAGGCAGTGACTCAAGGAAGATAATCCATGTTTGTACAAACTCGCCCTAAATCCCGGCAAACGGGTCAGTCTCGCTGCCAAACGCTCCGCACTCCACACAAGCTCTCCATTTAAGCATAACAAACTGCATGCAAACTTAGTGCATCAGATGCCCTTCCGTCAACGCCTCAATATCAAAGCCGTGTGCAGGTCCCACCCCCTACGCGCTGTGAACAAGTTATTGACTGGCTGTGGATAAGGGGCACAACGCTAAAATTAGGCACAAAGGCAGTACGACGCACAGCCATGCCTCACCTGATCACTGCTGGCTTGTTTCTGTGTGACAATCTGTTGCGCGCGCTTAGTAACATAATCTGATTGCTCCTTGGCGGAATACAAAGAATCTCAAGGTGCACAAAGGCCAGCTTCATTTAAAATCTTTCACAGCAGAACCCTCTCGAGCGATTTTCCAGCGGCTCAAAGCATCATCACAACCACAACCACTGCCAGCACGCGCTCCTAAAGTGGACCACATCTCTCAGCTATCCTGACCGACAAACCGCAACCACAGCCGCAGCCGCAACCGCAACCGCAACCGCAACCGCATCCCCAATCGAAAACCAACCGGTACAGCTGTGAATTAGCATCAATGGCTCCCTTCGAGGCTCCAGAGTGGTACCTTCAGAGGACTAAAAACGATCTTTGGAGTGAGACTGTTCCCATAGATATGAGTAATGTCAAAACACAATTGTGGGGGCGGTACTGGAATCGATTCAATACCTTTGCAATTCCAATCATGGATGTGAACAAATATTTCGAAACCGCAATGGCCATCGCCAAGACATCCAGAGATGAGAAGGACTTTGAGAGACAGTTTGATAAAATAAACAAGCAACGGCAGGAAATACTCCTTAAGACGATGAAGACTCTTATGAAGGAAATTACCGATCGAGGGAAAATGATCTTTCCATGCGAAGATGCTGAGGACATAGCCCACGCTGCTTGCCGGACTGGCTGTTTCGACTATTTTATCCGGCTGCTAAACGGCAGCGTCACTGGCTGGGTAAAGGAATTATCAGAGCCCAGTGCAGAGAATGAGGCTCATCTAGGTGATGATACCCTCCAGGACGGCAGCAAGGCTACGCAGAACCCCAATGAAGAAGAGCTGAAGGATCATATCAAATCGACTAAAAATGCTGGTGAAGGGGAGTCAGAAGATGCCAAGAAAACCAAGGACCCCGTTGAAGAAGAGACGCAGAATCCTGCAGAAGAGGACACAAAGGATCGTGTGGAAGAATCTCAGAACCTTGCTCCAGAGGAAACGCAAAACCTTATTCCAAAGGTGATAGAGGATACTGAGGAAGATATGCCACACATGGATAGCCATGGCGTTTCAGCTAATAAGCCTTCGGACTGGGACTGGGAAGCTGACGTTCCTTGGTACTGTGGGTCTCAGTGGCCTGATATTGAATGGGGTTATTACGAAATAGAGGCCGAGAGAAACAGGATGAGGATAGAAAGATTGAGGGAGGAAAAATTGAGGGAGAGTACTGTATTTTCAGGCACCTACGCCGAATACATGGCGTCAAAGTCAAACGACACGGCCCACGAAACTTTCAATCCCGACAAAAGCCAATATCCTTCAGCAGAGCGACTCAAGACACTCAAATCAGGCGACGCACCTATCTCGAATAAGGAAGACAAGCATAGTGGAGCGCAAGGTGCACTGAGAAAGCATCTGAGTGGTCCATCTGGTACTAGAAGCTCTACTCGGGCCAAGAAAAGGGTACGATTCGATGATGATATTGATAGTGATACCATCAATCATGAACCCAAGAGGCAAAAGGTAGAGAACTCTGCTACCGCCACTTCAACACACCAAACTTCTCCTTTAAGCCAACAAACCTCATGTGCAAGCGCTTCCCTAAAGAGAGCCAGGCCTGATGATGATGAGGATGATGGAGACAATGGATTCAAACGCCAAAAGGTAGAGAGCTTATCCTCGACTCCAACGTCTCAAGTCACATCCATCGGATCCGCAGAAGACCACTCAGCAAATAATCCAACGTCGGAAAATCTGTCTAAAACCGCAGAAACCCTAGATACAGATACTGTCATCCACGGTGAACGCCAAGGTCGAAAGAAAGGTTCTATTTCGCCCAGTGCCCGTGAAATGCCGCCTCCTAGCTCCAGTTCATCAAGAAGAAGCAAATGGCCTACGTTTGAGGAGCTGGATCATTCAGGCAAGTCGCATTAGGTGTCGTGATGTTCAAGCGAAAGGACAGGCATAGGATTTGGGGCTGTCGAGAGTTTCCAAGAACATGATCGTTATCCTGGCAGGGCTGGGTGCAGCGGTTAGCCCAGAAGAAACGACGACACGGGGTCCAAGGGAGAGCATGGTCGTTATCCTGGCAGGGCTGGGTGCAGCGGCGTAGCTTGACAATGACAACACGGTGCCTAAAGCAGAACATGGTCGTTATCCTGACAGGGTTGGGTGCAGCGGCGTAGTTCAAGCATCATTAAAGGAGTCGTAAATTTCTGAGAGCATGGTCGTTATCCTGGCAGGGCTGGGTGCAGCGGCGCAGCTCAAAGAAACAACGTCTCTTTTGGTGGGCGGTTTTGGCCATTGTTTCCCTTTTTTTTTTTGGTAGAGTTTACCTTTGTATCTGGAAAAAAAGTGGACGGGGACAAACATCATGAGCGCCTTTGAACCTAATACTAGGCAAAAAGAAGGTATCTAGATGCGCTGTGAAATGGAAATATGTCAGTATTAATGGCTAGGCATTATTGTATTTTACAAGTATCTAATATGACGGGAAAGAAGAGTCAATTTACATCTTGAATTTTATCATATAATCTCCGTGATCACTAACACGGTATTGCATCCATGTTATCACGCCCAGATAGGTAAAGACTGGAAAGTTGGGGGTGAAGCAACTGGTGATGCAATAATACAAACGGATTCCAGTCACGTCTCTAAGTACAGTTTTTAACGTGGAAGACTTTAGAAAACTACCAAAAAACGCACGACAGAGGAAGAAAATGCAGGAAGAACAAAGAAGAAGAGGAGGAGAGAGAGATAATAGGGTGGGGAGGCAAGGGTACTCCACTCAGTTGGATCGCTGGGTAACGCTCCAGAGGAGAGATCTGGTTTACCATTGGTGACTTTGGACTCGAAGCAGTGAATCTGTTGTTTGGACCCGCGACCTGCTCTTGTCCAGAGAGCATTCATATAGGCTAAGAGGCCGGATATCTTCATGCCCTCTCAGCCTCTTTGCCATCGTCGACTTCAGTCTAATTACTTCATCTACATTGCATTCGTCATGTATTTTTAGTGCTATTTTACGTCAGGCAGCATTGCTCTGCTCTCGATCAATTGGCAGCGCATTTCTGCAGTCATCGATAAGGACATTCGTTTGATGGGACTTTTGTTTGAGCTACGATACGCGTCTGCGTCTCAGACTGTCAACCTCGCACCTCTTTCGTCGTAGATTGCGGTGGCGTCTAGTAAGAGCTTCGAAAATCACTTAAAGTGCAGATGCTAGGCCGTATAGCCATTTCCCCATCTGTAGGAGATCTAAACATCAAAGATCCCCATGCTTAGAGAGAGGATCAGGCACAGAAGACGCCGTTCAGTATTGCTCCAGGCTTCAGCAGCGGGAACATCCACTTGCGCAGCTGATGTAAAAAATTGCAAGGGCCAATACCCAAATAATCTTCTGTTTAGGTACACATTACAGGAGATTTGATTTCTTTCTTTTTCGCATTAGCATTCCATCTTGGAACTGCGCTCTAGACTATGTCTTACCTCGAAAGACTTCCAACAAAGGAAACAGGACGGAAGTCTCTTCACATTTGCACCCCACTCTTTGGCCCATTTTAACTGGACAGCGCCGCTGCATGACTAAGCGCTGAGAAAAAATTCAAGACCCACGCCCCAGAAGCGTATAAAATTCTTCGCGGTCGCGCTTAGAGCTTCGCTCTTCTTTTTCTTTTTTTTTTCTTCGTGCGGCTGGCATGACCTGAAAATTTTACCCGTGTTGCTCAAGTCCTTCATCAGTGGATAAATTGCAGCGTCAGTTGTGCCACAGAGAAATCATAATTGCAGGCCGACTCTCTATTCGTTCTGGTTCCCATGGCTTTAACGCGGGATTCAAGGATGGAGGGCTGGACATTTCTTCCCGTTGTCTCTCTTGTTTTGTGACTGTAGTTGATGCTTGAAGTCGATCATGTCCTTGTGTGCTGTATCAAGGATATGTTTGCCACCTGAACCAAGTTGAATCGACATTCTTCTCAATCTATGCTGTGGCATTTATTAAGCCCGTATTATAAAGGCGAACACTCCCCCTGCTCACAAGATTGACCCATCATGAACGTGGTCATTCTCCTAGGCAGAGCGGCAATGCTGTAGCTTCATCTGGCGGATCTAAATACCCGTTTGATTGCAAAAATGGACATTTGCTTCACGAATCCGTACAGTTGTGGCGCCGAACTGACGCTCCTTGCGACACAGCCATCGCCAGCTACCGTAAACTACACACAAAAATACTCGAGACGTCTCACAGTGTAGCATTCATCTACCGTTTCCCACCCGAGACACTCTTGACAATCCACGCTTTATGCTGAGCATTGTAGTTTTTTTTTTTAACCCATACTATGGAGTACTTTGTTCTTTCTAGGGTAGACGTACTCATGACTAGTACATGTACATATCTTGAAATATATGGTGTGAACCTCCCTCTGTAGTCACCCAAGATATGTACAAACCTATGCCATGAACAGAAATGCCATTTTCGTGCAATGTCTATGGTTTGGACTGTTTCCTTCAGCGCTGCAGCATGAGTTTATGAATTGGATCAACCAGTAAATTATCAAAGGAACGTCGATGACAAGCAGTAGCACGAGCCTCAAGAGATATACCTTGTAAATCTCTAACTATGGATGTCATCGGTATGGATAAAGAGAAAAGAGATCCAAAATAGCGAAAAGAATATATGGCGGTATATCAATTCAAAAATAATGATCTCGTTTCAAAGTAGGAACAACTTACAAGTACCGTACAGTGTACCACAGAACCCCTCACCATCTACAGTAAGACGGCTATGTAGTAAGGGGAATCTGTGTCGAGCCACCGCTTAAATATTCCTATGAGCTCACTATGATTCAGAGTTATATAGCTAGTTTGCTTTAGAACATTAGTCTGATAAATAATGTCTCTACACACATAACTCCTGACAATTGATGAGAACAAGTTGCTAAGAAGATACTTTTGGTGCACCGATGTTGTAGAGTATTATGTCAATGCATTAATCGGAATTTTACATCTTTTATATCAAAATTATATATCTACAGTCATTCGAGAAAAAACAAAACAAAACAAAACACCGCAGTCTACTCTACCACACCAAGCTCATGCAAAATAGACCATACTTGAACCACGCCGACAGGCAGTAACAGATACGCATCATCTTGGTTAGGATTTGTGGGTACGAATATCTTGAGCGCAGTAGATAGCAATGCAGTCTTTTGCTTCTCTTCTTGATATTTCCGCGAGCTTTCCATACCGCAGAGAAGAAGATCAGGAAGTCTAGAGAGAGCTTCATATCGAGCCCCGCTAAAGTTGACATACCGCCCTTCTTCTGATAGAGCTGTGAACGGGAAATTAGTTGTTATGTCTCTCTACACAAACGTTATTCTGCCCAAAGATTGGGGCATACCTTGTACGTCGATAGGAAATATTCTCCATTGTGTTTCAAGCTGCTCCGAGAACTCTGGATTGAGTTAGCGTTCCGCCCAGCAACAGTCTAGCATGGCTTTGCTTACCCCTTTATTTGGATGTTGGACTTGGTCTGGACAAGGATCCCAAACCAGTTGCACAATTACACGCAATAGTGCGCCCTTCCAAAATCACCTTGGGCTCACTGCATATGCACTAACCCAACCTTGTCTGTCTGGTCAAGGTTAGGCAGGTGAAGCTAATCTACGGTTGCTTGGCCTTTCCTATGCTACGGAAGTCTCCTTAACTGAATCGGATTCTCAAACGTCCTTAACTCATCTATTTTATTTTACATTTGGGCGGCATTTCTGTTCTGCGGTTAGCTTTCTGGACAACCTCCTAGTCGCACTACTTTAACCTAAGTGTCTAACGACCTGACGTGAGCGAAGAGCAACTGTCCATGTGCTTGATAATTCATCTCCTTGACAGTGCATATTCAGTATCCAATACATATACCGAGAATCCAACCACAGCAGACCCCGAATAGTAGAGTATTTAACAGTCTTACATAACCCAAATAGGATACAATAATCTTAATCACTGCCTTGCAGCAACGTAGTCTGACTATGCTTATGTCGAAGGGTTAGACGAAGGAAATTAAGCCTTTTACATCCCAATTGTCCAAGATGTGATTCCTATCTGTCAATGGTTCAATTATTTATTTAGACTTCAATTAACTACAGCCATTGATTTTGCATATATAGCGTTTCTCTATCAGTTAATAGTTGTAACTATTTTGTTCATTTTCAACATGGAAACTTCAATGTCGGAACTTGAGCCGCCAGGCAGCCAAGCAAGACCAAGTCACCTTCTCCCTACGCTAGTAAGGGGGTTTCACCCAGTCAGACGAAGCGAGCGCATATTTAACCCTCTTTGTAATTTGGAGAAACTACATGGGGAAGAAATATCCCGTGAAAGGAAATACAATCATGGTACACAGAAATACATTCAGCCATTTACAGAGAATAACATAAACAACTCTTAACACTTTTACCGCTTTTGACATAACCCATATCTCATAGTAAGGCCAATACTGAATCAAATATACAACTCTCGAGAAATTTGATTGGCAGAAGGGCTTTTTATCAGAGGCGGTATTATGGAGCGGTCGGTGACTTGAAAGAAGATCGACTACTAGCTTCGGGGTCTAGCGTGTAATTCCGACGCTAGCGGCAAGTCAAGGCACTTGAAGAAGAGTGTATAAGTGACTTAATATAACAAAATTATCTTTGGAGAGTATTTTTTTTACAGTTCTATAATTATATATTAAATATAGGTATTAATTTTAGGCCTAAATTCTATTGCTTTAAGAATATTACTATATCGCTAAATAAAGCCCTAGCTTTAGCAGATATTATTATATTTAATAAAAAGTAAAATAAGCCTTATATAATATATTTAACAGTAATTAATATTTATTTTCAGCTTTTAATTCTATTTTATATTAAAGGCCTAGGATAAAATATTATATAGCTATTAGT